AGTCCCTTCGAAAAAGGTATCCTTAAACCGTATTTCCTGTTGTTCAGTCGTGAAGGCGACTCTACACCTTAAGAACAGGCGACTGCCTTGGAACATCGATTAGAACCATAATAAAAATATCATGTTGTAATGTTCTCTTGGATTTTCTATGAACAAAAAATAGAAATGGTTCCTAAAACGGCTATACTTCAAGTATTCCAAGCTTTGTGTGTATGTGTGTCTAAGCCCATAGACCCAAGACTCGCCAGGGCTTCATGAACGGGCTTGTAGAAGAAAAACACATATTTTGTCATAATGGTTGCCTTTAAGGTACGGTTTAGGGTTTAGGGGTTTAGGGTAAACGGTATTCAAGTAAGGCACTCCGGCTGAACTGACGATCCCTGCGGTGACCTAGGAAACGACTAAAAGAAATAGGGACAGACACGGGCATCTCTACAGACCTTGAACCTAAAACTTGCAACCTCATAGTGGGCATTGAGGGTCTAAAAGAGGGTAGCTGGAGGGTCTAGGTCCACTGCAAAACGTAATACGAAGCTATCATGACAAGCTATCACGACCTAGGGGTTCAGGGTCTAGTCTGGGGTGCCGGGATACTTGAAGGCTCATGGGACTTAGTAAGTAAGGTTATAAGTAGGTTATAGCTAGGATAACTCCACTTAGGGTACTTATAACCCCAATTATAAGCTCCATGATCCTTTCGGTACTCTGGCATGCTTCTTGGAAGCCCAATTCGAGGCGGCATAAGATTTGGGGCCTAAATAATTACCTATACTGTCTTGGGGGTTCCTTATTATAATTATGGTATAATGGGGGCCCAAGAACCCTGTTCTAATTATCAAGGCCCCGAAAATAACCTGCCAGAGGAGATGATGGAATCTGCCACAACACAGAGCGTTGCACGAGCATGTACCCAGAGAGCCCAATACCCCGTATCTAAGGATTGTACATAGGTTAAACCAGAATATGGAGCCCCGTTTAAGTAACGGTATATATTACTTAATTGCAGGGGTGAAAGGCTTTCTGCGTATCGAAGTGTTTCGTTTGCGGCTCGTGAAAACATGAAGGACCAAATAACCCTTAAAAGTAGGGGCCCTGTACCAATATACTAGGAATCCCTATATGGTATATGGGCCCTAAACCCTTTTAAGGCTCATTTCGTCCTTAAGACTGATCCTGCACGGCGCGAAAGTAGGCACCGAATCCAGCTTCACACTCCAGGTGACCCAGGTGAAGACAGAGCCATCTCCGAGTTTCAGGGTTAGGGCCTAGGGATTCTAGGGTTTAGGGTTAGGGTTTAGGGTTCAGGGTTTAGGGTTTACGGTCTAGGAATTCTAGGGTTTAGGGTTAGGGTTTAGGGTCTAGGGATTCTAGGGTTTGGCTTACTCTCCCAATAAACCACAGGAATACAAGGTTAAACTTTCCGATTCCTACTAAACTATAATATAAGAACCCAAAAAGTTTAAAGATTAGGTGTTGGGGACCTAAGTTTGGGAGGTGGCCCAGGTGACCAGGATGGCAACAAAGGCGCCATCAGTTGATTGAAGCTGCTATGCATTCATAAGCTGATCTCGCACGGCTCTGCTGTCACCGCCAAAGCATTCATCGCCCCACGTCACCACGGAGTTATCCCAAAGAATCGCAGCAAAGGCCCGCTCAGCTGCTTGAATCTGCTGCACATCCTTCAACTGATCTCGCACGGAACTGCTGTCGCCACCGAAGCCAGCATCGCCCCAGGTCACCACGGAGCGATCCTCAAGGATCGCAGCAAAGGCCTCATCAGTTGCATGAATCTGCTGAACAGTCTTCAGCTGATCTCGCACAGCCCTGCTGTCACCACCGGCGGCAGCAGCGCCCCAGGTCACGACGGAGCCATCCTCCAAGATCGCAGCAAAGGCCCGCTCAGTTGCTTGAATGTGCTGCACGTCTTTCAACTGATCTCGCACAGCTCTGCTGTCACCTCCGTGGGTGTACTCGCCCCAGGTCACCACGGAGCCATCCCCGAGGATCGCAGCAAAGGCCCGCTCAGTTGCTTGAATCTGCTGCACATCCTGCAACTTCTCTCGCACAGTACCACCCCTGCCAGCATGACCCCAGGTCACCACGGAGCCATTCAAAAGGATGGCAGCAAAGGCCCAGTGAGTTGCCTGCATCTGCTGCGCACTGTTTATCTGATCTCGCACGGCATCGCAGTCACCACCGAACTCGGCATTGCCCCAAGCCACCACAGAGCCATCCCCGAGGATCGCAGCAAAGGCCCGCTCCGTTGATTGAATGTGCTGCACATCCTTCAACTGATCTCGCACAGCACTGCTGTCACCACCTGAGCCCGCCCCTCCCCAGGTCACCACGGAACCATCCCCGAGCCTCGCAGCAAAGGCCCGCTCAGCTGCTTGAATCTGCTGCACATCCTTCAATTGATCTTGCGCAGCACTGCTGTCACCGCCGAAATCAGCATCGCCCCAAGTCACCACGGAGCCGTTTGCGAGGATCGCAGCAAAGGCTCGCTGAGATGCTTGAATCTGTTGCACATCCTTCAACTGATCTCGCACAGAACTGCAGTCCCCACCGAAGCCAGCCTCGCCCCAGGTCACCACGGAGCGGTCCTCAAGGATCGCAGCAAAGGCAAACCTGGTCGCATGAATCTGCTGCACATTCTTCAGCTGATCTTGCATAGAGTTGCTGTCACCGCCGAAGCGAGCATCGCCCCAGGCCACGGCGGACCCATCCCCCAGGATTGCAGCAAAAGCCCCCCATCTGCCGCTGCAGATGTTGACTCTTCGAACTTGGAAGGTCAGGCGCACTGGCTCCGCATCCGCCTCCACATTTTGCAGCCTGGCTCTTTGTAGCGGTGCTCCTCCATCCTATACTGAACTTAGAGCCCTAGCAAAAATTATAGTTTTAGCTGTTTCTTAGGAACTATAATAACCCAAAATTAAAAATCATTTCTAAGTACCCCTAAGCATCAAGAACGCCTCCAAGGGAGTCCAAGAGTCGACCTTTGCCTGCTCCCAGAGCTTTCTGCGCACGCGCTCGCAGCGATTCCACGGTTTCGGCCCCGTGTGTCTGCAGCGACACCGTCTTGCCACTTATGAGGCTTACCTGTACTTTGAAGTGACCAGGGGGAAAAAAGTATAGACTTTTATTTCATTAACTTTAGGAAACATCCCAAAAAAGTATTAAAGTATGGTACTCCAAAGCCCAGTTACCTCAACGGTCAATGACATTACGGCGATGCCAGCACTGGATCAGTTCATGGCTAGCACGCGAAGATTTCGGGCCCCTGTTGCCTCGGGTAGGGTCGATCTCTAACTCTTTGCAGAGTGAGGTTTTACGAGCATTGCTGCGGCGGCTCCAATGTCTAGATGCACTTCCCATCCGCGCAAATCCCTGCCCAGACATTCCCAAGAATGTATAAACGACAGAAAGGGCGGCGCATAGAATTGAAAATGCACTGTGCAGGCCACGATTAATATGAGTAGCGTTTGAGGGCAGGTTATTATACTATCTATAGAAACGACTACGGGATATTATCACTAACTGTTCAATGTCTTTGTTTTAGTCCCGGCCCTTAGGCTTTCGGAGTATTAGGATGTCCTTAAGGGGGGGTGGTCCAAGGGGGGTAGGTAACCTAGTAATCCCCATTATTCCCCAATACTCCCTAAGCTTCCCTAAGGTTCCCCAAAGCTCCCTAGTACCCTCCCCCCTTGAACCACCCCCCCTTAAGGATCCTATAAGAGTAATATGACGGGCTGAGCATGGATTCAGGGTTGAGCCACAAGGTGTTGCAACAAAAAACTTAAGGAGCCAGCTTGGTTTAGGGTGTAGGGTTTAGGGTCTGGAGCCAGGCTTCAGGAACCAAACTAATTACTTCCCTAAACTTTCAACCCTACTTGGAGGATCATGGGACTTAGTAAGTAGGTTATCATTGGTGTTATAAGTCCCCTAATCCTGATTATAACCTACTTATAACCTTACATACTAAGTCCCATGAGCCTTTAAGTAAACATCCTTAAACCGAAACGAAGACTCCAAGCCCCACAAACAGATCGTAGCATCGGGCCTAGTTGTAGTGCCTCTGCCGCACTTCCGACATGGACCGCTTTGACCTTGCGCGTTTAGGGTTTAGGGTCTAGGGTTTGGGAGTTAGGATGTATAAGGGTCTAGGGTTTAGGATGCTAAGGATTGAGGGTTTAGGATTCAGGGTTGGGGGAGACTCAGTACCCCGAAGCCTCATCGCTAAACCGTACAATGGGGACGCCGTGGACGCTAAACTGCCACAGCAAAACCGGTCACTCCGTGTTCCTGGCCGGCCCAGTGTTAAAACAGATTCGAAACCAATAGCTTAATCCTGGAGTGCCCGTAACCTACTGCAAGTCTTGGGACAAGCGCAAGTGGGAGCGCGATTTCCACCACAAAACAACACAAGGTACCCGCTGCACTGAGGCGAGAGCACGATTCATGAATGTTAGGGGAGCCCCAATGTATATTGGAGTTTAGGTCTTAGCCTCCACATGACCGTACCTCACGCCCGATCCCCCTTAAGATGAGTCCCAATATGGCACTTGACACTGAGGTCCTTTTGAAGCACAGGTCGTCCTAAGCAAAATCTCCACGCCCGCTTAGAAGGTAAGCAAACAATGTTTGGAGATTCCCTATAGAAGAACCCATAAGCAGAAAAAGGAACGACCTAGACCTAAACCCAAAACCCAAAACCCCACGCCATAACCCCTGAAACCTACCCAAGAGCCCGATGGAACACCCAAAGCCTGCGAAAACGCGTATAAGGCCGCAAATCACAATATTACGGGTCCCCAGACCCAACACACTAAACACGAAACCCCAAAATAAAACCCCAAGGCCCCAAACCCCGAAACCCTGAACCCTAAAGCCCCAAACAAAAAAACCCTAACCCCTAAACCCTAAACCTTAAATCCCCAACCCCTAAAACCCTAGACCTAAACCCTAAATCCCCAAAACCAAAACCCTAGCAGGGACCCTGCCTTGGAAAAGAGCAGGTCCTTGCGCGAGCCATCCTCAGCCGCGGCTTAGGGTTTGGGTTTTCTTTACCATGGTTCCTTAAAAAACGACTCTAGAATATGGTAAACCCCATAAAGTTGGAAACCGTATTAAGGCTAAATGGTGCTGGGACTCACTTTACATTCCTCTTTAGGATTGAGGCTATTGGGTTGCCAACTTTTGGCTTCTACTGCAAAATGGTTCCTTAAAACAGCGACTCTATAATAACTATGTGGGTAATTCTCTGAATTAGGGTCCTTTCACAGGGTTCTAAAATGGGCTTCTGAGTTTGCGGTTAAGAGCTTGAGGCTTAGAGGTTAGGGTTTCAGGAAAGCTAAGGATTACAAGGGTTTAATTAGAAGGCCCTACAAGGGTTCTACAAGGTTGTTATCGGCTTTTTTTGTGAAAACCCTTTAGAGGCCGCATCCAAATTAACGACTCCGCAATGCAAACCTTCAACACATTGACCGGAAGCCCAAACTCCCGCAACCTGCCGAACTAATGCAGAAACGCATCAACAGGCTACAACCCCCCCCTCCCAGCCGATAATTGTGACGCTTTACCTTGTCAGAAGAGCCTACCAGAAAGTAGTCTATGATAGTTGAAGGTAGAACCAGATAGCACGAAGCAGCACTCAAACCCAAAGCTGGGTCAAGCTGCTTTGGCCTTCACCGACAGTGCTGTAAGGTCAGCATCGAGAGAGAGTTTCCTCGGACTTGTCTGGCTTCCTGAAAAGACCCTTTGGTATAAGGGTACTCTTTGTCCTAAGAGGGAGACCCCATATTAAAAAGGGCAAAAGGGTACTACTCAGGAACCTAGTGTACTACACAAGGCCTAGAAAGTTAGAGCAGGGCTTTCTAGGATTTCTATAGGGTTGTATCGAGTCTTGTGAGTTTTCACAGGTTTATATAAGTGATACAGGATTGTGAGGTTCATTATTCGGGCCATGACAATTACAATGGGGCCAACTTTAGGGTAAAGTGCCACCACACCCGGGCTGCAAGGACATACTGCTGATGGACAAAATCCTGCATGACCCTAAGGACCCTAAACTATGGGACATATGGTATATTCCTTATAAAGGGTAGTTCAGGATTTTGTCCATCAGCAGTATTACTACTAATTTTCCAGACCTTAGCATCAAGACATTTGCAGGCTCATTAAAGTATAGGGATTTAAAGGGCCTATCTAGCACGGAGGCCTGAACATGCATTTGTGCCGGTGTCTATATACTGTATTACCCCTCAATTACGGCATATAGCAAAAATTCATGGTATGAAAACTTTTACAGTTTAAGGTACATTCCTTAATTTAGGGGCTTTGGGCTCTCTGGGTATGCAGGCTGGTGTTGGGAAGACTGCTAGTATGTGCGCACATATATATATATATATATATATATATATATATGTATGTATGTATTTCTGTATTTATAGGACTTTTCGGGTGGGATCGAGGTCAAGTCAATCCCAAACAAGGGCTAGTTTAACGGTTACCCACCGGACGCCGGAGAATAGACGGAGTCGAGCCCGCAGCAAGCGTGACCACCATTTCTCGTAGGATGACCATTGTGTTGAACGAGGCCTTGCATAACATCCACGAAACCCTGAGACGTGGTCGTGCAAATGCAGAAATTGGGGACCTTAACATGATACCCCAAATAGTAGGATCCTTATTCTAAGGACCCCAAAATGAGGTACCCCGAATTTTCGGAAACTCCCACATAATGCATCTATGATGTGTCCTCCGGGCCCTTGACGCAACCCTTACACAGCCAGATGATAGCTTGAGAAGCCCCTAGACCCGAAACCCTAAACCCTATGCTCAACTGGGGGTTTCGGGTACTGGTAGCCCCCCACAAAGATGATTTGGGTGGTTGTCAAAAAGTTTAGGGTTCAGGCTTAGGGCCTAGGGTTGTCCCTTATTATTTAGGGTACTCAAAAAGGGACCTTAAAACTTGATAACTACCCATTTGGGATTCCTCTTCCTGTTGTTCGATTTCAACCTGGAGCCTTAATCCACACAAGAAAAAACCCCAAGCCAAGCGACACTTTCTGCTTGCCCTGTTTGCTGAGAACAGCCACCTCGCAGCCGCTCATCATGACTCGCACCTGGGTCTGAGCTCTAATTTGAGGTTCGTGGTTTTGGGTGGGTAGTGTTTAAGTCAAGGGTACACGGTTTGAGCTTAGGGTCCGGGGTTTCATCCGAGTGTTCGTGGCCAGGGTCTAGGCGTTAGGAAACCTAAGGTTTGAGAAAGTCTTATGCAAGACTTGTGAGCGTTGGGCTGTGAAATCTGCCTCATAGCACTTCGTAATCTGGAGAACTTCCAACTCTTCTCGCCCAACAATGTGCCCCCGCAAGGTCAGAAGATAATGACGCTCGAAACTCGAAACCCCCCAAAACGAACCCGAAACCATCACCAACTCAAACAACGAAACACTGAACTCTAAACCCGAAATGTTAAACCAACTATACTGTTTAAGGGTTTCGGAGGCCTCAAAAGGGGGGATGAAGGTAGGTAGGATTAAGGATCCCTTATAGAAGGACTCTTATTTGGGAATATCATCCCACCTACCTTCATCCCACCTTTTGAGGCCTCCGAGGGTTGCCGGGTGACTCAGGAATGAATGCTGGCCAAGCGGCAAACTCCTCAATCAACCTTGGCACAAGCACAGAACTCAGAGACTCCAATATCCCTTAATTAGGGAATATACCTTAAATCATATTAGGGATCCTACTATACTTTAAGGTATATTCCTTAATTAAGGAATATTGGAGTCTCTTGGAAACCTAAACCCTACAGGACCACCCTAAACCCTGAAAGGATCCCTGAAAAGGAACCTGAAAAGAGCCCCTTACTGGAAACCTGGGTAAAGGGAAGCCTACATCCTGAACCCTTCAATCAGCCCTACGTAGAGGATCATGGGAATAGTAAGTAGCTTGAAATTCCGGATATAAGTCCCCTACGCGGGGTTGTCCTAATTATGTATAACCTGCTTATAACCTCATACTTACTAAGTCCCATGAGCCTTTAACTTTAAGCCGATCCTAAACCCTAAACCCTTAAAGGAAACGATTGTAGAACTCTATATCGTACCCTTAAAAGGAACCCTAGACCTTATATTTGCCAAGTCCCATGAGCCTTTAAGCAAACCCTAAACTCTGAACCCCAAACTTGTGCTGTGGTCCACAAAACCGCTCGGAAACACCTCCAAAACAACGCGGGGCGCTGAAAGCATCACCCTACCAAACTGTTCAGGTTTCAGGGTCTAAGGGGTTTAGGGTTCACGATTTCGGGTTTCGCACTGGTCTTTGGATGGTTGGAACGTTGGACTCCCCGAACCCCTACCCGAAGGTCGGGAAAACAACAGGTCCTCCTTCTGGTTCTCCGCGAGCTGCTCCAGGAGAGCCTCCGTGAGGTTGCCGCTGCCCTTGCGGTACTTCTTCACCATCTTCAAGATCTCCTCGTAGGGCATCTTGTCTGCCTCTTCCTTCGAGATGATCCCCTTGTGGATCAAAGCTTTCTTGGCCTGTTTCGCCTCACGCAGAGGGCCTCTTCCATGTTCCGGCTTGCTGTTGGACCGCTTTGCGGTGCTCATGGTCTCGTTGTCGGACGGAGGGTCTGGCTCCTCCATCACAAAATCTTCCGGCACTTTCGTGCTCTCGGTGCGGGCATCGACCCCCTCCAGGGCCGTCTTGTCCAACTTCTTCACACTCCCGCTGGCCGGCTCCATGGCGAGGAGCTACGAATTTAGATCTATATATAAAAGGTGCCCACACAAACAAAATCAAGGTTTAGTGCTTGGGGTTAAGAGTTCTGGGGTTTAGGAATATACAGACGGTCTATGAGCGGTATATGAAGTCAAGCGGCATGCCCGATGTGGATTGAGGTTACTGTTTAGTTCTTCTTCTCTGTTTCTATCAAACGGATCAGTGCTGAATAGGAACACCGAATAGATACCTTGAACCCTGACGCAGATACTTGCCCAAGATCCAAAATCCACAACAAAAAACGTCTACGCCGCAAACCCGTGCAGCAGCCTTCAGTAAATACTAGAATGGGGCTTTACGGCGCTTTCTTTCACTACCATGGTATCGAATGGTTAATCTCAGAGTAGAGTCTAAATCCTAACCCGCCAACCCATAAAGCCTTACATCCGAAAAACGTATGTAAGAACGCCATAGCACCCTCATGTGTGGTCTTATGTTCTCTTCTTCAACAACCAGGCCAAACAAAGTTCAAACTTCGTCAGATAAATCAAGTATATAAGGCCAAAAACTTTAAAGTTCTGCCATTGGCTACCTAAGTTATAACTTTTCACAACCGCACGGCAATGTAGGAACCGCATTAAGGAACCCTGGCCATATTACCCCACAGGAGTAGGATTCATATAAGGAACCAATAAACGCCCAAGATTGCTTAATCAGATTCCTACACTACATTCTTAACCCTACCCTAAGCCCTAACCCCGAAACCCTGACATGGGGGGAGGGGGTACTGCGAACAAGCAGCACTTGTGTTGCATTAGGCCCTGCTTTGGAGTCCCCAGACTGCTTGCCTCAGCTTCCGATTTTCGCCTGCAACATAGAGAAGCCTATGAACAAAGATCAACAACTATGCAAATCTGTGTGCATATACATATGTATTTGTATATATATACACTTATAACTATACGGATATTTACACCTACATTCATATTATGTATAATGGAAAAACGAAACAACAAACACTGATGAATTGACATGGCCCGGAGCTATTAATTACCTCATCTTGGAATGTCCTTTAGAGTTCTGGGCTCTTCAACTCCAAGCACATCCTAAAGGTGAGTGTGACAAAACATGTAGGGTTTCGTGGCTTAGGATTTAGGGTTTGAGGGTTCCGTGGTTTATGGTTTAGGGTAACACAGCTAGCTGGGTAGTTTTCTATGTTGAGTTTTGTGCGGCTCTTTTTTCATGGGGCTTTCGGGACCTGGAAAGTGAACCTACTGGAGATAACTAGACCCATCCGGTGACTGCAGCAAAGCACAACTAACTCAAACATCAGACCTGGATAGGCTTGTAAAGCTCATGAAAGTCTCGTATGTAGAACCATTATATTGCTTAGCCCTTATAGTGACCCTTATAGAGCCCTTTAAAAGGAACCCTGTAGTCGCAATGCCCTCGGTTTTCAGAGGGAGCAGCTGACGGAGCTGGACGACTTGTGCAGCCGCTGTACAGGTGCCCCGCCTCAAGCTAGCAAGGATGTGGGAGTTTCCAAAATTAGGGGACCCTAATATAGTCCGCCAAATCGTAGGACCCTTATTATCTGGACCCCAAAATAAGGTACCCCAATTTTCGGAAACTCCCATGTACAGGGTCTTGGCAAAAATCCGTGGCGCCACAATCCAAACCCGTAAAGAAAACCCTCTTGTAAGGACTCCAAAGAATCCTAAAGCCCAAAGCCCTGAACCCAAGAGTCCCCCGAGATCTCGACCGCTGAACTGAGGGCACCCATAGAAAGCGAAATCACACAAACACTCGGTTTGGGGTTTAGGGTTCGGGTCTGGGGTTGGGGGGTTCGATAATAAGGCTTTAAGGTTTGCTGCCCCGGCCTTCTATATTCGCAAGCTTTTGGTTGTACAAGGGTCCTAGCTTGCATACAGGTCTTAACAGAGGTTCTTAATTCTACTTCAAGGGTTAGATGCAGCTTCTTTGAAGCTAAACCGTGACAGCACCAAACCTAACATCTCACAGCCTAAACACTGAAACCTCGAGCTGTGTTTCAAGATGCTGCAGGATTCGGGTGTACTGAATAAGATTCGGGTAGAAAGATTGGTCTCGGGTTGAGCCCCCAGCTTGAAGATGTTAAACAAATAGGTTTCAGATCGTCATCCCTGCTGTATACGAAGCTATCAGCCCTGGACCTACAATCCTTATCAAAATGAAATGCTAAATCCTAGATCTCGAATCCCGAGCCCAAAATCCACCTCAAACTGAGAACCCTTGATCAAAAAGTCTTGAAGCATCTCGAGAAATGACTCATGTCAAGAAACCTTGGATTTTGCAACCTCAAAAGGTGACCCAAACAGATACCCATCGGACGCAGAAGATGAAAATAAACATGCTTAAACCCCAAGCCCTAACCAAAAAACCGCCCAAACATAAACTGCCGGTCGCCGTATTCCTGCCAGGTGTAGGCTTCAACAGCCTATTTTTGCGCAGTTAGCTGTTTCCTACACGAATATCCTAAACCCTAAACCCCTAAACCCTAAACCCTAACTCTCCAAGCCGATAGAACCCTTGCAGGCACCCTCAAAAGGAATCCTAGTGAGCCGCCAGATCCGCAGATTCGTGGATCAGCATTCATACGGACCCTTAGTGAGATTAGGGGCAGCGGGGTAGGGGACGATTCTTCCTTAAGTAGGCCTTAATTATTAAGCCCTTATTGTAGGTATTAAGGCCTCCCAAGGGTCCCCATGACAATGCTTGGAGACCCCACTCCAAGATCAACTTGCTCACCCAGTGCTGACGACTTTGCCTAACAGTTTCGTTTGAAGATTCACGGCCCTCGGCTTTTTATCACCATCCCCCTCCGACCAGAGCATGGAAGGTAGTGCAGCCTCGACATCCGCATCCTCTGCAATCGACGAGAAGGCGGCGTCCTTCTCACGCATAACTCCGATCACGCGAGCAGTGGCACTCTTTCCACTGCCTGACGGCATTGAAGGCACGAACCGCGCGGAATGCAGGAGGTGCCAGCCAGGAGAGAATCCTGGCGGCGAGTGGCATTTCCATAGTAGATCTTCGAACAGTCCTCAAATCAACACGACAGGACAGCAGGGCGGCTGCGACGTCATAAAACGTGCCATCGACTATCGTCTGAGGACGGGGCAAGGTTCGCGGTCACTTTGCTTTGCAGCGCCCTTCCAATATTTTTTATTCGCAAACTTCCTCTCCACTGTCACCTTGCCATGAATTTACGGGGGACCACGACCACTGTTATAAGCATAGGCATTGATCTCGGCCACGACCACGCTAACCATGTCTGAAAGAGCAATGCTTACAAGAACAAAGAGAAAAAGCAAAGGGTAACAGTTGAAACGACCCTAGCGAGAAACGTTCAAGCATGTTTAAACACACAGCTGGTTGAACAAATTCCTCTGCAAACAGGCCCCTGCCCTTAGGTGTTGAAAAGGGAGCAACCGTTGACATGTGTAAGCGTTTGACCGTTCAACATGTTTAGCCCGACCCTGCCCCCTGAGAGGCAAATTTATTCCAACAAAATCCGGCCTTGACCTCGCTCTTTTTGCGATTGCTTTGAGCCTGGCTCTCTGCTCCTCTGCGAGGCTTTTCCTGTACTGCTTGAGGTTGACTTACTCGGAAAGGTCGCGGTTCAAGTGTTGAGTGTTGCGAACAATTTGCCATTCTTTTTCTGAGGTGCTGACAGAAACCACAACTTTCCGAGCAACTTTCAATACGAGTCTACTGCTCAATATTGGAATCGAGAAGAAAGTTAGCCTGGCCTATGGGCGCGTAGTGCGCAGCCTGGACCAAAGCAACTTTCTCCACCCTCCACGTCCCCTCTTGTGGTCTCCTTCTCTGGCCCTCCGTCAACCGGTTCTCTTTCATTCTGGCCGCAACTCTGGCCAAACAGGCCGCCCGCCGAACCCAAGGGTCCCAGCACACCTGATCAAACCTTGTGCTGGTCCCCTCGCCGCCCGTATTCTCTCGGACCCTGACACTCATGATCTTCCTCTCCACGATTCTGTTGAACGAATGAGTCCTTCCAAACTTTGACGATTTTGAAGTCGCGCTCTAGCACGATAAAGTCGTTCCGGTCCTGGCAAGAACGATCCTTGATGTTTGGTCTCACACGTTCGACCTCGTAGAAAATACGGGTCCCGTGAGCCAAACCTCGAACCTGGCAAGTTGGAGCATTTGTTGTCGAATCGCATGCAATTCGAAATGTTTAGGGTGCAGCGTACCGCGAGCATGCCGCGCAAAAGGCTGAATCCGAAGAGCAAGAGCACGTCCAACGACAGCCATGACAAGGCCCATGAACGATCCCTTACGGTTTCAGGGTTTAGGGCTGCTTAGAGTTTAGGGCTTAGGGTTATAAGTTATAAGCCCTAAACCCTAACCCCCATACTTTACAAACCCTAAATCCCGAGACCCCACAAACCCCATAAGCCCCAAAACCCCATAAACCCTATAAGCCCTAAACCCCAAAACCCCGTAAACCCCATAAGCACCAAAACCCTATAAACCTAAACTCCAAACCATAGAAACCTTCGTCCGGAAGCCTCTTCCGAAGCCGGCGGAGCGGTAACATTGGCGTTTCCTGATCCACGGCATAGGGTTCTGGGTATGGTGGTTTGGGGTTTAGCGTTTAGGGTTCAGGGTCTGGGGGAGCTTTCCAGAGACATCAACAGCTCTCCGGGATTTCGCGCTGAGGGTTTCTTTTGAGTTAAGGGTTGCTGCAAGGGTGCTTCGGGGTTTAGGGTTTTGTTCAGGTTAGGGTTTAGGGGCTTTTGGGGTTCAGGGCATGGGGTTTTATCGTCTAGGGTGGGGACAGCTAGTCCCCACGCAGCCCCTCAAGACTACATTCCTTCTCCCGGTGGTTCAGCTTCACCCTATCCACTTTTCGGGGTGCCTGCTCTTGACTCACTGGCCCAAAGCCCAAGGAAATAAAAGTTGAAACTTTCAGAATCGATTACCTTATAAGAGCCCCAAAAGTTGAGAAGTTGAGTTTACAGCCAATAAGTTGCTAGTCGAGTCGGACAGTTGCTCTAGACAAGCAACCGGGTATGACAACCTGCCCTAACTGTAGCCTTGCATCTAACTGAGTTGTCCTTTAAGCCCTTTGAAAACTATTTACTATTCTGGTTCTCTACAAAATACTAGGGGAAATTAAAAAAAGATCCCAAATGACAACCCATCTAAAAGCTAAGTCCTTCAGCCTTTAAGTAGGTCGAGCCCTGAAACAAAGAGGGCGCACGGATGGCACAACACATTCCTCAAATTCATCACAAACGATTGGGTTAAGGGGTTCCGCGTATCTCACCCCATGATCGAAGTTCAGAGGAAATTTCGTCTTTGGGGGATCCCACCGCAACGAAAGCAAAGCAAGATATTCCCACCTATACAAACGTAAGCCTAGACCTGAAGCCTACATCCCAAACTCTAAATCCTAGCCTCTCACTTCAATCCCGAACGCGCCCAAATCCGAAATCTACATCCAACACCCTGAACCTTTAACTTCGCCCTATCTGGGCGTTTAAATAACAAAGGGGGAAAACGGTGTAGACTTTCATTCCATATTGTTCCCTTTAATGTGGCGGCTTGTTTCGGAATATGGCCTCCTTTAATGCGTTTTTCCGGGGCTAATTCAAACCGGCACCAAAAATTTGGGAGGCTTAATTAATGCGTTTTTTTGGCCGGGGGATGTTTTTTTCGGCGGGGCTGTGCTGTCTGCTGATGGTCAATCTTAAGGCAGCCACGACCTAAACCCCCACCCAAACCCTAAAACCTTGGCCCTGATGCCCGAAAATCGCTTGCAGAAATGTTTCGCTTATCGGGGCGTCAGGAATGATTTTTTTTGCAGAATTGGTACTGTACTACTGATGCACTACTAATGTACTACTATTGTACCATTGTACTGCTACTGTAGGCTTTGCTTATTGGGGGGGCTAGGGTGAACGAGCTGCCGAATCGGGAATTGGACCCTTGCTCAAAAGAGGCCTCTCCAGTACTAAAGTTTGTACAAAAAATTCAATTTTGGATCGAATCTGGAGGGACCCCCCTTTGGGAAGGGTTTAGGGTTTAGGGTTTGTTAGGGTTTAGGGCTCAGGGTTTAAAGGTTTGTTAGGGTTTAGGGTTTGAGGCGCTGGCTTTATGCTTTGCTTATTGGGGGAATGTGCTCACTGGCTTTATGCTTTGTTTATTGGGGGAGCGTGCTCGCACGACTACTGTACTATTGCTGTCCTACTACTGTACTACTACTGTACTACTATTGTACTACTATTGTATTATTGTCTTACTACTGTACTACTATTGTCCTACTGTTGTACTACTGTACTACTACTGTACTACTTTACTACTTCTGTATTACTACTGCACTACTACTGTACTACTACGTTACTACTACTGTACTACTGAACGACTATTGTACTATTACTGTACTATTACTATACTACTATTGTACTACTGTACTATTCTCGTACGACCTGTACTACTATTGTACTACTAGCAATACTGTACAGTTAATGTACTACTACTGTACTACTACTGTATTACTATTTGTACTACTGTGCTATTCTCGTAATAGTACTGTACTACTACTTTACTACTACTGTACTACTACTGTACTACTATTGTACTACTGTACTAGTATTGTCTTACTACTGTACTACTATTGTACTACAATTGTACTACTGTACTACTATTGTACTACTTCTGTACTACTACTGTACTACTACGGTACTACTACTGTACTACTGCACGACTACTGTACTATTACTGTACTATGACTATACCACTGCTGTACTTCTGCCGCACCAAGCCTCAGACGTGGTCGATTATGGAGGGGAGTGTAGCTTGGAGGCAAAAGTGCTCAAAATAAAGGTTTTTAGTCTTGGTAGTTATCTTGGAGTGATCGGGGCTTGGTTTCCAGCATTTGGTGATCCCCAGACCCCGACCGCGCATTCGCGCAGAACCGCAGACCCTGCACCCAAGCCAGCCCCCAAGCCCCGGTACCTCCCAATTCCCTTCTAATTGATTGATCTAATCAAAGCCACTTAAACCCCTGACCCCTGTCCGGGTTCACCGGTTCCAAATTAACAACAACAAAACTTCTTCGTTGGGGGGGGCCCGTCCATTAAACGAACCGCTACATTAAGTAACATGTCCCAGAAAAGAATTAAAGTACGGTACTCCAAAGCCCAGCTATACGCCCAGGAACCCCTCCTAAAAGTTAAACTTTTAGCCTCCTTACTCTAGTTCATATAGAAAACCCCAATTATTAAAGTCGTAAGAGCCAACCAGACCCTAAACCCTAAACCCTAAAACCCTACCTTAAACTTCGCCCATACGCCCAGGTACTGATCGATGAGTATCCGCATGCAGATGACAAAGCGGTCGCAGGCCTCCTGATCTCACGGTGTAGGTTTCTAGGGTTTAGGGCTTAGGAGTTTAGAGTTAAGGGGTTTAGGGGTTAAGGGTTCAGGGGTTTAGGGTTTAGGAAGAGGCGCGGCTTGCGGCGGTTTCACGTTCAAGGCTTATGGTTTAGGGCTTTTAAGGCTTCGGGAGGCTACAGCAACACCATGCGAGAACTATAGGGCCCGAAATAGTAACCCTTTTAATCATCAACTCAGTAATTCTCTTCATCGTTTCAGGGGTTTCTGGGGTCTTGAACTTTAGTTATACTCGTAAGATAGAGTCATATTGTGCCGAAGAGTAAGGATCGTTTATGTACTTCAAGAGCATTAAACCTCCTCTTAGAAAGCAAGCACAGACTTTGCCTTTACTTCTGAATCCTGCAAAGTGCCTGCAATCCCAAAACAAATCCAGTACCCTGAGGAATGCATGCAAGATTACCGTTCATGGACACTCTACACCTGAAGCCTATAATACCTGTCGAAGCACTCCTCCACAGCATGAAACATACCCAAAAGACACATATACAAGGGATATTGAAGTAATGCAAAATCCTTGACCCTGACCCTAAACCCTAAACCCTAAACCCTAAACCCTTACCAAAGACCCTCATAGAACCCAACGGAAGCTCCCAATAGCGGTCGTTAAAACCATTGAAGTCTCCTAAACCCTAAACCCGACATTTCTGAACCTCAAGGACATCGAAGCCTCCATATATATAAAGCATCCCTTGATTATGGAGAAGCCTCATACAGAATCCTTTTGTGCAGGCAAGATGCTACATGGCCCCTAAAACCCTGAACCCAAACCCCTGAACCCTAAACTCCAAACCCGCATTTAAGGCATCCCTTCATGCTAAATGCCCCCTAAACCCTAACCCCTAAACCCTGAACCCTAAACCCTAAACTCTAAACCCTCGTAAAGAGTCCTTTTCTGCAGGCAAAGGTGCCGAATGCCCGAATTTAAAGGTGATGCACTCGCCGCCTTCCAACTCCATGGTTGCACACCTTTGAGGCATTTAGGAATTAGGGTTCAGGGTTTCCTTCAAAGGGATCTGTAAGGGTACCTTTAAGGGGATCTATAGGGTTGAGGGTTTAGGGGTTTAGGGGATTAGGATTCATGGTTGCGCACCTTTGAGGCATTTAGGGTTTCAGGCAAAGGTTTATGGAATAACTAGGGTTGCTTAAAGGGTTCCTTAAAGGGCTCCTTTGAGGGATCTGTAAGAGGGAGTGTAGTTGGATTCATGGTTGCACACCTTTTAGGCAGGGATCCTTCAAGGGTTCCTTAAAAGGCTCCTTTACTATACGGGCTCTTTGAGGGGGAGTGTAGCCGTGGTTGCATCGGCAGGGTGTAGGGGTTCAGGGGTTTGAGGGCTTTGGATGTGGTTTCCGCTGGAAACCAAGGTTTGGGGTTTAGGGGTTTAGAGCTTTAGAGGAGTAGGGGTTCGTTCAGGGGTTTGGCAAGCCATAAGTCCAAGGGTAAAGGAGGGACCCTTAATAAGGACCCCTAGGTATATACCCTTTATACCCATGCCATTATATACCCATTATATAGCCCATTATAGGGTATAGGGGTCCCCATTAAGGGTCCCTCCTTTTCCCCTTTGATTAAGGTTGAGGGTTTAGAGTTCAAAGGGTTTCGGTTGTGGTTCAAGGGGTTTATACTTTGGGGTTTGGGGTTTCGGGGCTGAGGGGCTTGAGGCGCAGCAGGTCTACTTATATAGAGGATCATGGGACTTAGTAAGTAGGTTATAATTGGGGTTATAAGTCCCCTAAGTGGGGTTATTAATTATAACCTACTTATAACCTTACTTACTAAGTCCCATGATCCTCTAAGTAGGGAAGACTCCATGATGGCTTTGTGGAGGTTGTGCACACCATTGCAAAAGATCTGATCCGGTCTGGGGGCTGGTGTTGTTTGAATTCTGCGGCTCTAAATCGCTCAAAGGTATTCTCTAGTGGGTTTAGGGTTTACGGTTTAGGGCGAAGGGGCCACAAGCTTTGACATCTGAGTCCTTAGAGCTGCAAGGTGCGGGTTTGAGCTTAGGCAGCTGGCCTGAAGAATTACAGGATCCTCATGGGAGGGGGGATAGACACCCCACTAATCCCTAGTTCTCTCTACTGCTCCCCAAGGTTCCCTTAAGGTTCCCTAATGATCCCTTGTACCCCCCTTGAACCACCCTCCCTTAAGGACCCTATAATGAACAATCCCTAAATCCCAAACCCCAAACCCAAAACCCTAAACCCAAATCCCAACACCCTAAACCTTAAAACCATTATCAACAACATCCCGTTGGGGCACCAGAATTAGACATGGTGTGGTCTCGGAAGGAACCCTGACCCATGCCCTACTAAACCGTAACCCTCATACTCATACCCCTAAGACCACATACCGGCACCTCCTAAACCCCAAACTGCCAAACCCAATAACCCTGAAGCCCTGAACCCTAAAACTCTAGACCGTAGAAGCCATGAACCCTAAAACCCTAGACCATAAAACCCCTAACCCGGAGGCTTAAACCCTAAATCCAGCGGTACCCCAATGCAAACCCTTGGAAAACCTTTTGATAGGAGTCCACAAAAAACCTTTTGACAGGAATCGAAGAAGGAATCCTTCAAGGAAGCCCTTCTTAGATCCCGATGAGCTTCAGAATCCCAACTTGGAGGGTCGGGGGACTTAGTAGGTAGGCTATAATTGGGGTTACAAGTACCTTAAAAGGGATCCCAGTCGGGGTCATGATACTTATAAGTCTATGAAATATCTACTTAGCAAGCCGCCCGACCATCCAAATAAGCCTACATCCTAAAAAAGGGGCGTAACAGCCATAAACCTACTGTAGTGTACCCAAACCGTGCTCTAATAGTACTGGCCTATATTCCTTCTTCCTCAAACCCTACATCCAAACCGACCTCCCAGACCCGATACCCTGAAATCTTAAGCCCAACATCGCAAATCGTAGTTTAAGCCCAAAACTCACAAAACCTAAACCCTGAAAGGAACTGGGAGTTTCGGAAAATTAGGGGTACCGTACATTGGGGTCCTCATAATAAGGATCGCTTATGAGGACCCTACTATTTAGGGTACTATATTAGGGGCCCCTATATTTCGGGAAGCCCCAACTCCTAAAGCCCAGGCACCGTGGGTCGAGCTCCAGCCCCAGCTTCAGCGAGGAGGACTCCTTGGAAGTGCGCACCTCATCGACGTCGGCCGTTTAGGGTTTCACCCAGAGAGCCCACTGCCCCTAAATTGAGCAATATTGCTTACATCAACTACAGAACGCTTAACACTAGAACTTATGGAGCTATATTCCTGAATTTCAGCATAGATTATAGCTTACGTTCTAGCGGGCTTAATATTATAACTTAATCTGTATTCCTTCAAGGAATAAATTCGGGGGTCTTGTGCTCTCTGGGAAAGGGATCCTGTGAAGAGGTTCCTTGACCGGGATTCTACAAGGGTTGGTAGAAGGGTACTGTAGAGTTTTAGGTTAAGGCTTGCGGCACCTGCAAAAACTCAGTCAAACACCCAAAACCAAAAATCCAAACTCTCAGCCTTTAGACACCCCGGAGTCTTTGTCGAAACGGACGGTTCGGGATCCCCCCCGGGACACCTCCCTCACGAAAGTGTAGAAGCCGTGAAACCCGACACGTAAAAATCGAAACCCTACACGACTTGAGGCCCCTTGCAAGTCTCAACCCTACTTGGAGGATCACGGGACTTAGTAAGTAGGTTATACCTGGGGTTATAAGTCCCCAAAGTGGGGTTATCCTAATTATAACCTACTTGCAACCTTACTTACTAAGTCCCATGAGCCTTTGAGTAAAGTACATTTGTAGTATTCCGTATGCAACCCTTTTCAACGAAGTCGTCAACCTTGCAAAAACTGCGTTGCTTGGCTTGCCTGCTTCATGTCCGCCACGGGCACGGACCTTTCCTGGAAGTCCCAGCGCATGCGGAAGACTTCGCGACTGCCCGTCCTAAGGATGCTGGATCTGTGGATCTGAAGTCTAACTCGTAGGTTAGAAGCTGCCCCCACCCTGTAATAGTGACTATAAGGATTATATAGGATTATATTAGGCCCCTAATATATTCCTATTATACCACTATTACAGGGTGGGGGCAGCTTCAAACTCGTAGGGATTTTTGAAAGCAAACCCTTGGAATTATGCAGGGGTTCTAACAGAACGTTAAAGGTTACCTACTCTACTTCTAAGTGCTTTTCATATCAATACCTTAAACAATACCTTAAACTATCAGCACCAACTTGTTTGCCGGTGCTCACCAGTTCTTATTAGGAGTTACAATTGGGACACGTAAGGCCCTACCAAAGAGTAGGCCGTAGTAGTTTAGGGTACTAAACCCTGAACCGCTAAAGGTTTAGGAGCAGGAAGATGTTCTGAAGTCCCAGGGACAATGAGCAGTCCACGTCCAGCAGCGTACCATCCGGCCGCAAGATGTAGAAGTCCTTTGGATTGTTCTCAAAACTGTTTAGGGTTTAGGGTTTGGGGTTTAGGGTTGCGAACTCAGGGCTGGCGATGATTCCCGTTGGATGGGTCTTGGGTAGGTTCAGGGTTCAGGGTGGGAGTTACGGGTTTGGGGGCGTTGAGGTTAAGGATTTTACGTCGGGTTTAGGATTTAGGGCCTAGCGGCTGCCAAAGATCCAAGTTCCAAGTTAGAACGAGAGCTTTCATGCGGGCTTTACAAGAAATCTTTGAACAAGTTTTCGGGTTCCGGCAGACTCCGTGAAGCCTTCTCATAGAACCCCATAGAAGATTTTCCAGAGACTCCGAAATCCACAATTACTGCAAGGAATCGCACTAAGGTCGATAAATTGAATTTCATTGCTTAACTACTATTTGCTTAAGAAACCCCCAAAAAATAAAAATAATAATCCCTATATTACCCCCATAAGGAATATATTTTTATTTTGGGGGGTTCTTAAACAAATAGTAGTTAAGTAATGGGCTTTGGACGCTGGGCTGTTAAACCCACTACATAAATCAAGAAAATTCCCTTGGCAAGTTTCAAACCACACATATCTTGTCCGAGGCTCTCTACCGCGCTTCATCGTCTCCACAAACATCTTGTACATCTTCTTCACCTCGGGCTTAACCCACTTGGGGGTTAGAGGACGTTTTTCAGTGGACAGGACTTGTAGGCTTGTAAGATGCTGGTAGCTATCTTCTTACCTAGGGTTGAGGTTTCTTGGCTGACTTCTGAACCCCTCCTAAAAGTTAAACTTTTAGCCTCCCTATTATGGTTCGTATAGAAACCCAAAAGTTACAGTCCAAAGAGCCAACCAGAAGAACGCCAAGGTTTTAGGGGCTCTGAGTTTCCAGATTCGGGCCCCGGCACTTGCTGTGTCAGATGAGAGCGAGATGATCCTCCACCCAGGTTCTCAAACACCCATCAGCCTATCGATTCAACTACACACCTTAAGCCATATGGGTAGTTGTCAAAACAGGGGTCCTTTTTGGGGATACCCTAAATGTTAGGTGCCGTATTAGATTAGATTAGGGACCCAACAAGACACCCTAATTTTGACAACCACCCACGAATGTATGTGTGTGTGTTTTTCTTTATAGCCTGTACGGGTTTGGGTTCCGGGATTAAGGCTTATAGGGTATAGGGCCCGTGGTTCATCGGACAATGCCACAGCGGTCTGAATAATCAGTACTTAGATCAGAGGATCATGGGACTTTGTACTAAGTGGGGATTTCCGAATTAAAACCTACTGCTAACCTGACTCACTAAGTCCCATGAGCCTTTAAGTAGTCTTTACCCTTGTGGTCCCTTATGTCTATAGTGTAGTAGATTAGTTGGACCAACCTCCTTCGGGTCGTCTGCGATGGACGCCACGGAGCTGTTGTTCCTACCGAGGAAGCGAGTTGATACGAGCTTGAATTTCACGGCCTTTGTGAAAGGCTTCTCATGATGTATGCGGCTTTGAAGGCTAAGGTACTTTGTGTAGGGTTTCAGGTTTCGGGGTTGGAGGCTCTTTTAAACAAGGGGTTCGGAAATGGTTGCGTGGAGGGCTTTGTAGAGGCAGGGGAGGTACAAACAGCTGCTCCCTCGTAGGTTTCGGAGCTCAGTCTTTGTGAACTAGTGGCTTACGGTTTGAGCTTTACAGTTTTGAGGTTTAGGTATTTGATGGTTTGGTACTCAGTAGGGCTTGGGCTTTACAGTTTTGGGGCTTATGTTTTTGGTGGTTTGGTACTCAGTAGGGTGTGGGTTGATGGCGTTTTACCTGCAATGTGGACAGGTTGTAAGGCTCAAGACAGAAACATCGTCATGGACCATCTGGAGTTATCCAACTCATGTCAAATGTACTTTGACGATCAAGTTGAGAAGGGAAACCCTGTAAACGCCCTCAGCCCCACAAACCTTTCGATATCCGATGCTTCGTAGTACCAAAGCATGCCTTAAGAACCAAACGTCCCTTAAAAGTAGGGGCCCTATACCCTTATACTATGAATTCCTGCATGGTATATTCATTTCGTCTGTAAGGAATGGATCTGTATCGTCATAACTCTTGAATGTAAACCCCAAGGCAATATCCGTGCAGCAGGCCGACTACAAATATAAAAGCCCTCACACAAACTTTCTGAAGAAGATCTTTGCTCTAAGCCCTAAATCCTAAGCCCCTTGGGCCATGAAGCCCTCCTTGAAGGGGTTCTTGTGTAGTTAAGGACTTATTAAACGCCTACTGCATGTTGAGTATATATGCTATGTCTTACTATGTAAGTACATGGAGCCTCAGAGTAAAACCCTATGAAGGCCCCTCGTTCGGTCATGGTCTTCTGTACGATGGCGCTCTGGACGCTCACTTCGCTCTTGGCGTCGTCGTCAACCTGCGGCGATTTCGCAGCGCGCTGCTGCTGCCTGGCCGCAGGTTTAGGGTTGCCGAAGCAGAGACTAGCGGTGCTTTATGTTTTAGAATAGGTTTGCACGGGTTTCGCACGGAGTTGGCTAATGTTTACTTATTCGTACTACGACGACTACTACTACTACTACTACTACTACTACTACTACTGCTACTGCTACTGCTGCTGCTGCTACTACTACTACTACTACTACTACTACTACTACTACTACTACTACTACTACTGTTTACTATCACTCCTACCATTTGTGTGCCTGTCTTCACAAATTTGTTGATATCATTACCTATATTATCATTACCACTGTTGCTAACTGTTGAATCATCTCAGGTCAGCATCCCCACTTAACACATAAAGCAATAAACCAAAACCCTACAACCCAATCTCGAAAAAACTGTACCTACACCCCTGAAGCCCCAATCCCCAAAAAATGCCAAACGCCTATAAAGGAACCCTTACATGAAACCCTGGAGGGAACCCTTAAGCAAACCCTTTCGATTCGACTCTAGAGCCTCCGCATCGATACCAAAAGCCGCAAGAAGAGCGTGAAATCATCGGCACCTGCGAGAGGCTCTGCTTGGAGTGGGGTTTAAGGTTTAGGGGTCAAGGGTTTTAGGAGTTTAGGGTTTAGGGGTTAGGGTCTAGGGGTTTAGGGTTTAAGGGTTTAGGGTTTAGAGGGCAATCAAACTGAAAGATTCCTGTAAGGCTTGGGATTCGGCTTAGGGGTTCAAGATTTCAGAGGTTCCTTTGAGGCTCCTTTACCTGGACCCTAAGGAACCTACCTTTTTAGGGTTCCCGAATATTTCTTTATATAAGTCCTTAAAAGGTAGGGTTACCTGGGGTTAAGGTAAAGCCTCCTTTCAGGCTTACCTTCAGCGCATTTCTGTAAGGTCTGGGATTGTTGTTAAAAGGGCTCTTTTTCCTAGAAGCTGCATGAAGCCTTCCTAGAAGGCGACCACGTCAGTATAATGGGTATATAATAGCTATATGAAGGGTATATACCCAGGGGTCCTTATTAAGGGTCCCTCCTTTTACCCTTGGATAACCCAGAACCCCAAACCCTAACACTTGCACATCCAAAAGGCGCCTTTGGCATGTCCCAGGTGGAAGCTCAAGCAATCTCCAGTGCTCAATTCCAGCACCACCCAGTTACCTTGGTCGTATCTTAGGGAGATCCAGCAGGCACCCCTAGAGAATCTATAGGCATTCTATTTTCCTGTCCCATAAATGGAACACCAGAGCCTAGTTCCAAAGTAGCCCCGCAACACTAAGGGGTGCCCGCTGTTCGATTCTATTTTTCGTGAAGGAACATGGCTTAAGTCATAGTATGAAGCGATTTGTAATTTAAAGTAAGTATACCTTACCCGCAAATAACCTACTTTTTCAGAACTCATATAAGGATTTCATACTAAGCAACCCTAAAAATGAAGGTTCTTTGGGTCCAGGTAGTCCTTAATTAAGAGGGTAGAGGGCTCTCTGGGGAAAGCCTTCAAGCTTGACCTGCCCCCCTTGGCATTGTTGGCAACTGAAAAACGTGCCAAAGTCGGGGGCTTCGGATTTACTTACTGGTGCCTAAAGGAGAGTGGAGGAGGGCATACAAGGACTGCTACAAAATCCATTACCCATTATAAGGAATATACCATAAATAGTTTAGGGTCCTTAAGGTAATGCTTGATTTGTATCATCAACCCTTACCATGGATCCCTTAGAGTCCTGAGGGTCATGCAGGATCTTGTCCATCAACAGTATGAGGGGATATAAAGGGACCATTATTGGGATCTACTCTCCCACTCCCCCTAAAGCACCGGTAAGCCCTAAACCCCTAGTAGTACAGTAAGGAACCTTTAACCTTTTTTGGGTAGTATAGTCCCCATATAAGCCTTGTATAACCAAAAAGGTTATATAACCTTTAGTACGGCAAGTTTAGGGTTTGGGTGGCTTAAGTTCAAGGGGTCCGCATCGCGCTAGCAGTCTATATTGCAATCTGCAACCCCGCAAGGCTCATCCCCAGACCTCCTTAAAGGCTCATGGGACTTAGTAAGTAAGGTTCTAAGTAGGTTACCCGTTATAATTAGGATAAACCCACTTAGGGGACTTATAACCCCAATTACAGCCTACTTACTAAGTCCCATGATCCCCCAACTAAACAATATTCCCACAAGAACTCCAACAAACCCTTCACACCATAGCAATAAGGCATAGCAGACCCCTACTTAATACTCAGAAGCTCAACGTACTTAATGAGTAGGGCTGGATTGCAATTAGGATATCCCCGCATAGGGCTGGGCACTTATGACCCCAACTATAACCCGACCTACCAAATCCCTTGAGCCCTCAAGTAGCGAGGGTACTTTACGCAATGCCCAGCCCAAACCTTACCGTGCGCGCGGAAGACAAGACCCTCAAACCATCTGGAAAAGTTCAGCCGTTCATGTACCGTCACTGCTTAACATGAAAGCATGAAGCCCAATCCCTAAATCCCCTTCGAACCCCTAAATCCTATAAACCCAAGCCTAACCTGAGCCCAGTTTGGTAACCAGGGGGCTGTCCAATTCATGACCCAGGCTCCTTGCGTGGGAAAAATCAAGAGCACGGGTTTAGGAAAAGCTTTTTTTTTTTAACCCTCTTTTCTCTCTCCTAAAGTTTAGGGTTTAGGGTTTAGGTTGGCCTTCGGGCTTAGGGTTTCGGGTTTAGGCTTTAGGGCTTAGGGGGTTTAAGGCTTAGGGTTTAGGATTTAATGTTTAGGGTTTCGGGTTTAGGTTGACTTGAAACTATGGGTCGGACCATGCAACCTAAGCGAAGTCTCCTTGAACCAAGCCCCAGGGCTTCCAAAACCCCCGATGTCTAGACCTAAGAGTAACCTAGGAATAAGAAGGGTGCCCTTTTTGGTTCAGAGGGGTTTATAAGGGAACCTGAACCCTAAAAAAAGGGAATAAGGGCCTACTCTGGGTCCTAGTGGTGATGTTTGTCACCGTCAGTCATAGGGACCCTTGGGGGTGTAGGGGGAGGGGGGGTAGGGGGCCTTAATGCCCATAATAAGGACTAATAAGGCCTATTTAAGGAAATATAGTCCCCTACACTCCTCCCCCCTACACCCCTAAGGATCCCTATGAGTTAAGGGATACCTGGGGGCCTAGGGTTCCTTTAAGGGTTCCTTTTAAGGGATCTATAGGGGAAATATAGTCCCCTACACCCCTCAGGATCCCTATGAATGTTTGTCACCGTCAGGCTTACGGGCTAAGGACCCAAAGCTTCAAGTCCCCAAGCCCAAACTCTGGAACAGAGCAAGTTAGGGTTTAGGGTTTAGGGTTTAGGGTTTAGAGCTTTAAGCATTAAAGAGAAATTCCCGGGTTTTTATGGTTTTTAGGTTTAGGGTAAGGCTTTCGGGAGTTGGGGTTTGGGTTTGGGGGTTTTAGGCTTTGGGGAACGTTCAGATGAGGTTGAAGGCTTACACGGGCCAAAAAGAACCTACCTCGTTAGGGCTACGTACTATGCTTTCCTTACGTTACATATGTCCAAAAAAAGTAAGATATTCAGGGTACAGGTAGGGTTTAAGGTTGTGTCTCTTGAGGTGGCTTTGTCATTGAGAATCCTATTATTTGGGGTCTGTCTTGGGATCCCGGATCTTCTCAAACCCTAAACCCAGAACCATAAAGCAAAACCTCCTAAACCCTAAACTGTACTGTAATCTATTAAAGCACCATCCTGTACCCTGAGCCTGAAACCCATTTTTCAGTACCCCTACTTCCTAGATCCCCCGATAGATCCATTCACGGAGCCATTACAAAGAACCCTGCCTTATAGATCCCGTTCAAAGGGCCTCTAAACCCTCCAAGCACCACCCTAAGAGTAAACTGTAAGCCCAATGCCCTGATAGCACCACTCACCCGATGCTAAACGAGAGCCCCAGGCACAGGGGCATCGCTTCCAAGCCACGGTGAACTTGCAAAACATCTGCAAACCTGGGTTTAGGTTGACAATGGTTTGCCCTCGAGGGGGTTGAAGGGTTCAGGGTGCAACGGTCAGGATTTGCAACAGTGAAACAAGCCAATCCCCCAAAAACCTAGCCACCTAAAGGGAGCAAAGCCTCGGATGGTTTGGGGTTTCTAGTGTGTGGGAGTTTCCCAAAATAGGGGACCCTAATGTGGTATCCCAAATAGTCGGATGCTTATGATAGGGACCCCCAAATAAGGTACCCCTAATTTTCGGAAACTCCCGTGTAGTTCCCGAGCCTCAACCTGAACCGCCAGCAAACTCCGAAACCCAGCCCGCGAAGCCTCTGCCTGTGCGCATCCCCAAAAGTTTTTGGACACCGGCCTTAAGGACGAAATGAACCCTAAAAGGGTTTAAGGTTCATATACCATATAGGGATTTATAGTATATGGGCATTGGGCCCCTACTTTTAAGGGTCATTTGGTCCTTCAGGGGATCACAAAAAACTTGAGGAAAAGCAGCGCCACAGCACGAGCACCATCGCCAACCAGCAGAGCATCGACAGCCTGCAGGCCGACATGTTCTGGTTGAATTAATACCATGTCATGCGGTCTTGTCATGGGCTTATACGGATGTTCTCGTTAAGTTGATACACTTTCATGCGTTTGCGGCATGGGCTTAGATGGATGTTGTACAGGTGCCTGGGGGCTTTTGTAGAGAAGCTCCATGGTTTGTAGGAGTTTGTTTTTGGTTGTGAGAAGGTTGCCTGACCAAATGCAGGATTTGGGAGCCCTAAACCCAAAAAGCCGTGCGCCCTAAGTCTGGACCCTAAACCCTAAACCCTAAACCCTCAACCCTAAACCCTCAACCCTAAACCCTAAACCCTAAACCCTAAACCTAGGGTTCCAGGTTTTGGGCTTCAGGGTCCCGAGGCCTGATGAACCCGAGACTGCAGTATAGGCGCTAAAACCCAAGCCCTAAACCTGCAGTATCTATACAGTAAGCCCTAAACCTGCAGTATCTATATCCCCCTTAGAACCATAACAAAAATAATATTTCAAACATTCTCTTGGGGTTTATATGAACAAATATAAAAAAATATTAAGGAGACTATAGGTATGGGGTTGGGGGTTTTGGGTTTAGGACCCTAAACCCTAAACCCTAAACCCTAAACCGCAGTGTCCCGTCAACTTCGGTCCGAACCCAATGCCATGGAATGCGCTAGTAGTGTACTTAGAGGATCAAGGGACTTAGTAGGGTTCCTTTAAAGGGCTCCTTTAAGGGATCCTTTAGGGTTTAGGGAGCTATAATATAAGGGTTCTATAAGGGGGAGTTTAAGTTACTTAGAGGATCAAGGGACTTAGTAAGTAGGTCATAATTTGGGGATATAAGTCCCCCTAAGTAGGGTTATCCCAACTATAACCTACTTGTAACCTTACTTACTACGTCGCATTATCCTTCAAGTAGGGGCTGTATACCAATTGGAATGGGATGCTTGCGTATGCTACCGCATCATCTATTGTAAATCTACGATAAGTGTAAACAGGAAACCCGAGGAATGATATTGGTAACTAGTGATTCGGTACTAGCTTAATAAGAGCTGCTGGGATTCGGCGAAGCCTTGAGCGCCTGGAGGCGTTCATTAGGGTATAACCAGGGTTACCATCGGGGTATCGGGTTCTTTGAGATTTGGGGTTTAGGCCTAGCGGTTTAAGGCAAAGATGAAGCAACAGTTCCCTAAGCACCTGGCTTGCAAGCTAGCTTAGCGGTAGCTGGCTCATTTATGGACCCGCTCAGCCTCCCATGCCCCCATGCCCCCATGCACCCACTCACGGACCTCCTGCCAAATGCTCGCTCTTTCGATAAGTAGCGTGCACAACAAGTGACTGACAGACCACTTACTGAGCAAACAACACCAGCAAAAATGAGGTTGGCTTTTACAAAACCGAACCTGGACATTGAAGAGCTACGGCTAGGTAGAGCAGACCGATCCAACACAAAACCCCAAACCCTAAACCGTAAACCCTAAACCCTAACCTGTTGCTTACCGCTTACCGAGCCTGAAGGGTTCAGCGTTCCAAAGCTTATACGGTTTTGGGCTCTCGGGGTTAAGAAACCTAAACCCTAATCCCCAGACCAAAACCCTAAAACCTAAGGGTTGCTTGCCTTCGTGATCTTGCAAACCACTCCAGAAAGTCCATTCCTCATCAGGGACGATGCTCGGAAAGCGGAGAAGGTTCGGAGCTAATCTTGCGAGCCGGCTCCTGGGTTTTCTAGGGTCTCTTGAAGGCGGCTGAGGGTTTTGGGCCTGAGGGATTTCGGGTTGGTGCAGGTTTGTGCGGACCCCTGATCAAGTCCAGCGCCTTTCAGGTATTGCATTGCACGCGACGAGGAAAAACTTATCAGAGGTCTATGTCAAGTGCAGAAAACCACAATTAGCAAACCCAAATCTCCAAACCAAACCCCCAAACCCTGAACTCCCTCAGCCCCAAACCAAAGCAGCCTATGTTATCGTAGAGCCCTTGCAAGGAGCCCTTATCAACCCTAAACCGTGAACCCCAAACCCCTAAACCTCTAAACCCTACACCCCAAGGCCTTGAACCTCAACCGCTAAACCCCTAAACCCCTAAACCCTTCTAAGGAGCCATAAGCGGAGTCCGCCGAGGCACTTGCTCGGCATGTGCAACTCGCGGCCACGCACAAAGTCCTGGATGAAGGTCTTCAGCGCAGCCTTCAGACCTCTGCAGACTCGGCCTTTTCTTTGGGGGGGTTAAATGTTTAGGGCAGGCTCAGGTTTCGTATTTAGGGTTTAAGAATGAAGGGTTTAAGGCTTCGGGCTCAGGGTTCTCAAGGTTTACGGGTTAGGGCTTACTTAGAGGCTGATGGTATTTAGTTGGTACTTATTCAAATTGTAACTACTATTTGCTTAAGAAACACCCAAAAATAAAAATAATAATCCCTGTATTACCCCCATAAGGAATATATTTTTTATTTTTTGGGGGTTCTTAAGCAAATAGTAGGTAACCTTCCTTACTAGATCCCATCAGCGTTTAAGTTGGGTTTAGGATTTAAGGTCAAGCTATACCGTCAGGTAGGCTGTCGAAGGAACTCAACAGAAAATCGATCTTTGACTTGATGAAGACCTGAATTCCTGTATGGACCCTAGACTAAAGTTGCCTAGACCGAGGACACCCCGTGAAGAAGCCTAGGCTAGACTTACATACAGAAAAGTCTTTCAACAAGTGCCTTGATAGAACTGTGCACCCTTTTTCCGGGACCGGATCACTACAGGGGACAACCCCGACCAAAACCGCTAATTGTGATTCCTTTCTTGGTGATCTTGATTCAGTATCATAGCTTTCCAAGGAACTTCAGGCAAGGGAACCATATCGGAGGGCATTGTTGTTGTTGTTGTTGTAGGGTGCTGAGAGACTCCGAATAGGCCGTAGCCCATATTGAGGCCGCCTAGAATTGAAATTACTCTCCTTCTTAAGAAGGCCTTGGAATGGTCTGAATAGTTAACCATAGCAGCTAATAGAACCCATATAAACTACTCTGCCTATGATACACCGTATACCGCAAAGGCCATTCTGCCAGGCCCCGAAATTGGGAGGGGAGGTTGTCGGGCTTGAAAGATTCTAGATTCAGGGGTTGAACCCAGAGACTCCAATACTCCTTAATTAAGGAATATACCTTAAATTGTAGTAGGATCCCTGATATGATTTAAGGAATATTCCTTAATTAAGGGATATTGGAGTCTCTGGGTAGGTTCAGGTCTCTAGCCCACCTGCTGCATCTTGTGGCTGCTGCGACTGGCTGTGTTGTGCGATCACCGCCGTCTGAACGGAGAAGTCCTGAGATTACCCAGAGAGCCCAAAACTCCTTAATTGAGAATATGTCTTAAATGATAAGGAGCTTCATATTATTATTAAGCTTTGAGCTATAGTCCTTAAGGCGTTTTGGGCCCCCATGGATACCCTAAAAGCCCTGAACCCCGAAAGCCGCACACCCCTAAACCCTGAACCGAACCCCAAACCCTAAACCCCAAACCCTAAACCCTAAACCCCAAACCCTAAACCCTAAACCCTAAACCCTAAACCCGAAATCCTGAACCCTTGAGGCTTCATCGAGCTCTTGACGGAGAGGCTTGGGGCGTTTAGGGGTTCAGGGTTTAAGGTTTAGGGTGTAGGGGTTTAGGGGTTAGGGTTTAGGGTTTAGGGGTTAGGGTTTAGGGTTTAGGGTTTAGGGTTTAAGGTTTAGGGTTTAGGGGTTTAGGGATTAGGGTTTAGGGGCTTTAAGGGTTTAGGGGTTCAGGGCTTAAGGCTTGGCGAGGCTTGGGGTGTTTAGGGTTGTGTTCAGTCCGGGGGGTGACGGCTGGCGCTTGGAGGTGAAGTTGAATGCGCCGACATGAACTTGGACTTTGAAGTAACCCAAGAGAAAGCATAAACTTTTATTTCAGAATGGTTCCTTTAAGGAACAGGTATCAAAAAAGTATTCAAGTATGGTACTGCAAAACTCAGACTACGCGGTGCTTGTCTACCTTGATACGTCGTTTGCATGCTACCATGTCACAACATGGTGCATGCCAGAAGGATATACCTGAAGGACCAAATGACCCTTAAAAGTAGGGGCCCAATGCCCATATACTATGAATCCCTATATGGTATATGAACCTTAAACCCTTTTAGGGTTCATTTCGTCCTTAAGGTATCAGAGCAAGCTGTACCAGAACGCCAAGTCATGTCTGTGTCCGATACGAAGACAGAAGTTCTGCTCTCAGCCACTGTAAGCTATAGGCCCTAAACCCTCTAGTCTAAAACTTCCGTACTTGGCCCCCAAAGCCCGAAGTCGAAATTGCTGCAGCTCAAAACCGCAACACCCAAGTCACAGAATTCTGAAACCCGAAACATTTGAATCCTATGCACTCCATATATACCCTAAGCCCTAAAGTCCTGAATCCATAAACACCAACCGTCAAAGCGCTACGTAAATCCTAATTCGAAATCCCTCAATCCCAGAACCCTAGAAACCTAACCGCCTACAGGTGAGGCAGGAAGCACCCTAAACCCGAAACCGTCAACCTTGAGCCTTGAGCCCTAAACTAAACCCTAAACCTCAACCTTGGCCCTAAACCCTGAACCTCAACCTTGGCCCTAAACCCTAAACCCGCAACCTTAGGCCCTAAACCCTAACCCCAAACCCAAAGCCCTTAAGTGGGACATGATGCACTCCGCGCAGAGAAAGCCGACTCGGACTTGGCATCGCTGTCATCGATTTGAGCCGCCTCCCAACTTCTTTGTTAAGGGTTTATAAACCTTAAACCCTACACCTCAAACCCTAAATCGTTCGATTTGTCAAGGCTTTTGTAAAGGGTTCTTATCAGGGTCTGACGAGGGCCTGCACAAGGTTTTGCACGGATCTTTGTAGGGCCTCATAAACATGCGGTTTAATTAGGGTTCAGGTTCCTCATAAAGGGCTACGTTCAAGATTGAAGGGGTTTGGGGTTTTTGGCTTTGGGCTTAGGGTGCAGTGTATAGTGCTTAGGGCCTAGGGATTATCCACCCCAGGCTTGTTGGTTTCAGGCCCCTATATTACGCGAATAGAAGAGGCCAAAAGCCGAAGCCCAAAGCCTAAACCCCTCAACCCCCAAATCCCTAGACCCTAAATGGGAGTTTCCCAAAATGGGGGAACCTAATATAGTAGCCTAAATAGTAGGATCCATATTATAAGGACCCCCAAATAAGGTACCCCAAATCCCTATAGACCCTAAATATCTCAAGCTCTAAGCTGCAATCCGCTAAACACCACGCCCTACGTAAATATCTCAACCTCCAAACTGCATCCTAAACCTACTAAACTAAACCCTGAACCCCTCAACCCCAAACCCCTATATATCCCTTAAAGGAGCTCTTTTTCTTGGTGGCCTTTACTACTATTTGCTTAAGAACCCCCAAAAAATAAAAAAAATATTCCTTATGGGGGTAATATAGGGATTATTATTTTTATTTGTTGGGTGTTTCTTAAGCAAATAGTAGTTTAGAGGAATCCTACACTCCAAAAAGGGCCTCTGAGCCCTGAGCCCCTAAACCCTAGCTCCTCAAATCCGAAGGCTCCAAAACCCTAAACCCTCAACTCCTATAGACCCCTCAAAGGAACCCTTATAAAGGAACCTCAAACACTAGGACCCAGAGTAGGCCCTTATTCCCTTTTTGAGGCTTAGGTTCCCTTATAAACCCCTTAAACCAAAAAGGGCACCCTTTTTATTCCTAGGTTACTCTTAGGTCTAGAACAAAGAGGGCCTCCTCTGACGTTCGGCTGGGCCGGTGCATCGCGACGGCCGCTCGCAGCTTCGCCAGACGCCGGTCGTGTCCCTCGGACCTGTCCCCAGAGAGTCCAGCTCATATGGGAGTTTCCGAAACCCTAAAGGTTCCTTAAGGGTTCCTTGAAGGGATCTGTGAGGGTTATATGAAGGGTTGGAAGGAACCCAAAAGAGCCCGATACCGGCTACGGGTTTAGAGGTTTAGGGGGTTTAGAGGTTTAGGGTTTAGAGGTTTAGGGGTTTAGGGGTTTCGAGGTTTGGGGTTTTAGGGGTTTAAGGTTTAGGGTTTAGTGGTTGGGGAAGGAACCCAAAGAGCCCGATACCCTAGGGGTTTTAAGGGTTCCGAAAGGGGTTCCTTTGAAAGGGTCTCTGTAAGTGTACAATAAGGCCGTTAAGGAAGATACCCCAAAGGAATAAGGCCTCAAGTTGTAAGTTAGGGTTCCTTTAAGGGCTCCTTAAGGCGTTTACAAGGGATGTTATGGGGCCCATACTTGAATTAAGGAATATACCTTCAATTGTATAATTGCAAGGGGCTTCATTCTGATTTAAGTTATGTTCGTTAATTTAGGGGTGTTGGGCTCTCTGGGAAGGTTGACAGGTTCAATGGGTTTAGGGCTTCATTCTGTTGGGGGTGTCGGTCCTTGGCCTTTGAGGATTACGGGTTTTAGGGCTTTGGAATTTCAGGCATGCTCAAAGGCTCACGGGACGTAGCAAGTATTTTTTAAGTAGGTCATGAACAGGATAACCTCAACTATAACCTACTGACTAAGTCCCATGACCCTTTAAGTGGAAACGCAGGGCTGTAAACGTGTCTCGTTGGCATTTAGGCACCTTTGGCTTATAAACCTCCAGACCCTAAACCCCCGACTCTAAGCTTTAGACCCTCAGCCCTAAACTCTGAACTTCAAACGCCAAGATCCAAATCCCCCCCCCCAAAAAAACAACTCGAGACCCTGAAGTATTGATTGACCCTCAACCCGAAACCTGAACCCCAAACTCTAAATCTTGCTGCGCCACTGCTCCACGTCTCCATCACTACAAGAGCAATACCCCAAATCATGTAAAGCATCACTTGATTTCCTATGCTTCCTATGCCTTACTTGAGGATTATACCTTCAACTATTCAATGGACGCCCTCATGTTTCGAGACCCTAAACCCTAAACCCTGAAACCCTTGGGCACCTCGTGGACACCTGCGCCGGCTCAGGCGCCGGAGCTTCCACCTTGCAGGCTGCGAACCCAAAGAAAGGGTCCTTTAGGGTTCAGGAGTTTGGGGGTTGAGGGCTTAGGAGTTTAGGGTTTAGGGTTTGGGGTTAGGGTTGATGGTATAAATCCTGCATTACCCATAATAAGGAATATACCATAATTCCCATAGCTTAGGGTCCTTAAGGTCATGCAGGATTTATATCATCAACCGTAGGGTTTAGGGGTTTAGGGGCTTAGGGCTGCAAACCAACAGAGCTCCACGTCCCGGGTTTCTGTACCACCGAATTAAGCAATTTGCCTTTAATTACAAGGGCAAGATACCATGATTTAAGGTATATTCCTCACTGAAGGAGTGTCGGGCACTCAGGGTTAATACATACATGGTAACAAGTAGGATTTCTATACCAGGAACTACCATTATAAAGCTTTCGGGTTTTAGGGTTTTGGGGGCTTCGGGTTTCTAGGGTTTAGGTTTAGGAGTCTGGGCTTTTAAGTAACCAGGGAGAAAAAGTATAAACTTGTGTTTCATAATGGTTCGTTTACGAAAAAAGTATTAAAGTATGGTACTCCAAAGCCCAGAAACAGAAAGCCTAAACCCTAAACCTTAATCGTTTCAGGAGTTTTCTGACAGAGCCCAGAAACTCTATTCTTTAACAACCCGGCCCCAAAAAGTTCAAACTTTCAAAGATAGAGCTAATATACAAGGCCAAAAGTTTAAAGTTCCCCCGTTCACTATCAATTATAGTATCCCTATGGGAGGGGGCTCCAAGGGGGGTAGGTAACCTACTAATCCCGAGGTCTCTCCAGTGCTCCCTAAGGCTCCCTTCAGGTTCCCTAAGGATCCCTTGTACCCTCCCCCCTTGAACCACCCTCCCTTAAGGACCCTATAAATCTAAGGAAACAGGAGGCCTGCTGCTCTGCGGGCTTGGGCAGGTTCTTTGTCGGCGCAGCTGCGGGCGGAACAGCGGGCGCTTGCAGGAAAGGATCCTCGAGGGATATGGGACTTTCCGGAAATGGGGTACCCCAATATAGTGCGCTAGATTCATAGTAGGATCTTTATTATAAGGACCCCAGATGAGGTACCCCTAATTTTCTTATATAGGGGGCTTAAGTTTTCGAGTTTAGGGTTTAGGGTGCTTAGGCTTTCGAGTTTAGGGCTTAGGTGGCTTAGGGTTTCGAGTTTTGGGTTAGGGATATGCACGCCGAGACTTTCCAAAATCCGTTAGTCAAGGAATATTCCTTAAATCATATTAGGGGTCTAATAAATTGTCATGTATATTCCTTAATTAAACGGGTCACGGCTTGGGGTGTAGAGTTCCAACAGACTCAAAAACAACTACTGAAACATATGCCTCAAAATGAGGATAACAGATACAAAACATACTTAAAGGATCACGGGACTTAGTAAGTAGGTCATAATTGGGGTTATAAGTCCGCTAAGTGGGGTTATCCTAATTTATAGCCTACTTATAACCTTACTTACTAAGTCCCATGAGCCTTCAAGTAGGAGGCCCAATCCTTCACTACGTTACCCTACAAGTTTCGGGTTGCTAAGGTTTCGATCACATGAGCCCGGTTATCGGCAAGGTTCATGCCGCGGCTTTGTTAAAAAACCCTAAGCATCTAAGGACTCATATATTAAAGCTTTTGGGTCCAAAGACCATACTCTATATATATATATATATGGATGGCTTTTGGGCTATTTTGATGCCTAGGGCTCAGGGTGCTAGTTGCTCAGGCTTCTATCGTAGGGTCCTCGCAGTTTAGGGTTGAAGCGTTACAGTAAACTCCATGAAGTTGGAAACAGGATTAAGGAGAAATAGTGCTGGGATTCCCTAGACATTACTCTTGAGGACTGAGGCTTTTGGGGTTTCCAACTTTATGTGGTTTACTGTAGAATTGCGTACCATAGCTATAGAGTTTAGAGTTGTGTTTTCAGGATCACTTAATCCGTAAGGTGGGGATCAAGATGCCTACACCAAACGAACTCTTACCAAAGAGCTTAAACAACTGACAGGAGTTTTAGAAACCAGTTCAAAGTCGACTTATCTCTGGGCCTACATAATCACCAACACTGTGTTGGGGGGTTCATTATTATCATCATGGTAGAATATACCCCAACACCCTCTTCGCTTTCTTTAAGCCGATACTAACTTCAGACAAACCCCTAAACCCTAAACCCCTAAACCCTAAACCCTAAACCCCTAAACCCTAAACCCTAAACAAATCCCGAGGCCTCCCCGTCAGGCAAAAGGGGCAGCTCGGCGTCAGAACCCGCGGGTGACCTCTCGGACGGCATTTTGTGAATTTCTATGTGGTGTGATTGCGGCTTTTAATCTAGACCTAAGAGTAACCTAGGAATAAAAAGGGTGCCCTTTTTGGTTTAAGGGGTTTATAAGGGAACCTAAGCCTCAAAAAAGGGAATAAGGGCCTACTCTGGGTCCTAGTAATTTAAGGGTATTGACTTTTGGGCTGTTTTTGGAGCTTTTGAGGCTTCGGACACTTGGGGTTTTGAAGTTTCGAGGCGATAGATTCTGTAGATGTTGGGGTTAAGGTTCAGGATTTATAAACCCCAACCCCGCAACCCTGACGTGTAAACCCCTATATCCCTGAACCCCAACCCCTAAATCCCTAATCCCAATATGTTAAACATGCCGCCCCTCATGTCGTGATTCCGGATTCATCATAAATATTGATTAACCCCCCCCCCCCCCCATGTGGCGATGCCGGTTCATCATACATTTACAACGCGCCCCCCTCATTTGGCGAGGCAGGTTCTTCATATATCCACAACACGCCTTCTCATCGTATCTTTAGGGGTAGTTGTCAAAACTAGGTTCCCTTTTTGGGTACCCCAAATATTAGGTGCCGTATTATAATAGTTACCCAAATAGGGACCATAATTTTGACAACCACCCATATATCTTAAACACGCCGCCTCGTTTGGCGATTCCGGCTTTTTCAAATCTTAAACACGCCCCTTCACAGGCGATTCCGGTTGATCACCTGTCGAAAACCCGCCCCCTCATTAAACCGTAAAGCGGCGGAAATCTCCTCAACCCTCAACCCCCAACTCTTATGCCCCATGGCCCAAAGCCCGTCCCCAAACCCTACAAAATAGTAGGTTCTGACCCCTCAATTAGAGGTTAGAACCCTTAAAGCGGTAGGTTTTTGGATCTAAAATACTAATACTAATGTTAAAACTATAATAATAATAATACTACTAATGCTAAAATCCCCAACTCTGATACCCCAAAGCCCGTCCCCACCCCTCGCTGGAGCGTAAGGAAGGCTCCGAGGAAGGCGGCCTGCCGGGGGGCTTTAAACACTTAAAGGATCATGGGACTTAGTACGTGGGGTTTAGGGTTCCTTTTAAGGGTACTTTAGGGTTCTATAGTAGGCTTCCCTTTGAAGGGTTTAGGGGTTTAGGGTATATTAGAAGATCATGGGACTTAGTAACTAGGGTTCCTTAAGGGGTCCTTTCAAGGATCTATAAAAGGGTTCCTTAAAAGGGATCTTTAAAAGGGATCTATAAGGGTTCTTTCCGGGGGTTTAGGGGTACTTGGAGGATCATAGGACTTAGTAAGTAGGTTATAATTGGGGTCATAGGTCCCTAAAAGAGGTTATCCTAAGTATAACCTACTTATAACCTTACTTACTAAGGCCCATGAGCCTTTAAACACTGACTTCCCTGGGTGCGGGGTTTAGGGTTAAAAAAAAAGGGGGGCTTAGGGATTAGGGTTTACGGGCTTCGGGTTTAAGGGTTTAGGGCTTAGGGGTTCAGGGCGCTTCGAGGTCTAGAGTTGTGGGGTTTGGGTGTTGGGGTTTAGGTTTTATGGTTTAGGGGTTTAGCGTTTGGGGGTTCAGGCGTTTAGGCTTAAGGGTTGAAGGGTATAGGGTCTAAGGGTTCAGGGTTTGGGGGCTTCGGGTTTGGGTTTAAGGGTTTAGGGTTTGGGGTTTGCTGGACTGTTGATTTAATCAAGGCGACAGCAGTAAGTTTGTAGTTCATAATAGTCCTTTGAGGAACAGGTACCAGCAAAAAGTGTTCAAGTATGTACTCCAGAACCCAGTTAAGCTACGGTAACTACGATAATTGCTGCTTGTAGGTTCTTATTATAGAACCTGATATGAAATCCACAGGGACCCTACATATGGTACGGCTCAGGGATGGAAGGGTGGATGACATGTGTTTCTGCGAGAGATAGCAATATAAGTCCTAAACTCTCAGACCGTGACCGCAAACCGGACTCTTGTCACTTAGGGAATTTAGTCTAAGTTACCATACTAGGGAAACCATATTGCTTACTATAGATCCCTATGGAAGAAATTCCAACAAAGCTCCTTAACAACTCCTTAACAAGAACCCACACCCAGTCGTAAAACCCTCAAAACCTTGCCACAACACCACAAAAAGTCTCCTAAACTCCCAACCCGCAACACCCCAAGACCTGAATCTCCCCACTGTCCTAACCTCTCAAAGCTTGAACCCCGAAACCAGACACTGCAGAAGGTACCAAACCCTGACACTGACACGTACCTCTAAAACTCTACACCCTAAAACCCGCGTTGCACAACTCTTGTGGGGTCTAAGAGACCCGGCTCCTTGGACCAAATGCCTCCCAGATGCCGCATTGTCACACTCCACTACTCCTTGATAAGGAATATACGTTAAAGCATAATTAGTCATGGGCTTCTTCAATAGTGTTTGAGGTGTTTGCCTTAGCTAAAGGGTGGGTATTGGACTCTCCGGGTAGTATGTCTTGAAGGGTATCATACACTTGTGCTTCCCCAACAAACCGCAAACATACAAGCGTAAACTTTAAGACTAGAGCTAAACTGAACGTTTAAAGGGTGGGTATTCGAAAACTCTAAGAATTCGAAAACTCTAAGAATATGGGTGGTTGTCAAAATCATGGTCCCTTCTTGGGTCCCTATTATAATACGGCTCCTATTATTTAGGTTACCCAACAGGGACCCCAATTTTGACAGCTACCCCTTTGAATCCTTGCAAGCTGACCGGACTCACTAGGGATTCACATGTAAAGCACTACTGTTGATGACATAAACCCTGCAATACCCATAACAAGTGAATATACCCATACTTACTTCCCATAGTCTAGGGTCATTAGGGTAATTCCTTAAATTACAAAACCCTAAACCCATCATAACTAAACCCCAAAGCCCTAAACCATAAACCCTCTTAAACCCTGAACCCCAAAGATAGGAACCCTTAAAGGTAATGCAGGACTTATATCATCAACGGTACGAAAGGCAGAAAATGGGGTTTGGCAGGAGGCCCAAGGCATGTTCAAGACCCAGAAACGAAGTGGGCTAAAGACACCCAGGGCTTCGGGTTCAGGGTTCAGGGTCGAAGGTTTAGGCGGTTTAGGATTTAGGGTTCAGGGTCCAGGGTTTAAGGTCTAGGGCGACACAAGCCCTGGAACGAAAACCCTAAATTCTAAACCCTGAGCCCTAAACCCTAAACTCTCAATCCCCCGCCCCAGAACCAACCTAAGCCGGCACCGGGCCTTCTTCCTGCGCCTGCGATTCGCTGAACGGAGCCCCGTTCCAGGTCAGAGCAGCAACAGGGCCTGGGTTCAACGGTTCAAACCATGGGCCCCTAGTATGGGCCCTTAACCCTGGGATCCTTATATACCTACTATCTCCCCTCTATAGACTCTTAAGCGTCCCTAGAACTCCCTCAGAGCTAAGGAACCATATTAGGGGCCAATACTTCTAACCTTAGGTGGGTTCAGGGTTTTTGGGGCTTCAGGGGATCTTAAAACTCTTTTAAAGGGCTCCTTTAAGGGGTTCCTAAAACGATTCCTCTAAAGGCACCTGGAGGGGTTTTAAAAGGAAATAAGGAATGTACACTATAAGGAATACTTACTATAAGGAAAATACACTGAAAGAATAAGTACTGTAAGGAATATTTACGATAAGGAATATAACTATACTGAACTTAGAACCCTAGCAAAAAATATAATTTTGGCTGTTTCTTAGGGGTTATAATAACCAAAAGTTAAAAATTGTTTCTAAGTACCCCTAAGTATAATATGTACGGCAGGGTCAGGGCCCAAGTGCCGGCGAGCTTCCACGACGATCCCGAGGGCACCTGCTGTCAGTTTCGGGTTCTGTCAGTTTAAAGGGAACTCCAGAAAGTTGGAATATGGTTTCATGGCAGGATACCCTATAATTTACCATAGAAGGGTTAGGATAATCATATTCCAACTTTCTGGCTTTTACTATAGGGTTTAAGCTGTAGGGTTCAGGGTTTAGGGCTTAATGTGTAGTGTTTAGGGTGTAGGGCTTAGGGTGTAGGGTGATGTAGGGTGTAGGGTTTAGGGTGCCATTGAAGGATGATGGTCAGCAACGATAACAGAGTAAGGCAAGTCTTAGGATGATACTGCGAGTAATCATGTTGAGCGTGCAATTCTTCTGCATAGAAGCTTTTGCTTTGCTTCAACCTCTTTTTCACCTGAGGTTCAGAGCTTTGGGACTTAGGTTTTTGGCTTTCGGCGAAGAGGGTTTCTTCAGGGTTTAGAGCTTGGGTGTTCTTGGTCTGGGGCTTAAGGCTGTGAGAAAAAAACGGCGAAATGTCTTCGTCAAAGCTTGATTCGGGCTCATCTCATTGCTCCGGGCGATAAAGAGAATACAGCCGGACCATAGTGCCATAGTGGAAACCAGCGAGCTGACAACGACCATCACATATGTGAACAATGCACATCAACATCACCCACGTCATCATCACCCCCAAACCCTACAAACCCTAAACTCTATCACTAGCACGACTCTTGTCACGGTCAGAATCAAATGCCACATACAGGAAACAGGGAACATGCTTGCAATGTTGCTGTTTACGTCGTCGTTGTCTTTCACCCAACTTGAACGATGAGCTCTGACTCTGGTGCTCCACAGCCTCCAGAGTCGACGCTTTAGAGTGTCGCGGTTTGGGGGTTATGGTTATGGCTTTAGGGGTTTAGGTAAGGCTTTGGGGGTTTAGGGCTTTAGGGTTGTAGGCTTTAGATGTTTAGGGACGAGCACGTGTATGGAGTCAATTGCTCTACAATTCTGTCCTCACTAAACCCTGAACTCAACTTCATTACAACCCCATGGCCTTAGTGTTCTTGATGAAAAAACCACAGGGCACCGTTGTGGTTTTCATTTTATTTGCCTGCAGTTTACCCGATGCCATGAGACCATTCGAGCCAACGAAGCAGGAAAATGCACCACAGTGGTTTCTATGCAAGGTCTTATGGCTGGCATTCAGTTTGGTGTTGTTTCACTTACGGGGCCCAACTACTTAAGCGCCCTTGGAACCATACTAGTTTAAACAGCCCGGCTGCGCGTTATTATGTTTCAACAAGGTTGAAAAGATTCTAATAGAAAGACTACCGAAGACTAGAAGCCTTAAAACCCTAAACCCTAAAATCCTAAAGATAAGACGACAAGACCCTAAGCCCTAAAAGGCTCATTACTTACTACCCCAATAAGCCACAGTAATAAACGGTTAAACTTTCGGATTCCTACTAAACCATAAGAACCCCCCCAAAAGTTGAAAGGTTAGGTATTGGGGATCTAGGCCTTCTAGGGTTCCTTTAATTAGGGTTTAGGGTTTAGGGTTTAGGGTTCCCAGGGACTTATAGTTTTAGCTGTTTCTTAGGGATTATAATGACCAAAAAATTATTTCTAAGTACCCCTAAGATTAAACTCTACTGGAAACTCCCCTGGCCTCGTCGTGCCTGGCAAACTCCTGGAGCGACCTGGACAGCGGAAGCCGCGAGATTTCGGTGCTTTAGGTTTAGGGTTTGGGGTTTTGGGTTTAGGGTTTCGGGTTTAGGACTCTAGACCCAAGAATTAACCTCCCTAGGAATAAAATTGTGCCCTTGTTGGTTTAAAGGGGCTTCTAAGGGAACCTGAACCCTTAAAAAGGGAATAAGGGCTTACTCCGGGTCCTAATACTTGCTTGGTTTGGGGTTTACGGTTTAGGGTTTTTCTTTCAAGCAGGGTTTAGGGTTCACGGTTCAGGGTTTAGCATTTTGGGTTAGGGTTTAGGGCTTCAGGGGATGAGGGCTTTCCGTTTACGGTTTAGGGCTAAGGGGTTTGGGTTAGCCTTTAGGGTTTGTGGTGTAGGGTTAAGGGGATTGGGTTAAGGGTTGGGGCTTCATGGGTTTCGGGCTTTGATTTCAAGGTGTATGGTTTTAGGGTTTGGGGGTTTAGGGGTTTGGGTTAAGGGTTTAGGGTCTAGGGCTTCAGGGGTTTAGGACTTTAAATTTGGGGTTTAGGGCTTTAGAGTTTAAGGTGACCAAATGTCCCTTAAAAGTAAGGGCCCTATAGCCATATACTCTGAATCCCTATATGGTATATGGGAGTTTCCGAAAATAGGGGACCCTAATATCGCACCCTAAATAATAGGATCCTTATTATAAGGGCCCCAAATAATGTGCCCCCAATTTTCGGAAACTCCCATATGAACCTTAAACCCTTTTAGGGTTCATTTCGTCCTTAAACCCTAAAATCTACAAAAACCCATATAATAACCCTTATAGGAACCCTTTAAAGAAACCCTTTAAAGGAACCCCAAAATGAACCTTAAACCCTTTTTGAAGGAGATGCCTTCAGCCCCAAGCCTACGCCTCACCACGTACCGGCCGACAAGTTCATCAAACCCTAAACCCAAAACCCTAAACCCTAAACGGTTTAGGGTTTAGGGTTTAGGGTTTAGGGATCATATAGAAGATTTCTATATGTTGCATAAATATCTTTTTATACTATTTCAAGAGCATATCTCTTCCATTTTTTTCAAGAAGAGTATAGTATGCTGCTTTTAAAGCATTTCAAACATGCTAGTAGGTAAGATCCTCTTATGTAAGCCCAACAAGAGCAAAAATGAAATAAGCCCTACCTAATCATGAAGGCCTCTGTGTTACTGAGTGGGGGCAGGCAATACCCAAAACTTTTGGGACTGTTGCCGAAGCCGCATCGTCCAGTCTCCAACATATGCCAGAGGCCTGTGGTCAGGCTTGGGATCCCACAACCCGAAACACCCCGAAGCCCCAACGCCCCCGCCACGGCCCCCCCACCCGATCAGGCGACCGGCGAGTGCCGGAACCGTAGATTCCAAGGGTAAAAGGAGGGACCCTTAATAAGGACCCTTATGTCCTAAAAACTCCTACCAGACAAAACCGCAAAAGTCCACTAGCCCTAGGCCCTACTTAAAGGCTGATGGGACTTAGTAAGTAAGCCGTTAGGGTACGTATACCCCCAATTATAACCTACTTACTAAGTCCGATGATCCTGCAAGTACCGTTCTGCAAGCGGGGGCTCCGACGGAAGGGAACCCACGCCGGCCCCGGCATCGGCGCTGCTGCCACTGCTCACTTCCGAGTCGGCTCGCCTGGTTCGGCAGGGTCCCTACGTGGAGGGTCGAGGGACTTAGTAAGTAGTTATTCTATAGACTTACAAGTATCATAACCCCAATTAAGATCCTCTTTAGGGTACTTATAACTCAACTATTGAGGATTTAGGTTTGGGGTTGGGAGTAAGGCGGTGAAGGCATCTGGGGTCGAGAGCTTTGGGACTCAATCAGGCTGTGGCGTCCCGAGTATAGGGGCCTTACTCAGGCTTCTATATGATTTTAGGGCTTGTTACCAACGCCTCTGACTGGGACGAAGTGTAGTTGTTCTCGTAAGGGAACCTGAGCCGTAATGTTGCCTGCGCCACTGACTGAGACGAAGTGTAACTGTATACTCGGAAGTGAACCTGAGCCGTAATGTTACCTGCGCATCCGACTGGAACGAAGCATAACTGTACTTGGAAGTTAACCTGAGCCGTAACAGCATCTGGCATGCCGGTGGACGCTGAGGTTGAAGACTTCAGCATAATATAGCGACATTAACTACTAAAATGGGTTTCTAGGCAACGCTTGAGACTATAGAAGGGAGTCATCTACGGGAGATTATCTAGCAATGATGCAGACCTCCGTCCGACCATGCTCTGCTTGGCGGCGCACGCCTTGCAAGATGCATGCCTTTCTTGAAGGCTCGTGGGACTTAATAGGTAAGGATAGAATTAAGACAAGCAGCCGAGGGCTTTAGGGGACTTACGGCCCCAACCATGAAATGCGAAAACACGTTTCATCATGGTTCCTTTCGAGAACAGGTGCCAAAGACAGGATTCAAGCATGGTACCCCAGAGCCCAATTTCATATTGGCAGGAAACCATATTCATATTTACCATACTGAACTTAGAACCCTAGCAAAAAATATGATTTCAGCTGTTTCCTAGGTTATAATAACCAAAACTTAAAAATCATTTCTAAGTACCCCTAAGATAATCATACTTACCCTGGATCAATATTCTGGTAACATCCTTAGCGAGAACGCCTCCGTGGACGGCGGCTCCGCTCGCCTTCGCTGTACCTGCAGTGTCGACTGTACGGCAGTTGCAGTGAGGTCCCGTAAGCCCTAAACCCCTAGCCCTAAACCCCGAAGCCCTAAACCCTGAGCCCTAGACCCCTAAGCCGTAAACCCCTAATAGCCCTGAATCCCCAAGCCATTCATAGTCTAAGCCCCTACCCCCTACATCCGCATAGCGTCAAACAGGAATCTTAGGAGTCCATGCACCCCTAAAACTCTGGAGCCCTACACTCAAAGGGGAAAAGGAGGGACCCTTAATAAGGTTCTCTAGGTATATACCCTTAATATAGCTATTATATAAACCCATGACATAGCCCATTGTAGGGTATGGGTCCCCATTAAGGGTCCCTCCTTTTCCCCTTTGACTCCTGCACCCCACAGCCCTCGACCTCTAAACCCCTAACTAAAGCTATACCTGAACACCCACAACCTACACCCTCAAACCCTAAGGCCCCGTACTGAAAAAACCCTAAACACTTAAATCCTAAAGCCCGGACTAAACCCAAACCCTGCACCGCTAAAGCCTAAAACACGACAACCCTATACCTAAAGCCCTATACTCTGACTCTAAACCTTCAAATTCTAAATCCTGAAAATCCTAACCTACCACTGTGCAAAAAAAGTCGCTCTGTCGAGGAGGAGGTCGGTGAGTCAACGGCAGCTGGTGCCTGCCAGAAGGAAATAAGGCCCTTAAAACCCTAAACCCCTCACTTTAGCGTTTAGGGCTTAGGGTACTAGGGTTTGGGGAATAAGGCTCTGCCTTAATAATTAGAATAGGGCTTGGAGGTATATGATACTATAACTATATCAAGGAGTCAGCAAGACCCTAAACCCTAAGCCCCTAAGCTCCGAAACCCTAAACCCCCCACACCCCAAAACCTGAATTTGAGTCCCTCATTAATCCCAGACATCTACAACCAAACTACTATGCAGTCTAGCTGTGGATGCTGAAGCGCCGATAAGATTGTACTAGGTGATTGAGCAGCCCCTTTCTGATAAGGGTACCCTTTTTCTTACTTTTCGGTTTTAACAAAGAGGATCTTAAAATGAACAAAACGGGGCGAAAAAGTATTACTCAGGAACCTTGTCTAGTTGTGCTGCCCTAAAAACCTACACCCCAAACCCTAAAACCCTACACCCCAAACCCTAAAACCCAAACCCTAAAACCCTATACCCCAAACCCCCAAACCCCAAACCCTAAACCCCTAAACCCCAAACCCTAAAACCCAAACCCTAAAACCCAAACCCCAAACCCTCAAACCCAAAACCACTTTTTTAAAGATTCTAGTGGGGCCTCTGCAGCTCCCATGGGAGAGCCTGCTGGCGCGCTGCCATGAGTCACCTCCAATCACCTGAAGTCCTCAAGTGGTTCGGGCTTCAATCGTAAGCGCCCCTGGAACCATGAAAGGAGTAAAAGCGTATATCTATTTCAATCCCGTGGAGTTGTCGTGTATAATCGAATTTGTGAATATAGTTGCAAGGACACGAAAGAAGGCTTCTTCGGACTGGTTTACATAATTTCTCGCATGGGTTTGGTGGGCTGAGGGTCTCGAGGTCAGCGGCTTCGTGTTGGCTGTAGAGATGCGGGGTGGTTTAGGGGGTTTAGGGCTCATAACGTTTAGGGCTTAGTGTTTAGGGCTTAGTGCAGTAGGGTTTAGGGCTTGTAGGGGCTTCGGGTTTAGGATTCAAGGCTTAGGGGTTTTGGGAACCCCCAAGCCCGTATCGCCAAAATCCTGGACTCCAAGCCTTACCTTCTCGGCCTTGAACTCGAAATCAACAAATCCCTACGGGCCTTAAGCCAAGCCCCCCAAGGTTTCCCAGCTTCGGTTTTGGAGTTTTGTGTTTAGGGGGTTTGGGTTTGAGGTTTAGGGTTCGGGCTTTTGGCTTTAGGTTTTAGAGGTTAAGGGGCTTCGGTTTAGGGTTTTGGGCTTCAGGGTTTTGGGTTGAGGGTTTGGTTTTTGGGGTTCAATCAGGAGCACTGTTGACTGCTGTGAGCTGTGAGCAAATCGTGCGCTGCAGAGCAAGAGTTTGGGATTTTTGGGATTCAAGAGAATAGTTTTTCTGGTGTCGACTCTACATACACTAGAGCGTCTCTAGGGCAAGCACAGGAAACAGACCCTACTACGTAGTTCCGATGCTGCCTCTGACGACGGATGCAGTTTCGTGCAGTGCCACCAATTAAGAATTACGAGCTGCTGGCTAGCCTGAGCCTGTGACCTCACGGACCGGTTTCCCTCGCGGCTACGGCTGCCGGGGTTTGGGGTCTAGGCCGCTCAGGCTACGGCAGCTCATACCTGGGCTTTGAACTAACCGAGGAGAAACCAATGCAAGTTTGTGTTTCGCAATGGTTCCTGTAAGGCGCAGGTGCCCAAAAAAGAATTTAAGCACGGTACTCCAGAGCCCAGATACTCCTTTTTATGAGTACTGCAACATTTTGTCTATCACGAGTGAGGAAACCTGGTCCGAGGTGCTCCAAATAGAGCCCAATACCCCTAAAAAATAGGATTCTAGCTTAAATCATAATGCCCGAAACCCAAGACCCTAAACCCTGAAATCATAATATGTAGCCAGTTGTAGTTTAACGTATATTCTCGAATTAATTGGTATTCGGCTCGCTGGGCCCTGCAGGGTTTAGGGGGGGTTCAGGTGTAGCACCCATAGGATTACCTGGACCTATACGCAGAAATCAGAGTAAGGAACCCTATTAACCGTTTGGCAGCTGCAGAGTCTACCGCTATGACGATCAGAAGGTTAAGGGATCGCAGGATACTTGAAGGCTCATGGGACTTAGTAAGTAAGATTATAAGTAGCTTATAATTAGGATAACCCCACTTAGGGGACTTATAACCCCAGTTATAACCTACTTACTAAGTCCCATGATCCTCTAAGTAGGACCCGTCATCGGGGAACCCGAAGTTTATGAACACCCATGTGCTAACCCGACTCGCTCGACCTTTCTCCCATGCCATCGATTCCACAGATCAGTCAGACGGATCGAAGAAAATAGCTACGGGATAATCTAGGGCTTAGACTTTGTTAGATAGGGTGGTTAATGGTCTTCGGTTGAGGACTGAAGGAGTGGTGACCCAAAGGGTATTTTAGGAGTTAGGCAAGCTTGGGTCTTGAAGGCAAGCCTCGGGTCTACAAGGGGAATTTACTTTGAGCTATTATAGTATGGTGTAACGGTATCAAGGGTAAAAAAAGGAACTTACTAACAGAGCTCGTCACGGCCGATGGTCGTGGAGACTGTCCTGCACCTAGGTCGGTGACACGTCACCCGCCTTGCCAAATCGGTGTTTCGGAACCTTCAATCCGACTACAGACCCCTAAGTTTAGGGATGCCTTAAATGAGGGTTTGGGGTTTTAGAGTTCAGGGTTTAGGCTTTAGGGTTTGGGGTTTAGGTTTTGGGGTTGGGGGTTCGGAGGGCCTTGCCTGAACCGGAGCTCCTTGACAAGACCCCCTCCTCCCTCAAACGAAATTCTGGTTGCAGGAAGCCAGCAGATTAGATTAATCTTGGTCTACCTTCCCTGCGCGCTTGATACAACAGAAATCCACGACCCGATGCCCTTCACCACAAATCCTAAACCCTAAACTCTGAATTTTGTCCCTCTTTACTTCCAGAATTCTATACCCAAGCTACTATGGGGTCTAATTGCGGATGCTGAAGAGCCGGCAAACTCCAGCGCTTAGGATTTAGGGCCAGGTTTTGGGATTAAGAATTCCGGGACATGCTCAAGCAAACTCAAACCTGTGCCATAATAAAAGTAGACCTACTTGTCCAATATCCTTGGGAACTAAGCCCCAAAAAGTTTACACTTTTAGTTTTATAGTGGGTAATATAATCCCAAAAAGTGTAAAGTGCATCATCCACTCAGCTACTAAGTAGTTGAGATAGAGTTTCGCTTCTTATCTATCCGTCAGGGTCGATGTACGTGTGTAGTGTATGAAATGGCCCGAAAAAAACTGTGTCGGAACCTCTTGAGGCCTAAGTGTGTACTATGTAGGCATCCGGGCCCTCAGGGCATCTTGCAATGCCATGGTGCCGGACTGTTGTTGGTGTGGGTGTCGGTTCTTGCAGGGTTCCAGATGCGACACACCTAAACAACCCTAAACCCTAAACCCTGAACCCGAAACCCTAAACCCTGAACCCGAAACCCTATACTCTAAACTCTGAACCCGAAACCCTAAACCCAAAACCCTATACCCTGAACCCTAAAACCCTAAACCCTAAACCCAAAACCCAAACCAGGTGCTCAGGTAGCCTCGGAGAGGTCCAATACACACAAGGGTACTGTAGCAACCTGATTTAAAAAACCTTGGTCCTTTTTTAGGGTTCCTTTAAAGGGTTCGGTCTATAAGGGTTACTATAACGGATCTATAAGGGTACTATATTAATGATTAAGAAACCTGGGAATTTTTGGGCTCCTTATATGAATCCTACGATGTTGGGGTTATAGCACCAGGGTTTCTTGATCGGGCTCCTACATTACTATTCTGTTCCAATGAGGAGAATCCCGAAGTTGGAAGGGTATACGCATACTCCTGGATAACCTCGTTTTAAACCATAGGCCCCAAAGTAGTTCCTTCTGGGGAGTATTTTATAGGATTCTATATATGAACCCCAAAAAGGAACTACTTTGGGGCCTTAGGGTAAACCGAAAGTCCGAATCCTAAGCGCCCCAACCCTAAACCCCTAAAAACTGCTGAGCAAGGCTGGAGACCACACGTAGCTTACCATTCCTTAGCTTGTCAGACCAAGCATGGACTCGCCCAAAGAGCGCAGGTTACCTGCTTAAAAACTCAAGGAAGCAATTCTTCTGAATCTAAGTCCTCTGGTAGGGCCCCAAAAAGCACATAAGCAAAACAAGGATAGGGATATCCCATATAAACCCCTCTATAATGAAGCCCAATAAGGTAAATTCTTCGGAATCTAAGCTCTGGGCTCGTAGGTCTATTTTTGGTTTTGTAAGGTACCTATTAGGCACCTGGGTTTAGGATAACATTTCTCTAGGTTAGTATTTGGGAAAGTATAGGAGTACAAATGATTAGGGACCTGACCCTAAGGGGGTTTGGGGTTCTGCAGTTCAGTGCTCTAGGGTTGAGGGCTTTTGCGTGCCCAAGGTTTAGAGGTTTGGGGTTTAGGGTTTAGGATTTCGATTTGAACTTTCCATCGCGGCTGCTAAGATTCTAAGATAAGACTTGCTGATCAATGCTCCAAGTGCATCGACAGGCGCTTCGGAAATCTTCGGAATCTACGATTTTAGCTTTAGGGTGAACCGTGCGCCAACGGCTTTCATTGCTTCCTCGAGCTAGTATACACTTGACTCGTCCTGGCCTTTGAAGACGAGATGGTTTGGCCAGGGCACTCTGTGAAGGTGTGCTGGATCCTACTTTATGGGCCTTAATAATTCGAGTAGGCTTCTTTTGAAGGGCTCCTTAAAGGGATCTATAAGGGATCTGTAGTAGGGGTTCTATGGTATAGGAGCCTTCATAACTAGACTAAGGTTTGGGGGTATACTGTAATTAAAGGGGTCCATAGGGGAACTGTACAGTAGGGTTCTATGACGTAGGGTCCTGAATAATTAGGATAAGGTCTTGGGGGCCATTATACGATAATAATCATAATAAGGAACCCCCAAAAAAGAATAGGCAATTGTGAAGGCCTCTAAATTACTTTGGGGCTCTATTTCATGCTGGGGGTGGTCGGTTTCAGGGGGGTTCGCACGGAGGCTGTAGGGAGCCGAGAGAGACGATCCACATAGAAGTCTCACACCTAATGTAGACCCCTCTACAATTAGAATGGGGGTTTTGGGCTCCTTCATGGTATAACTATAAGAAGGAACCCTAAGGAACACTACAGGCAATTATTTAGGCTTCTGTATCAAGGCCTTCTAGACTCAACTTCGCGGTGTGGGGCCACCGGATCCCCAGGTAAAATCGAGGTGCACCAAGCCCTGAAGCCTAAACCCTAAACTCTAAACACTAAACCGCCTCAACCTAAAGAATCAGATTAACTTAGGAACTGAGCACCCCAGCCCCAAAAAAGGGTTCATCTTTTCAATTATGGTAGGGTTCTATAAACCCCAAAAGGTCAAAGGTTACCTACTTAGCTACTAAACTAAGGGTAGGGACCCAAAAAGGGACCATAATTTTGACAACCATCGATGTAAGTCTCAGGGTGCTCGGGTCGGTGCGTTACTGGCCGGGTGGCAGAATGTCAGCGTTCTTGGGGTGTAGGGTTCAGGGTTATTTTTTTAATGTGTAGTGACTTTTCAGTCTGCCCGAAGTCGGCTTACACACATTTTTTAAAGGGTTCAGAGTTAAGGATTCAATGTTTAGGGGTTTGGGGTTTGCGGGTTTACTGCTAGCTTCAAATGTTTCGGTTTCAGTTTCGGTTGCAAGAGCACTTTCAAGTGGGCGCCAGATGGATTTCAACCTAGGGATGTTTCAGGTTCTGGGCTCGGGAGATTAAGAGCATTTAGGTTTGGATATCTGGCGGCATAGGTTTCTGTCTTTCGGGTGTAACCTGGGGGCTTGGACTACTAAGGCTGTAGCAGTTGCAAGTATTCCGACCCGCAAAACCCCAATTGTGCAGTATCCTTAAAAACTATAGGTTAACCTTTCGGAATATGTTGGGATCATATAGGGACTGTAGTACCCCGAAATGTTAAATATTACCTACTCTGCTACTAGGAAACACGTGCGTGTTAAGTTGGAAAAAACAGAGTCGACCCTGCCAACTAGAGCATGGTTTGAAGAAGTGCGCGACAGGATGTTCCTCCCAGACCTCTGAAAGGGATGCAAGGGCCCAGGTCGGGGCGGATTTCGTGAGGTGCTCATTGTGGGGTTGGGGGTGTTTTACCACAACATTAAGAAAGACTACATAGGTGTGGTAGAGTGTATATCACGAGGGGTTTGAGGTTGCCGTCATACCGATGATCTGACGTGGACAAAGTGAGCAATCATTTGTGACTGTTGCAGAACCATGGTTACCCAAGTAGTACCTGGATACCGATTGCTGCATTTTCTTTTATTCGCTTTTGCTGCATGGGTGTAACGCTAAACCCTGAACAAAAAGGTCAAAAAGGATGGTGTGCGGAACTTAGCAAGAACCTTGTACACACCGAACAATGCAAGAAAAAGCCTGTACTACCCTCTCAGAACCCTATACACTCTGTGAGCCCACCCTATTTGTGCCAGCATTCACTCACCCCTTCCCTTTGTTTTCATGGTATACTCAGTATACCCCAAACCCTAAAACCCAACAGAGAGGGAAACCCGGTAGGCCCCCTCTTGGCTGTTTTAAGTGACATGGAACTCGCCCCCTTGGGGCCTACGGGTTTCCCTCTCCCAAACCCAAAACCCTACTTAAAGGCTCATGGGACTTAGTAAGTCAGGATATAAGTAGGTTATAATTAGGATAACCCCTCTTAGGGGACTTATAACCCCAGCTACAACCTAATTACTAAGTCTTATGATCCTTTAAGTAAACCCAAATTGCCCCTGATATCACCCTTATAGATCCCTAAACCCTAAACCCAAAAGGATCCCTTAAAGGAGCCCTTTAAGGAACCCTACTAAGTCCCACGATCCTTTAAGTACGTGTGGTATACTGGTCCTCCCCCCCACCTTTGGAGCGACCGGACCGGCTACCGCCTTGATTGACCGGGGGGCAGGGGGGGTGGGCGGAGGGGCGCATGAAGAAGACATCATAAAAAACCAAGCGGAACCTATCGCTCTCTCTTGATATATATATATATATATATATATATGTATACATATAAACACACACTACACGCATACACCTGCTTCACTACTTCATAAGACAACCCCAAACCCTAAACCCTGAGACAACAAAGAAACTCTGCTTGAAACAACGGCTCCATGTGTTTTACCTTTTGGCTCCTCAAAGAGATCTGGGAGGCAGTGCAGCCGAATTGCTCAAGGCCACTCGGTCTAAGTCTAATCCTTAAAGAAGAACTGAACCCTGAAAGGGGTCCTTTAAGGGTGCCTTTAAGGGTTCCTATGTTATCATGGGTTCTATAGGTCTGTCTAAGTCTAATAGTCTACTAGCTGCAGATTGGACCTGCCCCCAAAACATTGTTATATTTAGCACTAAGAGAGTTTGAAAATTACACCGGATAGTCTAATCCTGCTGGTCGAGTATCTTCACTGAAGGTTAACCCTCTGGGAGTATAGTGGGAATATATAGAGGAACCCCTAAACCCCAAACCCTCCTAAACCCTAAAAGGTTACGTACCCTTCTGCTAGGTAATAGTCTAAGGATCCGAAGTAGTAAACCCTAAACCCTAAACCCTAAACCCCTAAACCCTAAACCCCTAAACCCTAAACCCCTACACCCTAAGCCCCTAAACCCTAAACCCCTAAACCCTAAACCCCTAAACCCCAAACCCTAAACCCCTACCCGTCAGATTAAGGTTTGGAGCTGAGGGCTTAAGGCTTAGTTCAGGTTTCAGACGCGCAATCGCGCTGCAAGCGGGCAGAGGAGTCGGACGAAGAATCTGCCCCTAAAACCCTAAACCCCGGGAGGGCAAGGCATCGCCTTAAAATCATTAAACTGGGGATGCAAGAATTGCTAGAGATGTCGAATGTGTCAGTCTGCCAGCTCCTGAGTCCGAAACCCCAAAACCTTAACACCAAAACCCTACTTAGAGGATCATGGGACTTAGTAAGTAGGTTATAACTGGGGTTATAAGTCCCCTAAGTGGGGTTATCCTAATTATAACCTACTTATAACCCTACTTACTAAGTCCCATGAGCCTTTAAGTACAGCCCCAACTTAAAACTGCAGTCCCTGAGTCCTACACCAAAAACCATACTGAACTTAGAACCTAGCAAAAATTGTAATGTTGGCTGTTTCTTAGGAATCATAGTAGCCAAAAGTTAGAAAAATGTTACTAAGTACCCCTAAGAAAGCCCTAACACCAAAAACCCTAAACCCTAAACCTTAAAACAACCAAAGCCACCTGCGAAACGAGAGGACTTCCTTCCGGCTGCTTACTGATGCCCACAACGAGAGGCCCAGAAACAAAGTCAGACCTCGATCTAGGGTTTAGGAAAGTTTAGGGTTTAGGGCCGGAAAGAAACTAACAAAGTCTCCTATACTGAAGTTTTGGACCCGTAGCAAGTTTCACATTTTTCGCCGTTTCTCAGGGATTGTTATAGGAACCAAACACTGAAGATTATTCCCAAGTATCCCTAAGTCTCTTTTAGGTTACACCCATAGCCCTCACAGCTACTTCTGATCCAATAGACGAAACTTCGAGCCTAACAGACGGCCGACATCGAAAAACCAACCACAAAGTAATTAGTGCTCAAAACCCTAAACCCTAACCCTAAATCCCACACCCTAAACCCTAACCCTAAATCCCACACCCTAAACCCTAACCCTAAATCCCACACCCTAAACCCTAACCCTAAATCCTACACCTAAACCTTAAGCCCTAAACCCTACACCCTAAACCCTAACCCTAAATCCTACACCTAAACCTTAAACCCTAAACCCCTAAACCCTACATCCTAAACCCTAAACCCTAAATCCTAAATCCCCTAAGCCCAAAACTCGAGCATCCGGACGAGTGGCCATGACATACCCCTGAATGGAAAATCTGGGAGCTTCTCTCCGATTTCGGTCCCTCTTCTCAGGGGCGGAGTAGCTTAACCTAAAAGAAGGTTAACCTTTTCAGGTATGGTAGGACTATATAGACCCCCCAAAGGTCAATGATTACATGCTCAGCTACTAGGTCGCATAGCGCCGTAACTGTTTGGGGTTTGGGGCTACCTCAACCTACCAGAACCTACTTTTTGCAGGGGCCGTAATATGAAGCCTAATACCGAAGTTCTTGTGGCCCTAGATACACCAAGACCCTCAACCCTAAACCCTAAACCCTGACACCCTAACACCCTAAACCCTACACCCTAAAACCCTAAACCCCTAAACCTTGAATAGACATTTGGGGGTCAGGGCTTCGGTGCATAGAGCTATATAGGGTTTACGCAATTTAGGATTTGGTTTAGGGTTTAGGGCTTAGTAAGGGCTTAGGGGGTTAGGGTTCTTGGATCTCAGATTTTGGGGTCCCGTTGCTTTTGAGACAAGCTCCATCTGGAACAGAGTGCCCTCCCTGCCTACGGCATGGACACCGTGTTGATTTCTCAAGGTCCAGCAAAGCTAGGAAAAAAGGCGGTAAGTACCAAAGAGACATGAAAGGTAAAGCAGACAGAAGAAGACTGAATCACAACTCCTAAACCTCGAAGTCTGTACACGTAAGAACTCCAACACTAAGGCTAAGTGATGGAGTGACCTAAGCTGGATGGTCCTGGTGTTTTGGGGTCAGGGTTTAGGGCTGATTGGTTTCAGTGACTCTGTGTGCCCAGTGTACCTCGACACTGGAAGCTTAGAATGATGTGTTCCCTTGTTCTCTTGTGACGGTTGCCACAAATTCGATGTGTGCTGCAATCAAGCATCCAGATGCAAGCTGAACCCTAAACCCTAAACCCTAAATAGGGCTCAGGATGTGCGCTTGGAATCCTTGCGATGTGGGATGTACGCTTTAGGGCTTTGGAGCCCTTGGTTGAGGGTTGACGGAACTGTAAACCCCAATAGTAACCCATGGAAGCATAAACAAAACCGTTCACGGTTTAGGGTTTAGGTTCAGGGTTTAGGGTTTAGGGTTTGGCCTGCAACACACACACACACACACACATACATACACACACATATACACACACACACACGCGCGCATGCACATAGATACTTATTTTTCACACATACTTGGAGCTCCATTCAAAAGAAACCAAAAGCCTTTAACCAAAGACACAAAACACAACCCAACAGCTTTACCAACAATCAGATTTTTTCAACCAGAAATAAACAAATGTTAGTTGTATCAAATAGTGCAACAAACCGTAAAACAGTATAAACCTTCTCAACACCCCACAAGGCCCTTGTAACCCCCTGTATAACTGCAGAAGATCCCGAAACCCTCAACCTTCCAAGACTTGAAAGCGGTTGCAAGTTTCTAGAGAGCCTAAATAGGGTCTTGAGTTCTGTAGGGAGACGTTTTGGGCAAGGTGCTCCTTGGGCTATCAGGGCATATTATTAGTTTAGGGTTTAGGGTTTAGGGTTTAGGGTTTAGGGTATATAGGTCTTCACTGCTCACGGCCTTGCTATTAACCTCAAGGTGGATGGACGCAGCTTTGCTGCCAGAAGCCAACCGCTCAAACTCACCGCGGCTTCGGATTCGCGAATCCCGGAACTCTAAGCCTCTATGCGCATATTGCAAAGGAGAACTCTGACCCAAGCACCTGGAACCTTATTTACCAATACCGTAAACCCTCTTGTAGACCCCCAAGCAATATATCGATAAGACCACCCTTTTCACATATAAGGACATTCCTCAGGGATCTTCCTACGCTGGCCCGTGCAAAAACCTGTTGTTCAGGGCTCTTCGATAAACCCTGATACCCAATCCGAAAGCCTAACCTCAATCAATGAATGCTAGCACCAAAAACTTCAACCCTATAAACCCTAGACCAATACCCTGTCTGCCCGGGAGCCGAATTCTAAGGCGCGCATAAAAAGCACAGTGGAGGTGCTGGTAAACCCCCCCAACCCCTAGCCTTAAACCTTAAACCCTAAGTCCTAAACCCTAAAACCTAAGCCGTAACCCTAAACCCTAAACCCTAAACCCTAAACCCTAAACCCGAAACCCTAAACTCTAAACCGTGCCCGGGTTCAGGGTTCAGGGCGCTCGGGTGAAGGTTGAGGGTCGCCAGTGTGTGATTGGGGCTTTACTTTTGAAAGTGTTGGGTTTCTAGTTCATTGTTGGGATAGGATTAAAAATGTAATTTTTTATTCCCTATTGGGTGTAAGTACCCATAAAAATGTAAAATGCTACCCAACTATGACAAAGGTTTAACCTTTGCGATTGTCAGGGCTCTTTAGGGGTTGTAGGGTCTTGGGTTGAAGGTTCAGCTAGGCTCACCGAGCACTTGCGGAAGTTAAAAGATCTTAGTTGCTGAGTTCATAAGCCCCCCCCCCTAAACAAGTGTACACTTTCAGTTTTTCAAGAGATTCATCATATCATTCCTGCAGGGCGGACAGTAGGGCTACGGGAAAAGGATGGCCCTATCCAATAAACGGGCCTCTGTACTTAAAGGCTCATGGGACTTAGTAAGTAAGGTTATAAGTGGGTTGTAATTAGGATAACCCCACTTAAGGGACTTATAACCCCAGTTATAACCTACTTACTGAGTACCATGATCCTCCAAGTAGACCCAGTCCAATCCCCGTAACACCCTCTTCAATCTCTGCAAAGACCCCTCCCCAATAAGTTTAGGCTTGTGGTTAAAACCCGTTGACACCACCCCAAAACACTCTTCCATAGCCCCAAAACCCTAAGGCCCCAAACCCTGCAGTAAACCCTAAACCCTAAACCACGAAGCCACCAAAACAACAAACCCTAAACCCTAAATCATGAACCCACCAAAAAACACAAACCCTAAACCCTAACTTCAACTGTATAAACCCTAAACCCTGAACCCAACAAAAAAACAAACCCTAACTTCAACTTTATCAACCCTAAAACACCTAAACCTTAAACCCCTAAACCCTAAACCCTCAAAAACCTTCATTTCAACTTTATAAACCCTAAACAACCCCTAAACCCTAAACCCCTAAACCCTAACCTACCTTTCAAGGAACTATAGATAGAAACCACAATAAGGAACCGTAAAAAGGGATGCCCTTTCGGCCAAAACCCGAACTTCAACTTTAGAAGCCGATGGGAAAATCATCGCCTCACTCGAAGCCTGGGCGCTGACTTCGGTGATGCAAAGGTTTGGGCGCAGGGGCTGTGGGGCTTTGGGTGTAGGGGTGTAGAGTTTAGGGGTTTTGGGGCTTTGGGTTTAGGCATTTAGGCTTAATGGCTTTGGGGGTTTAGGGTTTAGGGTTTAGGGCTTTGGGGCTTTGGGTTTATAGTAGACGCCAGAAACTTGGAGGTCTGCTATGAAAAGAAAATGGAAGACTTCTTATAAAGAGCACTAAAAATTAACCAACACCCCGAACCCCAAACTCTGAACGCCAAACCCTCAACCCTAAGCCCTAAAACCAAACCCCTAAACCCCACGAATTTTCTTCATTCCGGCCCGCTGAACCTCACGGGATGCTGAAACCAGTACTTTCCTAGCCCAGCTGATCGTAAACCCTAAACCCTAGCCCCAAATCCCCTAAGACCTAATCCCCTAACGCCTGAACCCTAAACCCCTAAACCCTAAACCCTAAACCCTAAACCCCAAGTCCCTAAACCCTAAACCCCAAGTCCCTAATTCCTAAATCCCTAAACCCCAACACGCCTGATCCCCTAAACCCCTAAACCCTAAATCCTTAAACTACCCTCAGCCCTAATCCCCTAACCCCTAAACCCAAAGTCCTGAAACCCTAATAATTAGGCCTGATCCCCTAAATCCCTAAAACCTAAGTCCTTAAACCCTAATAATTTCGGCCTGATCCCCTAAACCCCTCATCCCTACGTCCTTCAACCCTAATAATTTCGGCCTGATCCCCTAAACCCCCAGTCTGGGCCTGATCCCCTAAACCCCTAATCCCTACGTCCTGAAACCCTAATTAGGCCTGATCCCCTAAACCCCTAAGTCCTTAAACTGCCCTCAACCTAGAGACTCGAATATCCCTTAATTAAGGAATATACCTTCAATCATATTAGGGATCCTACCATAACTTAAGGAATGTTCCCTGAATTAAGGGATATGGGGGTTTCCGAAATTGGGGGTACCTTATTTTGGGGTCCTCATAATACGGATCCTTCTATTAGGGATCCTACCATAACTTAAGGAATATCCCTTAATTAAGGGATATTGGAGTCTCTGGGAACCCTAAGGCGCCGACCCTCGGCGGCCAGAGGAAGAATGGAGGGAGATTCCGCCACCGTGGGAAGAGACGGGGGCCCCCCTGCGCGGCTCCGGCGCTTTTTTTTGGGTTTAGGGTTCCTCTAAAGGGCTCCTTTTTAAGGGATCTATAAGTCTATAAAGGTTCAGGGTTTAGAGTTTCCTTTAAGGGATCTATAAGGGTTTAGGGTTTAGGGATCTACAAGGGTTCTTTAGGTTGCTTAGAGGATCATGGGACTTAGTAGTAAGTAGGTTATAAGTGGGGCTATAAGTCCCCTAAGTGGGGTTCCTAATGTCATAATTACAACCTACTTATAACCTTACTTACTAAGTCCCATGAGCCTTGAAGTAGGGTTTAGGTTTCAGGGATTTAGGGTTTAGGGAGGGGCTTAGGGTTTAGGGCTTTAGGGGTTTGGGGCCAGGGAGTTAGGGTTAGGGTTTGGGGTTCAGGGGGCCCCGCATCATTGTGTGGGGTTCTAGATTGCTTCAAACACGGCTTTAGTTTGCTCTGCTAGTCTGTCTTAATGGTCGTTGAGGGGGCTCAGCTGCCTTTTTTCCAGGGTTGCAGGTCTCGTGCCCAAGCAGTGCACCCACTGTTGTTTTTGTGACGGCTTGGCAATGTTGAGTCCTGGCCCTAAATGAACCTGGGAACGCTTACGGTAACTCCAAAAGAAGTCCAAAAAATCCTGGTTTTTAGGTCTTGGCCAGTCCCTCGTGCCGACTCAAAGGGCCTCTATAAGGGTGTGTTTTATGGGTTGTGAAGGGGCTTCATAAAGGGTTTAAACGTGAGGCTTTAAACCGGGATCATCAAAAGCTCGAAACCAAACCGCGATCACTCCAAGATAACCATCAAGACGAAATGCCTTTCATTTTTAAGACGTTTCCCTCCAGCCTACACTCCAAGTCTGAGGCCTGATACTGTACAGTCGTGCAGTAGTAGTAGTAGTAGTAGTAGTAGTAGTAGTAGTAGTAGTAGTAGTAGTAGTAGTAGTAGTAGTAGTAGTAGTAGTAGTAGTAGTAGTAGTAGTAGTAGTAGTAGTAGTAGTAGTAGTAGTAGTAGTAGTAGTAGTAGTAGTAGTAGTAGTAGTAGTAGTAGTAGTAGTAGTAGTAGTAGTAGTAGTAGTAGTAGTAGTAGTAGTAGTAGTAGTAGTAGTAGTAGTAGTAGTAGTAGTAGTAGTAGTAGTAGTAGTAGTAGTAGTAGTAGTAGTAGTAGTAGTAGTAGTAGTAGTAGTAGTAGTAGTAGTAGTAGTAGTAGTAGTAGTAGTAGTAGTAGTAGTAGTAGTAGTAGTAGTAGTAGTAGTAGTAGTAGTAGTAGTAGTAGTAGTAGTAGTAGTAGTAGTAGTAGTAGTAGTAGTAGTACAGTAGTAGTACAGTAGTAGTACAGTAGTTGTGGAGTAGTAGTGTAGAAACAGTACAGTAATACTACAGTGGCAGAACAGTAGTAGAACAGATTTAGTACAAACCCAACTCCGCGAACACCTTCGAGATTGGCAAACGGAGGGTCGGAGGACCGAGACAGAACTGGTTAGTGTACATTAACAAGTATATTTGGGAAAATAAGTTTTCGAATCTTCCGACTCAATATGTTTCTTCAGGTGAGCGAAAGCAACGAATTTTCGAAGAAGCCAAAACCCGCCAATTTTAAGCCGCTCCTCGTGCCCACGGTCTCACCTTTTTCTGCCTAAGTAGGCAAGGGACTTTGGCCCAGAAGAAAATAGTACGAGATTTGGAATGACCAAAAGCTCGAAACCAAGCCCCGATCACACCAAGATAACTGCCAAGACTAAAAACCTTTCGTTTTAAAGATTTTCGTTCCAGTCTATCCACAATCCACCAAGTCTGAGGCCTGGTACTGTAGTAGTACTGTAGTAGTGCAGTAGTAGTACAGTAGTAGTACAGTAGTAGTACAGTAGTAGTACAGTAGTAGTACAGAAGTAGGACAGTAGCAGTACAGAAGAAGTACAGTAGCAGTACAGTTGTGGTACAGTAGCAGTACAGTAGTAGTACAGTAGTACGAGTGGGTGTTTAGGGTCGTTGGTGCCTTAAGACTGACCATCAGCAGACAGGAGTAACACCACCCAAAAAAACCCACAGACCCCAAAACTACGCATGAGTTAGGCCACCCGTTTTTGTGGTACGGGCTCAAGAAAGGAAAAACAGCATTAATTAGGCACATTGGATTAAAAGGGCCCCCCACATTAAGCGTTTCAAACGGACTTGTCAGGCTTGCATGGGTGTTATTTGCTCTTGCAGCCAGAGCTTGGAGACTAGAATGGAGGGACTACAAGTGTTTGCATGCGCATGGCATAACCAAATACAGGAAGATTATCAAATCTGCACGGATTCAAGAAAGTACACGATCATGCATCGAACGGTGTGCTTTGCTACTCGTTATAGCCAGCTGAACTCACAGCGCACAACAGCCACCACCGAATTCATCTTCACCCCAAGTTCCTAAGACTCGCAACAACGGCGCTGAACAGTTGTTTGAATCCGCTACGTGTTGCTGAGCTGATCTCGTACGGCACTGTTGCCACCATCGGTGCAGCGGCCCCAGGTCACGACAGAGCCATCAACAAGGATCGCAGCAAACGATCCGTCAGTTGCTTGAATCTGATGCACATCCTTCAGCTGATCTCGCACGGCTCTGCAGTCACCACCAAACTTAGCACCGCCCCAGGTCACCACGGAGCCGTCCTCACGAATCGCAGCAAAGGCACACTTGGTTGCTTGAATCTGCTGCACATTCTTCAGCTGATCTCGCACTGCACTGCTGTCACCACCGGAATCAGCATCGCCCCAGGTCACCACGGAGCCGTCCCCGAGGATCGCAGCAAAAGCATTTTGGGTTGCTTGAATCTGCTGCACATTCTTCAGCTGATTTCGGACGCCACTGCTGTCACCACCGAAGTCAGCATAACTATAACCCCAAGTCATTACAGAGCCATCAGCACGGATCGCAGCAAAGGCTACCCCAGATGCCTGAATCTGCTGCACATCCTTAAGCTGATCTCGGACGCCACTGCTGTCACCACCGAAGGCAGCATCGCCCCAGGTAACCACGGAGCCATTCTCCAGGACCGCGGCAAACGCCCGATTAGTTGCTTGAACCTGCTGCACATTCTTCAAGTGATTTCGGACAACACTACTGTCACCACCGAAGCCAGAGTTTCCCCAGGTAACGACGCAGCCATCACCACGGATCGCAGCAAAGGCTGCCTCAGATGCCTGAATCTGCTGCACATTCTTCAGCTGATCTCGGACGCCACTGCTGTCACCACCGGAGTCAGCATCGCCCCAGGTAACCACGGAGCCATTCTCCAGGACCGCGGCAAACGCCCGATTAGTTGCTTGAACCAGCTGCACATTCTTCAGCTGATCTCGGACGCCACTGCTGTCGCCACCGCAAAAACTACTCCCCCAGGTCACGACAGCGCCATCCGCAAGAATCGCAGCAAAGGCAAAATTGGTTGCTTGAATCTGCTCCACATCCTTCAGTTGATCTCGCACGGCTCTGCAGTCACCACCGACACCAGCAAAGCCCCAGGTCACCACGGAGCCGTCCTCACGAATCGCAGCAAAGGCACACTTGGTTGCTTGAATCTGCTGCACATTCTTCAGCTGATCTCGCACAGCACTGCAGGCAACACCGAAAACAGCATCGCCCCAGGTCACCACGGAGCCGTCCCCGAGGATCGCAGCAAAGGCCAACTCTCTGCCACCGCATATATCAACTCTTCTTACTTGCAATGTAAGGCGCTCCGGGTCGGCTTTCGCCTCTGCATTTTGCAGCCTGGCCTTTTCCAGCGGTGCTCCTGCATCAAGAACGCCTCCACTGGAGTCCAAGAGTCGGCCTTTGCCAACTCCCAGGGCTTTCTGTGCACGCGCTCGCAGCGATTCCACGGATTCGTCCTCTTGTGTCTGCAGCGACACTGTCTTGCCACTTATGAGGCTGACCTCAACCGTCAGTGACATGATGAACACTGTAGCTTCGGATCAAACCGTGTCCAACAATGCTGGTACTGCAACCAGAACGAGGTATCCTAAGCATTGATAAGGTTTACTCCGACTCAATCCTAAACATAATACAGAGGGCACTGAGCCACTGAACGCGGAACACTACTCTGTAAACCCGAAACACTAGCCTCTGAGCCCCAAACCGTAAACCCTAAACCCCAACCTAAACCCAAACTCAAAGCTGCAAAGCCTGATCCGTAAACTCGGAGCCATAAAGCGGTGTTTGGGGTAGGGTTGGGCGGTAGGGTGTGTTTTAGGACCTGGGTTTGAGGTGGAGGATCTCCCCCGGCCCACAGAGCCCTATACCCCTTAGACAAGGAATAAGGGAGTTTCGGAAACTACGGGACCCAAATATAGTACCCTAAGTAGTAGGATCCCTATTACAGGGAACCCCAAATAAGGTACCCCCAATTTTCGGAAACTCCCAAAGAGCTTCAATCTGCTTAGATCCATAAAATAGCCCCTTTCAGTTTACGTAATATTCTCTAATTAAGGGTGTCGGGCTCTCCGTGTCCATCTCCAAGCCTTTGCCACGCAGCGATGGGCCCAGAAGCATGCCTGGGAGCAGGTCTTTGTTTGATTGAAGGCGTCGAGCTAAGGGCTTAGAGATGCTACTAAAACCGCTAGTCCTCCTCCCGCTGCCGCCAAGACTGAAACCCTAAACCCTAACCCTAAACGCTAAACCCTAAACCCTAACCCCATAAACCCAAAACCCTAAATCCAAGGGTAAAAGGAGGGACCCTTTAATAAGGACCTCTAGGTATATACCCTTAATATAGCTATTATATACCCAGTGTATAGCCCATTATAGGGTAGGGGTCCCCATTAAGGGTCCCTCCTTTTCCCCTTTGACTGAACCCTAAGACTGATACACACCACCGGCTCTAGCTCCAGCTCCAAAACGCCACCACCACCGACACCACAACCCAGACCCTGGGAAGGATCTAGAAAGTAGATCCCCTAATCTGGGGCCCTATACTACTAAGGGTACTTTAAAGGAGCCCCCATTAACGGATCTACTTTTTGGATCCTCCCGGGGGTCTGGGTATACGACTGCCATTACGCTGCCACTGTCACTGCAGCTACTGCGACCGAATGCGGCAAAACCTACGGTGCCTGCCAACATATTGGAAATTGCCACTGTGGTCATGCAGGCGCTCTTGCTTCATGTCATTATTGATGATTTCATGACCTCAGTGCCTGAAATGTCATGGCGATGTACCCATAGGCCCCAAAGTAGTTCCTTTTTGGAATTACCTTATAGGGTTCTATATATGAACCCCAAAAAGGAACTACATTGGCGCCTTAGGGTAGTGTTGCGATGTATCACATTCCTCGCTGGGTGGTGCAACGATGGCAGCGATGCGAAGGAGGAAGATGGTGGCGCATGTGACGGCGATACTGATAACAACGATGATCAAAGGGGAAAAGGAGGGACCCTTAATGGGGACCCCTACCCTATAATGGGCTATATCATGGGTATAATAGCTATATAAAGGGTATATAAGTATACTCTGAGTCCCTATATATGGTATATGAACCTTAAACCCTTTTAGGGTTCATTTCGTCCTTAAGGTGATAACAACGATGATGGCGGGACGCCTGCCGATGATTGTAATTTGATAGTGATGTTGCTGAGGATGAGGATGAGAACGAGAAGAGGATCTTGATGACCACGGCGAGAACGATCATGAGCACGGTTAAGCTTTCGGGTTTAGGGCTTAACCTCATGATCACAAGTCTGACTAGGTGGCTGGAACTGCTACCGGTGACAGCAGAACATGCAGCAACAACAGGAATGGAATCGTTTCAGCCTGAAGCCACTCAACGATTTCACAGAGACAGCACTTTTGCCGGGAACCCTATACCTTGATTCACAGAATCAAAAAACCCTAAACCAACCCAGATTCCTGCAACTGCAGACTTTACACTCAGAGCCCTAAAGGCAGCGAGCTCTAAACCCGAAAATCCTGAATCCCCGTGAATGGAGACATCTACACTCTATATCCATTCAAGAACACAACCCCCATTGAAAGGAGAAACCCTAATTAATTACACCCTAAACCCTACACGTAAATCCACGAAACAACATACACACACACACACTCTCACACACGGCCTAAACCCTAAACCCTCAAACCCTAAACCGTCAAACCCTAAACAGCGCACAAAGGATCAGACGGTCGGGGCTCGCTCCGAGCACAGGTGGTGCGCCGTCCACCTCGCTTCGACTCAGTAGCTGACAGTTGGGGTTGTAAATCCCCTATAAGTGGAGTTTGATTATCCGAATACAAGCCTAATTACTTATAACCTTATACTTACTAAGTCCCACGAGCCTTTAAGCGTGTTCTTGTCGGTGTGGTTGTGTGCGTTGCTCGATTGTTTGGCGGGGTTGCGCCCTTAAAGGAACCCTATAGATCCCGTCTAGGGAACTCCTTCAAGGAAGCAATAACGGAACCCTTCAAGGGCCCTAGATATGAAGGGCTTAGTAAAAATTGTCCGGCGGCCTTTGTCATATTCGGGGCCCGGAGCTTAGGGTAAACATTAGGGGTGGCAAGGGGTCTTTGTTAATGAAGCTACTAAACCCCTAAGCCCTAAAGGCCCTAAACCCTAAACCCACCCTAAACCATAAACCTCGAACCCCCTGATCCCTACATCCACGGAGGCCTCAAGAATGCAACGCTACGCACACACTCACACACACACACACACACACACACACACTCGAAGATGGCCTTAAGCCCGACGCTAACCTACCTTTTTTGTAGGTTCTTGATTTCAACCCAAATATATAGAAGTTATAGGGACCCTACTAAAGCGTAAGTTTGCAGAAGTTCAAGGTAAACCCGAACTAAACGCTAGCCATTAGACCCTCCAAAGTTGGGAGTCGGAAGCACCGAAACAAAAACGACACACAGGCTACTACTTGGGAACCTAAGAAAAACCAAAAAAGTCTTTGACATGTTCAGCTTCATGAAAAAGTCTGTAATTTCAAGCACTTATCTGGTTGTCCAAAAAGGTACACCACTCTCTTCAGCAGGACCCTCAACCCTAAACCTGATATCCTAGTTTACCGACCAGATTCTAGTCCCAGAAAATGGGGACCCTAACACCCCACAAAGAAGATACTTAAAATTCATGCCCTTAGCTACGGTGCCCTACCCTTCTGCAGCACCATAAACCCTTCTAAACACCCAGCAAAATCCTGACAAATACCTACAAAAATTCGAAAAACAAACCTATCTTTTTAAACTGCCCAATACAACTCGGCGCCCAACTCCGTTCGGATAGAATTGCGCCACCTGACACAAGGTGCATTAAAGCATCGAAACCTTAGGGTGTGGTGGATCCGTACTTATTGGTTCAGGGTCTTCTAGGATTCAGGGTCTGGGCTAAGTCTTAGGTTAAGGGTTGCAGATAAAGGCCTACAGAATTAGACTAGGGTTTGGGGGTTGCATGCTAGATCCGAAAGAGGGAACGCTAAGGCCGAGTAGAACGGCTTCAATGTGACGGGCTTTGGGCTTTCGGGTTCAGGGTTTAGGGTCGGTTCAGTCTGCAGGGTTCGGGCTGTCAGGGAGACGAGGACGGTTCAGGGCTTTGAAGGGTTTAGGCCCTGGGTTCGGCTTTAGGAGTCAATTTAGGGTTTACAGGGAACTCCAGAAAGTTGGAATATGGTTTCAGGGTAGGATACCCTATAATTTACCATAAAGGGTTTAGGATAATCATATTCCAACTTTCTGGCTTTTACTATAAGGTTTAGGGGTTCAGGGTTGAAGGGTTTTAGTTTTCAGCTTCAGGAGTTTAAAGTGGAGGGTTTGGGTTTAGGATGCAGGGTTCAAGGTTTCAGCGTCTCTTTAGGTTGTGGACTATGAGCCGAAAAAACGACATATGAACACTTAAAGGATTCCAGGCCTTAATTAGACAGCTAAGTATATAGATAGACAGACAGACAGACAGATAGGTATGTAATGACTCTGGTTCTCTTCGTCAGATTGAATGGCCGAGCTTTCGAAAGCCCGAAACCTAAGCTGAAACCCGAAACTCCACACCCACACCCACACCCGCCCCCCCCCCCCCACACACACACACACACACATACACCGGTTCACACACATGCACACAATTTGAAGCCCGTCACAAAAGCCCCCTGAATTGGTTTAATGGGTTTAAGGTTAAGGGCCCCTCAAAATCACTCAAAACATTTGAAACCCCCTGACACCAAAAAAAACCACCATGAACGCCACAACCCCAATGCTTAACCCTACCTGAAACCCTCAACTCAGGCTCGGAAGGCCACAACCAACCTCACAAACAATGGCTGGAGGTGGGGCGAAAACTTGCGTCGCGGCCATTTAAACCCGTAATGCAGACAAAATTACTACACACCCCTAAACCCCCCCCTGGAACCCCGGTGTAGCCAAACAAAACTACAATCTGATGAAGGCTTGCTCAAAGGCTCAAGGGACATAGTAAGCAACTCATAAGTAAGGTGATCACAAGGATAACACCAGTGCGAAGACTTATACTTATAACTACCTATAACCCCAATCGTAACCTACTTGTAAGTCCCCTGAACCCTAAACCCTAAACTCCCCCAGTCGTACCAAGACCTTCCAAAATCCCTTAATTAAGGAACATACCTTAAATTGTAGTAGGATCCCTAATATCATTTAAGGTATATTCCTTAATTAAGGGATCTTGGAAGGTCTGGGTAACCTACTTGTAACGTAAGTCCCCTGAACCCTTCAGTAAGGCCCTGGAGGCGCCGTCCAAAGTGCAGAGAGACATACATAAATAAATGAATAAATACATAAATAAATACATGAATAAATAAATATAAATATAAATATATATATATATATATATATGCATACAGACATACATGCATGGGAGTTTCCGAAAATTAGGGGTACCTTATCTTGAGGTCCTTATAATAAGGATCCTACTATTTAGGGTACTATATTAGGGTCTCCTGTTTTCGAAAACTCCCACATAGATACAGTAGCAGTAAGAAGTCCTAGATCCTCAAGCCCTTTGAAAACCATATGGGTAGTTCTCAAAATCACTTGGGGTCCTCTGTATAAGAGTGCGGTACTATGTCGGGGACCAACAGAGGCCGCGAAGTTTGGAGAACTACCACCCTAAACCCTCAACCCTAAACCCCTAAACTCTCAATCCTAAACCCCTACAGAAGAAGCCAGAAAGTTGGAACATGGCTTTAGGAGGATTAGTGCTAGGATCCCTTATACTTTACTTGAAGGGCACCGGGGATGATCATGTTCCAACTTTCTGGCTTCTACTTTAAACCAAACAATACGAGAGCTTCTCGCCTGCGCGGGCGTAAGGTCCGGCGGGGCTTCTGGCGCCCCCCTGCCGACCAGGATGTGGTTGAAGTGATGCATATTCTTCGGGTGCCGGGTTTCGGGTTTAAGGCTTAGGGTTTAAGGTTCATTGTTATGGGCTCAAACAACTTAGCAAGTACGGTCAAAATTGGGGTTATTGCCTTGCTCGCTCACTCTTGTCAAAGCTCCCTGGCGTCCGAATTGTACATGCGGGGGTTTCAGAAAGCAGGACCACACTGTAAGGTGACCTTCATAGATAAGAAGCACCCTATTCTTTTTCGAGATCTGCACGAGAAGCTGAAGCTGTCACGGTTTTTCCAGCTACCTGATGCTCTCTTGAGCACAAACAACCCCCTGTCCCCTCCCCTGCAGGCGTTGTTGTGGCGCCGCTGCTGCTGGCCGCATTACCTCGGTCTTGAGTGTAGGGTCCAATTGCGGGTTGCAGAACGGAGAGAGTTGGATGAATTTAATGTTGGCATCTTCTTCTGGGTGCAGCTTGTAGTCTTTATGAGATGGAAGAGCTTAGGGCGCTGCAGAAGGTGGTTGCAGGTTTGCACCAGGTTACACAGAAGTCTGAACCCTCTTTCCAAAAATCGTAATGAAGACGACATGAGCAAATCCGCAAACCGACGAAAAGCTGTAGTTTCAGGAGTAGTACAGCTTGATGGAGCCTTCGTGTATAAACAAACTTCTTGAAACCCCAAGGGAGAATAATGCACGTTTCCGGCCCCTGCCGTCTGCGGTGAACTTGCTAGGCAGAGGTTTCAGGATTTTTCACGAAATACGTTTGATGATATAAATCCTGCATTACCCATAATAAGGAATACGCCATAATTCCCATAGCTTAGGGTCCTTAAGGTAATGAAGGATTTATATCATCAACAGTAGGGAACCCCCCCCCGGTTCAAGTGATGCAAGATGACCAAGATTAGCAAGATAACCGAGATCTCGGCAAAACAGAAGCGGTTCTCAATTGCCGGCCCAATGGTATAATAATAGTCAAAACGACAAAGACATCATAATCATAGTCATAGCAGTCATGATCATAGTAATGAGAAATCAACAGGCTCTTGCCAAGTCGCCGTCGCCCCCATCGCCGCTATCACCACCATCGCTTCCACCGTCGCCATCACTTCCATCGTCGCCATCCTCGGAGATTTGACTGAGCGGACAGGCTCCCACTACGAAGTAACAGTTTACTACGGTCGATGATATGAATCCTGCATTACCTTAATTACCCGAGACTATGGGAACTATGGCACGGTATAATCTATCATCTTTATTGTGGGTAATGTGGGATTTAAATCATCAACAGTAGGTGTCAATTTCAAAAGTCACCAAGTTGATCGTTTTTAATTTAAGGCTCCAACTTCTATTTAAAGCAATCAGGGAAATTAACGATTGTCCCAAATCGACACCTAGCAGACAGTTTGAGTTCTAGGGTTGAAGATCCGGGTTGAGGACTACATCCCAGACCTTGAAGCCCTATGCCGAAACCCCAAACCCAACCACGGATACCAATCGCTAAACCGGAAGATGGAGTAGAGTTTTAGGGTTTAGGGCTTAGGGTTTAGGCAAGGGAAGATGGCCCTGCAACTAAGTCCGACATTTGTAGTACCCTAAGTGGAGATAGGCTGGTTCCCGCTTTGGTTTGGAACCCACAGGCCTCAGCCAAGCCTCCAAAACCCCAAACCCCAGCCACTGCATCCTACGCCTGCGACTGAACTATGAAGCTGCAAAAACTCTTAATGTAGGAGCCTGATTAACCAACGAGTCTTGATAGGGCTTGGGGCTTTTAGGAGTTTAGGGTTTAGGATTGATATACTGAGATGTAGGAACCTGATGAAGAAACCCTGGCCCTACACTACCCAAAAAACTAGCATCATCTAGCATCCACATAAAAAGCTCTAAACCCTAAACCCAGGGTTTCTTAATCAGGCCCGTGCCCTAAACCCTAAACCGATTAGGTTTATGGATTTGGATTAACTCTGGATGGCTGCCAGGAGGAGGCTTTCGGAGAGTTTAGGGGATAACTCTACATACAGGAAACCCCCAGACTAGGTGGCTCCTTTAAAAGGGGATTATAAGGGTTCCTTTAAAGGGCTCTATAAGGGTACTATCAGGGTTTAGGGATGTATAATTTTAGTTATCCCATAAAGTTGGAAACCGAGTTAAGGCCAAATTAGTAGTGCTGGGATTCCTTATACATTACTCTTCAGGATTGAGGCTATGGGGTTTCCAACTTTTGGGCTTCGACCGTAGGATGGGAAACTCTGGCTGTACCCATTATGCTCCCTGTTTGTAAAGGTTTTCACAGTCATAATGGGTATCTGTGCATGAAATGGGTACATGATTTTTCAAGATCTGTGGGATTCAGGGATTCAGTGCCTGCTTTTTCGTTGAGTTTTCTTGAAAGGTGTGGAAAGGCTGGGCCTGTCGCAGACCCAAGCTCCTAGCTACGTCCCAAGAAGCAGAAACGACACTGGGAGTCTGTTGCACAAGCTTCCTTAACCCCGAGACCCAAAATCCTTAAACCCTGAAGACCCTAAACCCTAAACCCTTAAACCCTAAACCTCTAAACCCTGAACCCTTAACCCTAAAACCCTAAAACCCTAAACCCTAAATCCTAAACCGGAACGCAAAGCCCGTCAACTTAGGGTGCAAAGGATGCCAAGCGTCGTCGCCACCGTCATCGGCCGTATCTAGAGGGCACTGTATAATGGCCTCCCGATGCTGCAGTGCTTCTGGGGTTGAGGGGTTCGGGCTTTAGGGTTTAGGATTTGGGGGTTTAGGGTGAAGGGCTTTAGGGTTCAGGATTTGGGGGTTTAGGGTTCTAGGGTTTAGGCTTAGGGTTCTTTCTTTTGAAATTCATCGGGCTTTAAATGTCTCGCAGGCCCACCCATGTGGATGTGCACGCGTCTAAACTCCAAAACACCTACAATCTCCCCCTCACAGACTTTCCGCATCTCAACCTGACACGTCCCTTTGTACTCCGTCTTCCCAAGTCTAGACTACCACTGCGCTCACGATCAGAAAACCGACGTTGGCCAGGTGAACTCCACGGTGTAGTTGGGGGGGCTTCATCCTTGACATTACGGGCCGTAATAGTTAGCATAGGGTTTTGGGGCCCGTTATGCTATATTTCTAAAAAGGAACCCCCAAAATAGTATTGGTAACTATAAAGGGCCCTATATAGTTAGCATAGGGTTTTGGGGCCCGTTATGCTATATTTCTAACAAGGAACCCCCAAAATAGTATTGGTAACTATGAAGGGCCCTATATTATACAACCAGTCACCCGGGATTCCAGGCACGGCGGGGACTTGTCTCACGAAGTCTTCAGCAGGGCGGTTCATGGGCCGCTGCGGTGGCTTCGCCGGCAAAACCACCAGCAAAGACTTTGGGTCTGTGGTTCCCTTATCATAAGGACCCCAAAGTAAGGTGTTGGGTGTTAGGGTTCAGGGTTTAGGGCTCAGGATTTGGGGGTTTCGGTTTTAGAGCTTGGGTGGGGGGGGTTCATGTTCAGGGGGTCTCCCGGCTGCTTTCGGGCTCAATCATGTTGTTTTGCTGCTCGCTCAACCGAAACAACATGGGAAGCAACGCACTCTGAAATGTAAACTACCCTACAACGTGAGCCTTGAATCCCAACTCCTAAGCCTCAACCCTTACACCTTAAACCTTGAACCCCTACATCCCTGAATCCCTAGGCTCGTAAACCCCTACACCTACATCCAACAGCAGCCGAGAGCAGTTAAACCTAGGCGAGGTGGTCTTTAGGGTTTGGGGTTTAGGCTTTAGGGCCCGCCGTGTCGATGTTCTTCGCGCAGTGGAGTCCGGAAGAAAGGAAGCCAAACACCTGCATTGAAGGGTTAAGGTGTCGGGTTTCGGGGCTTTTGCAGCTTTTGGCATGAGGGTTTCTAGGATTTCAGTTTTGGGATTTAGGTTTGCTGCAAAAAGTTCTGCGTCCTGTTCCAAAACAGGTCTTCTGAAGAGTCCTTTTGACTCTAGAATGGATATGTTGAGGGTTCGGGGTTTCCCTATATTAGTTGATGCAGTGCGTCCACTACACTCGTGAGAGCATCTCGCAAACTCAAAAGTGACACATCGGTAAACGTCATCGTAATGGTAAACAACAGCACTGGTGAATAAAGCTGACAAAAATTGCAACAGTAACCGTAAGAGACAGTCAGGGTAATAGCAGTGGCAGTAACAGCGGCAAGAGTAATAGTAACAAACACCAATATACACAACACAAGTAAGAGTAGCAGCAGCAGCAGCAGCAGCAGCAGTAGTATTGGTAGTCGTCGTCGTAGTAGTGGTAGCAGTGATAGCGTAGTAGCAGCAGTAGCATTAGCAGCAGTCGTCGTAGTAGTAGTAGTAGTAGCAGCAGTAGCAGTAGTAGCAGTAGTAGCAGTAGTAGCAGTAGTAGCAGTAGTACCAGTGGTAGCAGTAGCTTGGGTACTGCCCCCATACAGTAGCAGTCCATAATAGGGCTACTAGACGGTCCTAATATATCTTTACTATGAACAATATTCTTCAACTGCTACTGAGTGCGGGCAGAGCCCCTGTAGTAGCAGCAGCTTGTAACGATGCCTGAAACTTCTCGGCTCAAAGTTTCGCTGCAGTCTTTAGTTGATCTCTGCGGAGGTTTGCTCAAGGCCCCGAATATTAAGAAACCTTGGGCCTTTATTAGGGCTCCTTATATCATATGAATCCCACTATTTTTGTGGGTTATAGACCCAGGGTTTCTTAATCAGGTTCCTACATTACTATAGTACCCTTATAGATCCCTTGTAGCAACCCTTATAGACCCCTTTAAAGGAACCCTAATATGGGCACAGGGTTTCTTAATCAGGTTCCTACATTACTCTTGCAGGCGTCTCAGCGTTTCAGATGGAGACTCCGACTTCAAGCATAGTGGGGACCTGAAATGACCAAATCCGACGCCTAAACCGAAGCCTAAAACCCGAAACCTAAAACAACAACGTACTTAACCCTAAACCCTAAACCCCCAAACCCTAAATTTTGATGGGGCACTTGAAGTGCGCAAGCCAGCTTCTCTGTATCGCACCTCAGACAAAGAAGGATCTCTGGAGACTCCAGCAAGATCTTGGGCTTGGGGTTTTAGGGTTTAGGGTTTAGGGCTTTAGGGTTTTAGGCTTTAGGGTTTTAGGGTTTAGGGCTTAGGGTTTCGGCTTTCGGTTTTACGGTCTAGGGTTGTCAAAAGTGCGGTCTACAGTCACCACTTGCTGCTCCCAATCTTTCGGATCAAGAGACTAGACCGAAGAGTAACCTAGGAATAAAAAGGGTGCCCTTTTTGGGTTAAAGGGGCTTATAAGGGAACCTCAACCCCAAAAAAGGGAATAAGGGCCTTACTCTAGGTCCTAGGAGAAAGTCTTCTCAAGGTTAAGACCCCAGAGGTCAAACAGGAAATGAGATTAGGGTTTAGTGAGTTTAGTGTTTAGGGCTGGATGGTAGCATGGAGGCTTCAATATTTAGAGTGGGGGCTCAGAGGATCTACAATGGTATAGTTTAGGGAAACACAGCGACTAGTATTGGTACTCATGCAGGGCCATATGTTACTATACCCGATCCGCCTAACTCAATGCAGCCGAGACCTTCCCGCCTTGCGGGATAACTATCTCCTTCAGGACACGAACCCAATGTCGAATCCAGTAGCACAAAATGAAATAACTGATGTCGTTTCTTCACGGGATTTGCCCTAAACCCAAATCCTAAAAGTTAAATTTAGGGTTGAATCGAAGTTAAATTTAATTGCTCTGCTGGGTTTAGGTCTAAATCGAAATCAATGGAGACCTACTAGTGACTCTAGCCTGAAGCAGCCGAAACCAAAGGAGTCCCCCAGATTTACGTGGCAAGGGGCCTTAGGCATCTGACCCTCCCACCCTTTTTTGCTCTGTTTGCAATGGTTTAGGGATGAGGGTCAATTTGGGGTAGCGCTCCAAACAGGGGCAGATCAAACTCCAAAAGATTGAAATAAACCATAAAGAGATCATAAACCCATCCCAAACGTACCCGTGAAATGCTAGTTCGTAGGAGCCTGTCGTGCCCCTGTCCGCTTAACCGCTGCGTCCTAAGACTGCCGAGATGGCAAATAGATCCCTAATCCCTAAAGCCCCAATATACGCGCTAAATAGTCAGAAAAGGTTTTAGTGTTTCTTGTGTATACTGGAGCATGTTTGAAAGTATAAGGAAAAACTGCCAAGGAAGGCTTTCGGGTGTAGTAAGCTATGACTTGTAACAAGGAGCCCTAATGAGTAATGCTGCAAGATGTATGTATATATATATATATATATATATATACATAATATTATATATATATAATATTATATATATAATATTATATATGATATTATTTATAATATTATATATAATATTATATATAATATTATATATAATATTATATATAATATTATATATAATATTATATACAATATTATATATACATACATATCATCAACCGTACTAGTTCTTCCGGCCCCTACATCACTGCAAGCCCCTAATGATGGATTTCTGTTGAAACCCTGACAGCCCTTAAAAGGGACCCGTAACGGGACCCTGTAACCACTATATGCCAAACAAGCAAAGCCAAGGCCGGCGCGTAATTTCCATCAAAGCCTCGGGCTTCAGGATGTGTTTTTAATCATAGGGACCCTTAGGGGTGTAGGGGGAGGGGGGGTAGGGGGCCTTAATGCCCATAATAAGGACTAGTAAGGCCTATTTCAGGAAATATAGTCCCCTACACCCTCCCCCCTACACCCCTAAGGGTCCCTATGATTTGAAGGGGCAGAGCTGGTTCGGGATTAGGGTTTATAGGGATTCGGGTTTAGAGTTCTAGGGTTTAGGGTTCAAGCTGCAACCATATGAAGTTTCCTTGGCAAAGAAGCGAAATAGCTTTGCAGCCAGGCAAGTGAGGTTCCATCATGTCGCACAACCTGCGCACTTGCATCTTTGCTTGAAAGCCCCAAGGACTCAGCAAGAAAGCTATAACCAAGATTGTAATAAGGATAACCCCACGTCCAGCCCCAATTCTAGCCCAACTTACCAAGTCCCTTGAGCGCTTAAGAAGGGCCCTCGATTCCCTCGGCGCTGAAAGAGACTGGTTCCCAGTTCCCAGTGTGGATTTGTACGGATTTCAGGTATCAAAACTTCAGGGGTTCCATTGTCAACGATCCTTGTAATGAGGATCCGGCTATGTCGGGCCTTTAAGGCGGTATCCGATTCCCTGCGATATGCAAACACAAGCTCGACAAGGACCGGCAAATACATGCTCACCAATATTCTGAAGCGGCCATACTATAGACACCCGTAATACACCCACAGACACTAGCATAAATACCCTGTCCCACACGACCTTTATAACGATCTTTAAGGAAAGGACGGAGTCCCCACTACGAGCAAGCGTGCAGTTATCCGAAGACTCCGAAACTTGGTTTAGGGTTTTTTTAAGATGCAGTGGCCCTTTCTCCGCGTGGTTTAGGGTTTAGGGTCTAGGGCAACTGCAAACACTAAACCATGTAAATGTTAGGCCAAAGCTGTGACCACAAACCCTAAAGCCTTCTCAGATCCCAAGACGCAACTGCAGACCTCTAAACTCCGCAGGCCTAGACTGTAAATCCGAAGAACATGTGGCCTGGGTCTGTTGGGCTGAAGGTATGGGATTGCTGTGGATTGTTTCTTACTCCCTCCATAAGCCACAGAAACAAAGGCTTAAACTTTCCGATTCCTACTAAAGTATAAGAACCCAACAAATTCAAATGTTGGGTATTGGGGATCTAGGGTTTTGTAGGGAACAGGGTATTTATGCATACCACCGGTTTTCTAGGGATCAGGGCCTTAAACCACGACCCGCACCGTGAATTAGGGTTTAGGGTTTAGGGTTGAGCATAACCACATGTTGCAGACAGAACTTCCTTCGAGTAGATTCTTCGGGGCTGATGCAGTAGGCAGGCAGTGTTTTTGTGCAGTTCTGCTTGCATGTATGCACTCAGACACCTTTATCACGTCTTACCGAGAAACAACTGGACCCAATATATGGGTAGTTGTCAACATTAGGGTCCCTTTTTGAACACCCTAAATATTAGGTGCCCTGCTATATTATGGACCCCAAAAGGGACCCTAATTTTGAGAACTACCCATAAGGACCCCAAAATAAGGTACCACATAATTTTCGGAAACTCCCATATGTTAAAGACAGCAGCATCGGACGAGGGGCCACATTGTCTGCGAGATGGGCCAGTTCTGCAATGGCGTTCGCGATCTCGATCGGACAGACATGACATACTTTATTGGGGTTTAGGGGACTTTGGGTTCAGGGTTTAGAGTTTTGGTTCCTTTAAGGTATCTACAGGGTTTAGTATAGTGACCTAAATAACTACCAATATTAGGGTTTGGGGGGTTCCTTACTATAATTATAGTATAATGGGCCCCGGAACCCTAGTCTAATTGTTCAGGCCCCTGTATTACTTTCATCGTTTCCCGCTAATGTTAAAGAGTCCCCCCCCCTCCCCCTAGTATGACAACTGGATTTCGGGGCCGGAGTTTTTATACTACGGCTGATGATATAAATCCTGCACTATCCATATTAAGGAATATGCCATTATTCCCATAGTTTAGGGTCCTTAAGGTAATGCAGGATTTATATCATCAACAGTGGGGGGGTATCGGGGCTTCCGGGTATGAGTCGGATTGAGAGTAAGAACGAGCCAGACACAAAGACCGCCCGTCACACAGCCGTTCCGGCTGTAGAGCAGACTGTCCCGCCCTAAGCCTTGAACCTTCGCCCCCAAAGCCCCAAAGCCCTAAGTCCTACAGCCCTAAGCCCTTAAGCTTAAGCCGTAAACCCCTAAACCCTAAAGCTCTGGTCTGGTCGTTTGATTAGTACTGCTGTAGTCTTGGCTCTATTAAGATCCGACAATCCTAGGCCCCCCCTTTTTGTGGTTAATTAACTTTCAATTGCGGGCCCGAAGCCGCGAAATTCCGGGGCCGGTAGTTTTCACATGAGGGTGGGTTTAATGTCACGGGGGCCTAAGTGATTACCAATGCTATTTTGGTGGTTCCTTACTGTAAACCTAGTAACAATGGGCCGCAAAACCCTATTCTAACTTTTAAGGCCCCTCTGTGCAGCTTCGTGGCTTCAGGGTCTGTGAGGACTTTACCCTGAACCCTACTTGGAGGGTCGAGGAACTTAGTAACTGGTTAGTTTAGGGACTTATAAGTACCATAACCCGACTTAGGGTCCCGTCTACGGTACTTATAAGTCTACTTACTACCTACTTACTAAGTCCCCCGACCCTCCAAGTAGACTCTAAACTCGAAGCCTGACCCTACCCCTAACCCGAAACCCGAGCCATAAACCAAAACTTGAAGCTTGGGGAAATCAGGCGTATGTATGTCGTTATGCATGTGGCTACCTACATATATATATATATATATGTGTGTGTGTGTGTGTGTGCGTGAATACATCTATATATATATATATAATACACATGTACACAAAAACATTTCGTACATGCACGCATGCAAACGTACGTGCATACATACATACATACATACATACATACATGCATACATGCATACATACACACATGCACACATGCACACATGCAAGCACACATACATACATACATACATACATACATACATGCATACACACATGCACACATGCAAGCACACATACATACATACATACATACATACATACATACATACATACATACATACATACAGACATACATGCATACATACATGCATACATACATACATACATGCATGCATGCATGCAGGCAGGCATACATACAAACATATGCACGTACATACATCCATACATGCATGCATGCATACCTGCATACCTAGCATGCCCATACTTGCACGGTCCTGGTAAACCTAAGACCCTTGACCTTCACAAAGGGATCCGAGTGTCGGAGTGTCTCCTTCAATCAGTCGTAGCTGGTTCTGGATCCACCTTAGCCCGTGATACGCCGGGCCTGCAAGTACTTACCTTTGGTTAGTAGGGAATGGAAGAACGGTACGGTAGCAATAGTAATTACTTATAATTGTACCCCATTCCTCCATTTCCTACTAATCCAAGGTAAGAGTACCAGCGCAGCCCGGGCAAGGGGTTGGCGACGTCCAAGAGGAACTCCCACGCCGAGCGGCCGCCGCCCCAGGAGATGGCGGAGAGATCGCCCGCGAAGGCGTTCTCACCCACCTGGAAACCCTACAAAACCCAAGACCCTAAACCGATGGCCGCCGCAGGATCTTGAGGCCAGAACCTGTTCAGCTCTTCCATGATCTTTCTGAGCTCCACTTGCTTGGCGCTGCCCTTGTGCTCTTCGAAGACTGCATCAACCCTAACCCCTCAATCCTAACTAACCTTGCGCATTGGTACTTTTGGGCTCTATAATAAGCTTCCCTTTAAGGGTTTAGGGTTTAACCCAAACCCCAACTAAGCCCTAAAGCCGATTACCCTAAAACGAAAGACCTCAGCCCTGTGACCTGGAAAAGACCTGCACACTAACCCTTGAACCAAAAACGATCCGAGTGCCCCTAAACCCTAAACCCCAAAACCCTGAACCCAAAGAAAAGATCCAAGTGTCAGGCCGTGATCCTAAGTGGGCTGATGATACTCAGAGGTCTATAAGAGAACCTAAAACAAAGGATCCGAGTCTCTATTCTTCTCCCCAAGTACCCACCATAAACGAAGAAAAGAGCTGGGCCCCAATTGGGGGTCCTGGTCAACCCCAAACCCTCCTCCTAAACCCCAAAACCCTACTTGGAGGGTCGGGGGACTTAGTAAGTAGGTAGTAAGTAGACTTATAAGTACCCTAAAAGGGACCCTAATTGGGGTTATGATACTTATAAGTCCCTAAAATAACCAGTTACTAAGTCCCCCGACCCTCCAAGTAGACCCTAAGCCTAAAACCCTAAAACGACAAAAGAAGGATCCGAGTCTCGGGCTGTCTGACTACATCCTGCCTGGATGTTACCACACGTAAACCTGCGGCGCTTTAGGGTTCAGGGCTCTTTCAGGGACTAAAAGGGTTTAGGGTTTAGGGTTTAGGGTTTAGGGTTTAGGGTTTAGGGTTTAGGTTAGGGTTCAGTTGCATTCCGCGCGCTGGATACTGGGTCCTGGTTCAGGAGCTTAATTTTAAGTTACGAGAAGAATAGGGTCCTTTCATGGTACCTCAAACTGTGTAAGCTCCTTAACAAGAAATCGAAATACGATGTCTCCCATCTCTTCATCGGCTGATACGGTGGATGGAGGAAATCCACCTACACGCAGTGTTTCGAGTACACATCCAAGCAACAACCCCGCGCACCCTTTTTAACATTGACGACAGATCTCTTGGGGCGGTGCAAGATTTCTGTCATTGGAAGAAGGGGGCGAGGGGTGAAGCTACATAACATACCTGAAAAGCGGTGCAAGATTTCCTCCATCCACAGTAATTCCTTGTCGGCACTCACAGTCTAGATACCTATCCATCCGATCCACAACCATGGAGGCATGGCAGGAGAGAGAAACACTGGAAGAAGCCTGGCAGCAGAGGACAGGAGTGGTACATGCTTATAGCTATACCTCCCTGAGAACCATAATACTGTTAATAATATATGAACAAAAATAATTCCTAAGGAGACTATATAGTGACCCTGCGCGTTCATTGCGTCTCTCGGGTCCGCCTTCGAAGAGCGGGGCAAGCGGCGCGACAGATTGGAGTCAGCACAGACGGTTTAGGGTTTAGGGTTTAGGGTTTAGGTTTATGGTCTAGGGTTTAGGGTTTAGACTCCTAGAACCGCCATACTCGCCCCTACCTGGACCCTAAACGAACTACCTCTTCCGGGCTCCTTCTTATGATTTCCTTCTTAGGTCCTTAAAAGGTAGGTTACTCTGGGTGCAAGTACGAAGTCCCCACTCCCACACCCAAGCCACCCCTAAACCCTAAACCCTAAACCCCTAGTTGCAGCAACCCCGGAGGACACACTATCCTATCTCTACATAAAACCCTGTAGTAAAACCGTATAAACCCCTTTCGGAAAAATCTACAAGCCTTATAGGGCTCCTTTAAAGGGTACTATAGGGTTCTATAGTAGGGCCCTAAGCCCCCCAAAAAAATGTACATTCCAAATTCTAAACCTGCCGGCCCCATACCACAAAAGAAACACTTAAAACCCTAAACCCTAAACCCTAAACCCTAAACCCTAAACCCTAAACCCTAAGATCCTAAGGCCCGAAACCCCGAAGGGCGACGTTTGGGGCATCCTCGGGGACCCTTGCAGAACCCCTACAGGGAACTCCAGAAAGTTGGAATATGGTTTCAGGGTAGGATACCTTATAATTTACTATAAAGGGTTTAGGATAATCATATTCCAACTTTCTGGCTTTTACTGTAAAGTAACCCTTAAAGCAACCCCTATGCAGAAAGCTCGGGCGCAGGCACAGCGTCGGAGATGATTGCGGCGGTTTTCGCCATATATCTCCTAGGTCGACGGCTCTGGGCTTTGAGGGTTTAGGGTTTTGAGGATTCCTTTACGGCTCTTTTTGTTTGTAGAAGGATTCCTAAACCCTAAACCCTAAACCCTAAACTCTAAACCGTGGATTCCTTAATAAGAGTCCCCTGAAAGGGTCCGCGGGTTCGATTCAGAGCTTGGGGATGAAGGTTGCAGGTTGAAAGGGGCTCGGGGCTCGGGGTGTTGAGGGTTGGGGCTGAGGATCATGGGACTTAGTAAGAAACCCTAGGGTTCCTTTAAAGGGCTCCTTTAAGGGATCTATAAGGGTTCTATAAGGGGGAGTTTAGGTTACTTAGAGGATCATGGGACTTAGTAAGAAACCCTAGGGTTCCTTTAAAGGGCTCCTTTAAGGGATCTATAAGGGTTCTATAAGGGGGAGTTTAGGTTACTTAGAGGATCATGGGACTTAGTAAGAAACCCTAGGGTTCCTTTAAAGGGCTCCTTTAAGGGATCTATAAGGGTTCTATAAGGGGGAGTTTAGGTTACTTAGAGGATCATGGGACTTAGTAAGAAACCCTAGGGTTCCTTTAAAGGGCTCCTTTAAGGGATCTATAAGGGTTCTATAAGGGGGAGTTTAGGTTACTTAGAGGATCATGGGACTTAGTAAGAAACCCTAGGGTTCCTTTAAAGGGCTCCTTTAAGGGATCTATAAGGGTTCTATAAGGGGGAGTTTAGGTTACTTAGAGGATCATGGGACTTAGTAAGAAACCCTAGGGTTCCTTTAAAGGGCTCCTTTAAGGGATCTATAAGGGTTCTATAAGGGGGAGTTTAGGTTACTTAGAGGATCATGGGACTTAGTAAGAAACCCTAGGGTTCCTTTAAAGGGCTCCTTTAAGGGATCTATAAGGGTTCTATAAGGGGGAGTTTAGGTTACTTAGAGGATCATGGGACTTAGTAAGAAACCCTAGGGTTCCTTTAAAGGGCTCCTTTAAGGGATCTATAAGGGTTCTATAAGGGGGAGTTTAGGTTACTTAGAGGATCATGGGACTTAGTAAGAAACCCTAGGGTTCCTTTAAAGGGCTCCTTTAAGGGATCTATAAGGGTTCTATAAGGGGGAGTTTAGGTTACTTAGAGGATCATGGGACTTAGTAAGAAACCCTAGGGTTCCTTTAAAGGGCTCCTTTAAGGGATCTATAAGGGTTCTATAAGGGGGAGTTTAGGTTACTTAGAGGATCATGGGACTTAGTAAGAAACCCTAGGGTTCCTTTAAAGGGCTCCTTTAAGGGATCTATAAGGGTTCTATAAGGGGGAGTTTAGGTTACTTAGAGGATCATGGGACTTAGTAAGAAACCCTAGGGTTCCTTTAAAGGGCTCCTTTAAGGGATCTATAAGGGTTCTATAAGGGGGAGTTTAGGTTACTTAGAGGATCATGGGACTTAGTAAGAAACCCTAGGGTTCCTTTAAAGGGCTCCTTTAAGGGATCTATAAGGGTTCTATAAGGGGGAGTTTAGGTTACTTAGAGGATCATGGGACTTAGTAAGAAACCCTAGGGTTCCTTTAAAGGGCTCCTTTAAGGGATCTATAAGGGTTCTATAAGGGGGAGTTTAGGTTACTTAGAGGATCATGGGACTTAGTAAGAAACCCTAGGGTTCCTTTAAAGGGCTCCTTTAAGGGATCTATAAGGGTTCTATAAGGGGGAGTTTAGGTTACTTAGAGGATCATGGGACTTAGTAAGAAACCCTAGGGTTCCTTTAAAGGGCTCCTTTAAGGGATCTATAAGGGTTCTATAAGGGGGAGTTTAGGTTACTTAGAGGATCATGGGACTTAGTAAGAAACCCTAGGGTTCCTTTAAAGGGCTCCTTTAAGGGATCTATAAGGGTTCTATAAGGGGGAGTTTAGGTTACTTAGAGGATCATGGGACTTAGTAAGAAACCCTAGGGTTCCTTTAAAGGGCTCCTTTAAGGGATCTATAAGGGTTCTATAAGGGGGAGTTTAGGTTACTTAGAGGATCATGGGACTTAGTAAGAAACCCTAGGGTTCCTTTAAAGGGCTCCTTTAAGGGATCTATAAGGGTTCTATAAGGGGGAGTTTAGGTTACTTAGAGGGTCATGGGACTTAGTAAGTAGGTTATAACTGGGGTTATAAGTCCCCTAAGTGGGGTTATTCTAATTATAACCTACTTATAACCTTACTTACTAAGTCCCATGAGCCTTCAAGTGAGGGTGTTCTGGGTTCGGGGTTGAGGGTTTAGAGTTTAGGGTTTAGGGTTTAGGGTTTAGGATTGAGGGCTTAGGATTTAGTGCTTGGAATCTCCACTGGTGGCCTTAAAAATTGGAAATAGTAAAGGTGTTCTGGGATTACACACAGGTCTACAACATACCCTATAAACGTTAAAGCCTGTATCGGAAACTCTGAACCCTAAACCCTAAAATCGACAAGCTACAGTGAGAGGCCTCACAAGGTAGGATGAAGGTAAGTAGGTAGGAATAAGGGTCCCTTATAAAAGGACTGTCATTTTGGGATTACCACACCTACTTAAAGGCTCATTGGACTTAGTAAGTCAGGTTATAAGTAGGTTACAATTAGGATAACCCCTCACTAAGTCCCATGATCCTTTAATTACCCCACCTTTTGAGGCTCCTGATGCAGACCGGGATTGAAGGCTTGAAGGCGGTTCGCAAACCCCATGCCCCACACCGGAAAAATTGTGTTTAGGGTTTAGGGGTTTAGGGGTTAGGGCGTATATCCTCAAACCCTGAACCTGCATCCTGAAATCCTAGACCCCCACACCCTACACTCCTATACTCATAAGGACCCTCGGGATAAGGGCGACGACCCCCAACAAGGACTCGACAAGAGTCCAACAAAGCCCATTCCAGGAAGTGTACTACCCCAGCCACCTCCCCTCTACCCTTCTAAGGTCCCTATGATGTACCCTACACTCTTCAAGGCGACACCCTGACCGACTGAAGCCAGAAGCAAATCCGAAAGCTGAACATATGAACAACAGGAGTTTACAGTTTAAGGAACTGCCGGAGCTGTTCTGAGGGCTCGGGTTTCAGATCATGGTGTTCCTTTTCGAAGGGTTTGGGCTATTGGATGCTTTTATGGTTTTGCATAGAAGGATTTTCAACAGAGGGCTTCTACGGGGCTTCCATTAAAGACCACCTCGCTCGAGGCCTCCAGCTTTGGTTTGACGCAGAGCCCAAAGCCTTGAAAAGCCTAGGCCTTAAAACCCTAAAACCCTAAACCCTAAACCCTAAACCCGACAGCAAACCCGCAAACCCAAAAAACCCTAGAACCCCCTCCACCGCCCTGTTTAGGGTTTAGGGTTTAGGGTTAGGTTCTAACTCTTCTGTAAGTGCCCTAGACCTAAACCCTGTTAACCCTCCAGCCTGAGTTCTAACTCCTACGGTTGATGATATAAATCCTGCATGACCCATAATAATGAATATACCACCATTCCCATAGTTTAGGGTCCTTAAGGTAATGCAGGATTTATATCATCAACAGTATGTAAGTGGCCTAGACCTAGACCCTGTCAACCCCCAACCCTACGCTTGCACTCCTATGAATGTGCCCTAGACCTAAACCCTATAAACCCTCAAGCCTATACTCTAATCCTACGTAATGGACCTAAACCCCTAAACCCCTAAACCCCTAAACCCTAAACCCTAAACTCAACCCTAAGTTCTAACTCCTATGTAAGTGCCGCCAAAAAGTCACAATGGTCAGGACGTCGTTGGCACAGACCGTAGAAACCTGACCTCTGAGCTGTTTATGGCGTACTTACAGGATCATGGGACTTAGTAAGTAGGCTATAATGAGGGTCAGAAGTCCCCTACTTGGGGCTATCCTAATTATAAGCTGACTTACTAAGTCCCATGAGTCTTTAAGTAGGCAAACAGAAAGGCCTTGATAAGCATATAATGGCATAGATCTTTGGGGTATATAGCAACTAACTACAAGACCTGCACGGGGATACCAATGGCAATTCTTCTGATCCAGGTACGCAAGGATTTAGGTTCCCAATGCTTAGGGTAAACCCTAAACCCTAAACCCCAGTTTAGCATTCCCAGGATTGGAAGGTTGGGGTGTGGGCAAGCGCAACGAAGGGACCTGAAGGTGAACATGTACCCAAAGCCTCCAAAACACCCTAATTTAGGTTTAGGGTTTCAGGGTCTAGGGTTTGAGTAATAATACGTTGCCTTGTTAGGAGATCTACAATCTGCTTTGAAGTATATTCCTGAATTGGGTTTGGGGAGATCTGGGTATGAAGTTTGAGACTCTTTACGTTCTTGACAAGGAATTCATGTGCCATTTGTGGCCGGACTACGATACGGATAGGATTGTTCGCAAGCAGCTGGGTATTATTACTTTGGAGCTATTGCATTCCGTGTAATTACATGGTTTACTTTGCTGAGGGTGCGAATGGCGCATGTGGCCTGATTGGTCGGCCTCCGCACAGATCAGGCCTCGCACACGTCACGCCATCTCCAGATACGAACCTTGAGGTGCGAAGGACTGGTGGTGGTTTGGTTGGTCGGCCTCCGCACAGATATGGCCTCGCACACATCACGCCATCTCCAGATACGAACCTTGACTTTGATGTCTTTTGCCGCATCCCAAGGTCCCGCGGCCCTGACGGTGGCTCATTGCTTTCGCCAGTGGCTCGACCTTGCACTTGAGGCACTGCACTATGCAAAAGTGAGTGCACTGTGCCTTGCTGTAGCGGCCGCGGCCGCCTATCTTCCCTCTGGCGACCACCAACGCTCTTGCGACATGCTGCTCGGAGAGCCTTCTCCTCAGGAGGAGGCAACTTGCTGAGGATGTCGTGTTTCTGCTGCAAAAAAGCCTAGGACTCCAGCAGTTGGTCCCACCTGTAAGGTCTAGTGTTCCTTGTCGTAGAATCAGAGTTGATGACAAATAGTAGGGTGGTTGTCAAAATTATGGTGCCTTTTTGAGTACTATAAATATTAGGTGCTGTATTATAATAAGAACCCCAAACAGGACCCTAATATTGACAACCACCCAGTGGCTAATTAAATGCCCTCCTGAAATGCGACGGCTTTCGAGATAGAGGCGCTCAAAGCCAATGGCATCTTATCCTACCCAGAGAAGATAACCTTAACCCCTTGTAACCTGCCTTTTTAAAGACTTATATAAAGAAATCATATTAGGGAACCCTGAAAAGGCAGATTCCTTAGGGTCCAGGAAGTTGATGGCACGGGGATCTTGATGCTTCTTAGGCATAGATGCGCGGAATGCCATGATCTACAACCTTAAGGACGAAATCAACCCTAAAAGGGTTTAAGGTTCATATACCATATAGGGATTCATAGTTTATGGGTATAGGGCCCCTACTTTTAAGGGACATTTGGTCCTCAAGCAACAGAATATATTCAACAAAACAATGTGGTTCTCATATTCCTTTTCTGGACTTGTACGGTAGGGCACTATGCGAGGATTTGGGGCGAAGGGGCTCGGGATAAATCTGAGCTACAAGCAAAATCTCATAGGCCTTAATAATCCCTACAAGTAGAGTTTGGAGTATGGCATTGTGCGAATAGTTGCAACTGTTCAGACGATGAAAGCTCCATGCTTTACGCACAAGGCCCCCGACAACCAGGAGTAACTACCCAGGAAACTCCAGGCTTAGAAGTTCAAGTAGCGCGAAGACCCAGACTGTTCCAAGGCTAAGTGCCGGAAATGTACCCTCTACCGTGAACCCTGCCTAAACCTCAAACCCTGAGTGCAAAGACACCAGGAGGTTTGAGAGTTTGGGCCCACGCCTGGCTGCGCGCAGTCGGTGGTGACGTACCTGTAGATCTAAGGCTCCAGAATCTTGAGTTCCTGAAATTGGAAAGAGTTCAGGAAGGGGTTTAGGGTTCATGGATGCAAATTTGTTGAAGACCTTCTTCCTGAGCAAACCGTCCTCAAAATGGGTGATAAGGGTTTGGGCTTTAACCAAAACCCTTTTGGGTGTATTATAGAGACCTTCAAAAGTCTACTTTGACTGTTCTAGAGAAGCCCCCAGGCATAATTTTGGTACTTATGACTATATTAGATTCCTGATGAATAATTCCCCTGTGAATCAGGATTACAGGAGGTGGATTTATGAATTGCCTCCATCCACCTGGATTTCGTAGGGCCCCTATAAATTCTGCACTAGGGTTTAGGTGAAGACCCTGCGAACCATCAAAAGAACATATTCCTACAGCTGTAACCTAAACCCCCGAGACCTGAATCCAAACCCGCACAGCGAACCCTAAACCCTGTAAGCCCTACTACTGTTGATGATATAAATGCTGCATTACCCATACTAAGGAATGTACCATAATTCCCATAGTCTAGGGTCATTCATGAAATGCCTAAAACCTAAACCTTAAATCATAAACCCATCACAACTAAACCCTCTTACACCCTGAACCCTATAGGTCCCTTAACGGAACCCTTAAAGGCAATGCAGGGCTTATATCATCAACCGTAGTATTTATCCCTCACCCAGACCCCCGGGAAGATCTAGAAAGTAGCTCCCCTAATTTGCCTAGACTACTAAGGGAACCCCCATTAAGGGATCTACTTTTTGGATCCTCCCGACGGTCTGGGTATTTATCCTTCAACGATTGTCTAGGACACCCAGTAACCTAAGAATAAAAAGGCCTCTCTTTTTGGTATTGGGTAACTGTATAAGGAACCTAGGACTACAAAAAGGGAATAAGGGTACTACTGGGCATCCTAGTTGTTGCTTTGCAGTCGCTAGGTTTCGCGAGGCTCCTCGGCCCAAGGAATTAGGGGAGTAGGGCACTATAGGGCTCCTTTAAGGCTTCCTTTAAGGGTTCCTTTAAGGGTTCTATAAGGCGTTTAGGGGTTTCAGGGGTAGGGGTCTAGGGTTTAGGGGTTTAGGGTTGAGGGGTTTAGGGATTTAGGGGGTTAGGGTTTAGGGGATTAGGGTTTAGGCTTTAGCGTTTTGGCATTTGGGGGAGTAGGTTGTCTGCAGTAGGGCTTGAGGGTTTACCTGGACCCTAATGAGCTTACCTTTTTAGGGCTCCTTCTTAATATGATTTCCGTACATAAACCTATAAAGAGCTAGGTTATTCAGGGTACAGGTGGGGTCTTGGGTGTATGGTCTGGGGTTAAGGGCTGATGGTTGAAGGATTCAAAGAGTTCAGGTTATGTTGGGTACGGCCCCCACTCAATAGTAGTTGAAGAATATTCATGTTATAGATACATTAAGACCTTAATAGTAGCCCTATTCCGGACTCTTACTGTATGGGGGCAGTACGTAAGGTTTATGCCAGGTCTGCACCCTGAACTGCAACCTATGGCCAGGTTACTTACTCAAAGGCTCATGGGACGTAGTAAGTAAGGTTATAAGTATGTTATAATTAGGATATAACCCCACTTAGGGGACTTATAACCCCAGTTATAACCTACTTACTAAGTCCCATGATCCTCTAAGTAGTATCCTTCCCACCACCACTACCACTGCCAGCCTGCACTACCACTACCATACCTAGAAGCTAGAGGGTCATACACCACCCCTGTTTCAGGGTACCTGAGGATCCGTTATGTACCCTAAAAAAGGGTTTCGGTACGACTCTAACATAAGGCTTATACAAGAGGCGAATTTGGTTTGCAAGCTCAGCACCGGTCGGACACGTGACCCGAAGAAGGGTTCAACGTCTGACGAGGTGCCCAGAGAGCCCAATACCCCTTAATTAAGCAATATCTAGGATTCCTTCAAGGGGTCCATAAGGAATCTATAGGTTTAGGGTTTAGGGGATTCTAATACCCCTCAATTACGGAATATAGCTTACACAATAATATGAAGGCCCTTCTACTGTAACGCATGTTCCTTAATCAAGGGGTATTGCGCTCTCGGGGAGGGGCAGGCTACGAAGTCCAAGTGCGCTGATGTCGTTTTTCTGCAAGCCCGCTGGCCAATGGTGGCGCACGGGTCATCGCCAATACTGAAGTTGCTTACCATTACAACTGCGGGAGTCTGTAGTGATAACTATGGTGTCCGTATTGCCTAAACTCCATTAAGTTCCTTTTCAGCAAATTCAGAGTAAGGACATACTGGGGCTCGTGGCGCTGATGCTTCTGCTTCTCGACTTCGCGTTCAAGCTTCAAACAGAGTCACCGAAAAGTACCCTAAACCCTAAACCCTAAACCCCTAAACCCTAAACCCTAGAGAAGTTGAACACGATCCATCCGTTTTCCAGGTTCCGCTTTACTCCGAACCCAAGAGCCGAAACAAAGCAAACCCTAAACCCTAACCCCTAACCCCCTAAGGGATTCCTTCAAAGGAACCCCCAAAGGAACCCTTAAAGTGCCCTACTCCCCTAAGCAACTCCCCCTGCATCCTTCGGCCCAAGAGCCTCGCGAAAAAAACAGCTTCAATCGAATCGCAGCCTTCGCGAAACAAAAACGACACCTTGTCAAGACCAGATGAAAGCTTGCAGTTGTGAGCCCTATACCCCAAACCGTAAAAAAAAAAAAACTAAACCCTAAACCCTAAGCCCTAAACCCTAAACCCTAATACATTTAAAGTTCAGGGCTGAAGGTTTAGATGTTGGGGCTTGAGGTTCAGTTTCAAGCCTAAACCCCTCTGAAATCTCTTTTTGAGTCCCTACCTAAAACCTACATATCCCTTGTAGAATCCCCTAAATAATAACAGTACATAAATAACACGGGGCCCCTGCAAACCCAATTTTGCTTCTCAAAGCCCCGGCGTCCAGAACGCCCCGCCCCCCCAAAACTCTCTGATAGAACCCGCATAAGAGCCCCAGAAGCCTATTCTAACTATTCAGGCCCCTGTATTAAGCCCCCCTCCCGTCCAAAAAAACTGCCTTTAGAAAAGCCCTTTTAAGAACCCTTGAAGGAACACTGTCCCCTCTACAAGTAATGCACAAGCACCCTAAAGCACTCAAACCCTCAACACGCATCAGGGTACCTTCCAAGAACCCTTGTAATCTTCCTATCAAAGGCCTCGTTCCCTAAACCCTAAACCGTTTCCTTTAACGAATCCTGCATTTTGGCTCTGGAAGCCCCCAAAAGATGGTCACGTCAGCATTCGGGCGATGTTCGTGAGGTCGTAGAGGGCCGTGGTGATATCCGCGGCACAGCCCTGAACGAGGGTTGGGGTCTTAGTCTCTATCCTGAAAGCCCTAAAACCCTAGACCCTAAATATCCTGAATCCTAAACCCTATAGGCTTTACTCCCTAGGCCCGAGCTCCTAAACCTTGAGCCCGAGGCACTAAAGTTTAGAAACTTTAGGGATTCCAAGCCTGCAAGCCTCGGGTGAGAAACTGTTGATGATATAAATCCTGCATCACCTCAAGGACACTATGGGAATTATGGTATCTTCGTTATTATGGGCAATACAGGATTTATATCATCAACCGAAGTTCGCAACTTCTGCTGGAGGATATAGGGCCTTACTTTTTAAGGGTCATTTGGTCCTCAAGGAAGATTCCATGCAGCCCAAAGTAGGTGCTTTCTGTGGTCTTGAGAGCCCAAAGCAGGTCTTCCCATCTTTAACCTATCGAAACCTACTTTTTTGAAGGGCTCCTGTAAAATTTTATGTTGGGTTTACAGTGAGAACATGTGAGCTACAAATTATCAAGTTCTGGTGGTCGAAGGATATGTGCACTTGCAGTCTTAATGTTTTCACTGTGTAGGGAGCGAAAAAGCTTGGGTTTTTGGGGTTAGGGAGTTAAGGTTTGCAGTGCACAGAGCGAAGCCCTAATCCCTCAATCCTCAACCCAACATCTCTGAAGTTAGGGCGGATGTCAAAGTCTTGGGCTTCGGGGTCTGGGGATTTCGGGTTTCGGATTTGGGGATCTAGAAGTCAATCCCAACTATCGCAGCATCTCGCGCTTTGACATGTACATGCAACATTGCTTAACCCCACCACCAATTTCCGCGTTTGCTGTAGGGTCTTAAGGCGCTGCTGGCTCGAACACAATTGCTTCGCTTTGTTGCTGACTGTCTCAGACAACTATAGGCCTTGAGTAGGACGAGACGGCTAGCCGCGGCTAGCCAAGCGGCAAGTACGTGCACGCCGTGGTACAAGCATGCTGACGTTATTCTACGCGTCAGTGCTATATGCGAAATCATCGGAGAAAGTTGCTTCAGCTCGGTTTCGCAGTGTTTTGCGCTCTGGCCCGTTAGGGAAACTATCAACCTGGTGCGAGGCTGACAGCCTTGCCACAAACTGCATCAGGCTGGCTTGTGATGCGTCTCAGCGATAACGGGCAATCATCCGCCGTAGCCCATCCCGGTGTGCCGCACGTCAGCCGTATCCAGGCTTTGCCACCATAGGCTTTGTTGGCCCCGCATGTCTGGATGTGTTTGGGTGAGTGGGGAATCGGACTTCCCTTTGTGTACATCCGACTGTGCGCTCACTGGAGGTGCCAGGACTGCTTCCGATCCGTCTCTGAGAAGCTCCGGGAGGTCGATCGGGGTCATCTCTCAAAGTCCTTGCAAGATGCCGCGACGACTCTCAAATTGACATGCTTTGTGGAGCGGGCTACCCCCGCTGCAAGATGACTTGTGTGTCCAAAGTGGCCAGGTGGAAATTTTGGAGGAATTCGCTGAGGTCGGTTTCTCGAGGGAAGAGACTTCAGCCAGAACATCCCACGACCTCTACTCGATACTATGCGAGAAGTCCCACACCACAAGAAAGCCACTGAACTCCTCATACTTCACGCAGTATCCTGAAAACTCCAACTCCCCAAACCCCGAGCCGTCAATATGTCCAGAGTACGTGAAGTCCTCCTTCCACTCTGTAAAGCTTTGAACCTTGAGCGCTAATCCTAAGCCCGAAACCCACATGAAAACCCTAATAGAACCGCAAAGAGCCCGGCTGCTAACCTTAACTTCTGGCTCCCTCTCATTAAAATACCCCGCTCCCTCCCGACGAAAGACACAAAGTGGCTTCAAGTTAAGGGCGAGCTTTCAATCTGCTCATCTATTAGTTTGAGGTCTAGGGTTTAGGATTGACTACGGTTTAGGGTTTAGGGTTTAGGGTTTAGGGTTTAGGGTTTAGGATTGACTGTCCGTGCTTTTGCTGCTGTCGTTCTTGCTGCTGTTGCTGCTCCAATGGTGCTATACTTTTTTGGCGGCAGTAGGCGGCAGTACACCAACCCCTTGAATATAGAGGTATGGAACAACTGGAACAACTATAGGTATTTCTTTATATGAAGCTCGTGCTAAAATCATAATGCAAAACCCGAGAAATTTCAGGCATATTCCATAATTAAGGGGCATTGGGCTTTCTGGGAACCCTAAACCCTAAAACTTTAAACCCCAAAAACCCTAAGCCCCTAAACCCTTGAACCCCCCAAACCCTAAACCCTGAACCCTAATTCCATATAGAGCCCTTTACTGGGCTTTGCAGTAACCAGGGAGAAAAAGTATAGACTTTTTCGTTCAATATTGGTTCCCTTTAAGGAACAGATCCTAAAAAAGTATTAAGTATGGTACTCCAAAGCCCAGTTTTACTAACCCTTCCAGGAACCCTACAGGCCCGAAGCCCCTTAACCCTAAACCTTGGAACCTAAACCCTGGAACCCCTTATAGAACCTTTCAAGGAAGCCTTAAAGGAACCCTACAGTGCCCCATCGCGCCCTAAACCCTAAGCCCCTAACCCCCAAACCCCTAAACCCCTAAACCCCTAACTAACCCATAAACCCTAGAAACCTAAACCCCTAAACCCCTAACCCCTAAATCCCCACAAACCCCGAAGCCCCATCGCGCCGGCTTGTTCGGCGAGACGATCTGCTCTGGCGTGGTGGGGACCACGGGCGCTACGGTAGGAATCCTCGGCTCGCAGAGGTCTGCTTTGGGGTTTGTTTAGGGGTTTAGGGTTTAGGGGTTTAGGGTTTAGGGTTTAGGGTTTGAACTCCCGAAAGTTGCAACATGGAATTAGGAGGATCAGTGCTAGGATTCCCTATACTTTGGTTTAAGGGCATGAGGCTGATGATGTTCGAACTTTCTGGCTTCTACTATAGGGGTTTAGGGGTTTAAGGGCGTTAGCAGTTTAGGAGTGTAGCGATTTAGGGGTTTAGCATTTAAGGGGTAAAAACTAATAATTCAGGGGTTTATGGTTTGAGGGTTTAGGGGTTTAGGGGTTGAGAGTTAAGGATGTAGGAGTTAGAGTTAGGGAATTTTGGCATTTAGGGGTTTAGGGTTTCGGGGTTTAGGGGTTTAAGGGTTAGGGTTAGGGAATTTGGGGATTTAGGGGTTTAGGGATTAGGGTTTGGGGGTTTAGGGGTTTAGAGTGTAGAGGTCTGCTATCGGTTTAGAAACCTTCCTTAAGGGTTCCTCTAAGGGTTTAGGGTTTGAGGTTTAGGGTTTAGGGGCTAGGGATTGGGGGATCAGGGGTTTTAGGGTTTATGGTTTAGAGGCTTAGGGGTTTAAGGGGTAGGGTTAGGCATTTAGGGGTTATGGTGGGGGTTTAGGGATTAGGGGCAACCTTCTTTAAGGGTTCCTGTAAGCATTCAGGGTTTAAGGTTTATTAGGGTTTAGGGGTTTAGAGGTTTAGGGTCTATGGGTAAGGGTTCCTAAGCCACTTTGGTGGAGGCTTGTTCGGCTAACTTTCGTGCACGGCAAACTGCTTCCACACCAATTCATCCTTTTCATGGCTCACTGCAAGGCTGCTATAATTTAACGTGGAAGCCTGGATCATTAGCAATACTACTCCTCCAGGTCCTTAAGTTCCTTCCTACATTACTTCTACCCCATCGACCCTAGAGCTCAACCCTAAACTCTAAACCCCTAAACCCCCCGAAATTGCACAGCAACCTGAGCACAATACGGTTGATGATATAAATCCTGCATGACCCATAAGAAGGAATATACCATAATTCCCATAGTTTAGGGCCCTTAAGGTAATGCAGGATTTCTATCATCAACAGTAGGTCCCCATGTTGGGCTGCAGTTGAGGGTTTAGGGTGAGAGGCCACGGGTTTACGGCTCTAAGTGCTATCGGGCTTTAGGCTTTCGGGTTTCTGGATCTGGGGCTGCAGGCTTTTGGGTTGGGGCTCTGGGAGGGTTTTACTTGGGGTTACAACCCTAAACCCTAAACCCTAAACCACGGTTAAGGTTTAGGGTTTAGGGTTTAAGGCTTTAGGGTTTAAGGAAGACCACCTCACGCATCTTGCTGCCACACGTATCGGAGCCTTGCCCCCAATCTGTTCCCAGAGACCCCAACATCCCATAATTACGGTTTAGGGTTTAGGGTTTTATATAAATCATATTAGGGATCCTACTACAATTTAAGGTATATTCCAAAATCAAGAAGTATTGGAGTCTCTGGCTTAGCACACCCTACTGCAACTTCTCAAACCCACATAACAGCCTGCCGCAGCATAAGATTATACCCAGCTCTTGGGTTCCGACTGCCTTGCTCCACAACCCAGACCCCCCGACAGGATCCAAAAAGTAGATCCCTTAATGAGGGTTCCCATAAAGTACCCTTAGTAGTATAGTGCCCAAATTAGGGGATCTACTTTCGAGATCCTCCCGGGGGTCTGGGAGTGCGTGTTCCACACCCGTCCGCGCCTCAAGCCCAAATGCGTGTAGAGCCCGAGTCCCTAAACCCTAAACCCCAAACTCTGCAAAGACAATGACCACAAATCCCTAAATCTCCAGATGGGCGGTTGTCAAAATTATGGTCCCTTCTTGGGTCCCTATAGTACGGCACCGACTATTTAGGGTACCCCAAAAGGGACCCTAATTTTGACAACTACCCAGATGCTAACAACGACACCCTGAGCACTGAAACCGGAAGTGCTCAGGATCCAGAGGGTTTCTCTACTTAAGGGCTCTTTAAAGGGTACTATAGGGTTCTATAAGAGGGGTTTAGGGTTTAGGGTCTACTTAGAGGCTCATGCGACTTAGTAAGTAAGGTTATAAGTAGGTCAAAAGTATAACCCCACTTAGGGGACTTATAACCCCATTTATAACCTACTTACTAAGTCCCATGATCCTCTAAGTATAGGTTCCCTCTGAGGCTTTAAGGAGGTGTTTCTTTTGCGAAACCCTGAACCCTAAACCCCCCAAAACCCTAAGACCCTGAGGGTGTCTGTCTTCCAGGATTCCCTGGGTTGGCCTTTAAACACCCTGAAAAATATTTATATATAGGGTCCCTTATAAACCCCAATAAGGAAAATAAAAAAAGTCCCAAAATCCAACCTAGTTCCTTTAAGAAGCCCTAAGCCTAAATCCTAAAGCCCAGACTAACTCCAAGCTGAGACTGCCGAGTCTCTGAGGCGTAGGTGGTGGAGCACCTGGGAGGAGAAAACTGAGAGGCCACGTACTTCAGGGCTAGGGTTTAGGGTTTAGAGTTTAGGGTTTAATTTAGGGCTAAAAGACTTATAGGGCTTATCAGAGCATGTCTATGATACACTTAGGCCCGGAAGGGGCCTTTTCGGCCAAGTACTTACTGCACAGTTACATGACATGGGCCTTGTGAGAGTTCTCGGGGGACTGATGTCCCTTTGTTCCCTTAACCGTAACGCAGAAGGAACCCCAAACCCCATACCTTTAATCGTTTGCACCCTAGCGCCTGAGCTCATAATCGTGTACACTGCAAAACCGGGTTTAAGCCTGACGGCCAAAGTGCCTACATACTGTGACGGTTTAGGGTTTAGGACTGGGAGTTAGGGGCGTAATTAGTGTCATAGATACCTCGGAACCTAGAGACCTCTCTTAAGGAGGATTCCTTAGCAGACGCATTGTGATCTCGGGGTGTCCTGACTGCCTGCTTGAACCTGGAACCGTAAACCCTGATCCCTGATTCCAAAGCCCTACGCTCTAAACTCTAAACTTCCCCAAAACCATAAACCTTAAACCCTAAACCCAAAACCGCTTCCCCAAAACCGTAAAGCTTAAACCCTGCACACCATCTCCAAGGCCTTGCACACCATCTCTAAGGCCTTCAACTCAACCTAGATCTCAAGCTTTGAAAGTCCTCCACAGGGTCCGGCAAGTCGCCAAGCATCGCATCCAGGATGTCCCCACCATCCACCTTGTCTTCACCTGAGAGGTGTTCGGAATGATGGATTTCAGGGTTTTGGCAGGGCATAAAGCACTTCTAGGATACCCAGTAACCTAAGAATAAAAAGGCCTCTCTTTTTGGTATTGGGTAACTTTATAAGGAACCTAGGACTACAAAAAGGGAATACGGGTACTACTGGGCATCCTAGACTTGAAGGGTCCCAGGAGCAGGAAACTGTTTTCCTCAGCCCCAAGCACTGTCTAAGAGACTCCGCCAGGTTACCCAGAGACTCCAATATCCCTTCATGAAAAATGTACCTCTACTAAGGAATATCCCTGAGTTAAGGAATATAGTTAAGGAATGTACCTTAAGCTAAAGTGGGACCCTTAATATGATTTAAGGGGTATTCACTAAGGGATATTGGAGTCTCTGGGTATTCGTTGAGCAGGCACCTTAATGAGGTGGCCTTCAAGAACACTGGAGTCTCTGCCTTAGACATAGCAGGGGATGTCTGAACCTTGAGGACACCAATTCTCAGCTCCCAGGCACTGAGCCAAAATCGGATGCAACGGTTTCGTCCCGTGGGATCGTTTGAAAGAATCGGTGAGTTGGTGAAGTGCCACCAGGAAGGCCGATCGGGTTGAGGCCTTGGGAGGGTAAAGATTAGGAAGTGTTGTTGTTGAATTGTTGTGTGTGCGTGTCTCTGTCTTACACGTTCGATTGTGTGTGTGCGTGTGTGTGTGTGTGTGTATGTATGTATGTGCACATATACACATTATATCTACCAGGCTTTTTGGGTGGAACAGTATTCTATAGGTATATAGAAGCTCAAAGAACCCATAAACATCTAAACAACACCTAAACTCACGCCCTGCAAAGCCCTCTACAAATGCTGCAATATTGGGGGCCGAAACACTTAGAATGCGGCTTGAGTGTATATGGTACTACATATTTAATAAGGAGGCCTGAGGAATGAGGTTGGTCAAGTTCTCGACCCCGAAATCTATGCCCGAAAGCCCAAACACTAACTGAGTCCCGAACCCCTCAAAGCCCCATAGTACCTTCAAGGCCCCCATTAGCATCAGGAGCCCTTCAAGGAATCCCACACTACTGACGAAGGATCCTGTATGAAACCATTGTAAAACCCTATTTTGAAACGCTGAAAGCCATGGCCACCCTATCAAAACCTTGTTTAAGCCCTGTTAAGACTGTAACTATTGAACTCGTTGTGGCCCCTATCACGAAACCTCTTTGTGAATTTTTGAAGGAACCCTGAACCTTATGCCGCGAAACCAAAGCAGCCCTGTTCACTCTCTTCTTCAACAATCGGGCCCATAAGAGTTCAGATTTTCTAAGCTAGACCAAATACATATACAAGTCTTCCTTTGAGGAGGTACTAACTGTCGGGTTCAACAGTGCTTACAGATGAAAGTTTTCCCAGTGGCCTAAGCCCTGAACCATAAACTGAAACATATAAACCCTACAAACCCTAACCCAGATCGTTCTAAGATGGCGGAAGCTCCGGGTGCCCCGACCGTGCACCCGCGCAGCTGCCAGGAGCCAAAGCCATCTGAGAAGTCGGCCTCGGAGATCTGGGTTTAAAGGTTTATTACAGTAAGCCCCAAAAAGTTGGAAACCTGATTAAGGACAATTAGTGCTGAGATTCCTTATACATTACTCTTAAGGATTGAGGCTATTGGGTTTCCAACTTTTGGGCTTCCACTGTATGGTTAAAGGGTTTAAAGGAGAAGAGGTGTACTAGGGGAAAGAGGTTGATTCGGGTTTAGGGTTTGGTGTCAATGCTGATCAAGATTAGAGGCTTATCTGGGCTTGAATAGGTTTGCGGCGTTGAGGTTTACCTTGAGGAGCAACCCAGAAACTCCAATATCCCTTAAATGAAGGAAGGAAAATGACTGAAAACATATTAGGGATCCTACTATAATTAAAAGTAAGGGATACTGGAGTCTCTGGGGCATGACCCTTAAACTACACAAAAACCTCCTACATGGCACCTGAACCTTGCACCCTTGTCCGGGCTGATTTCGTCCTTGCCCTCTAGGGTTCGGGGTTTAGGGTTTCGGACTCAGGGCCGTTTAGAGTTTAGAGTAAATGCTGGTTTAGATTATGAGTTTCATGTGTTTGAGACGTGGGGGGGAACGAAGGGGCCCCGATAGGATTCTCGTCATCCGAAGACTCATCTTCTTCATCTTGGGCCCGGCGTCTCTGCTTGCATAAGGTTCGTGGACACCGGCCTGTGCAATGATGAGCTCATGCAGATCGAAATGAGTCGCCGTTTCGACACGGCCGGTCCAGACAACAGGGCATGCAAGCTCTCCTTTGGTAGATTCCTTCGACCTCCCACCGCATAAGCAATAGAAGCGCGGCCACCGAAGCTTGCGGCGGCTGGGCTCGACCGCTGGACGTAACTTATACCCTTTAGAGCGCAAATACTTCTCAGCAATTTGCCAGCATTCTCCTTTGGCACCAGGGTCAGCAACAGACACCCTGCCCAGAACATTCTCTGCCGCGTTTGGTCGGGGCAGGGGTGCAGCGGCATCCTCTTGCGAAGGCTGTTTGTCGGAAGAATCAGCGTCTGCTGCCTCTTGATTGCAGTGTTCTTCCTTCACAGCACCGACGTCAGATTCACTAACATTGTCTTGCGACTGCGCCTCGCCTCGCATCCGGCCTGTTGCAACCTTTCGGCGCGGACTTGGTTTGCTCGTTGCGGCCGCACAGCCAGGATCGGAGATCGCTTCGTCGCCATTGCGGCTAGCAGGTAGTCCCAGATCTTCCGAAGCAGAGCCTTGGTTTGCACCGTCGGGGCTTGCTTGAGAAAGCACAAGCAAAATGGTATCACTGGTCGCTGACTTAGAATCGCCAGACAAATCAATCTGGGTGGTAGAGTCTTGCTGCGGGGTACGCTTGAGGAACCCATGCCTTGACGAGTCCGTTTCTCGCATTTTTTCAGCTTCCGAGTCGAGCGGTGCAGCGCCGTGTGGTTCGGTATTCATTGCTGCTCCTGCCGCACATCCAAAAGGTTGGAGAGCAGCTTCGCGAGAAGTCTCAGCGGAAGGCTGACTGCAGCGAGTAGCGAATGGCCGCCTGGCAGCGGAAGGGATGCACTGGGGTCAGCTGGGTCCGTTGCAGGGCACACACTGAAAGCCCAGAAGAAAGTAGCTGCCAAGCCACTCTGATGCACCAAAGACTCCGGAAACTGATACGTGCCGGTGACATACGGCATCTGGGCCAAGCTGGATTTCGCCGGCAAAAAGCACCGGCCTCTCAGCAGCTAGGCCGGCATGTCCTGCTGCATGGCCGAGTTCTGCTGGCTGAGTAAACAAAGCCCTGAAAGACGCTTCTTCTGGACGTTTGACCACAGCATACGTCCATGGCGGAGGCACCACCACTGCCGCTCCCATATCATCGCCATCCTGCCAACACACTTGCCGCCCCACTTCCGGGCCCGTGGCCACATTTACGCAGGCATGGAATCTCATAGAAGCCGGTTGGAAGAGAAGACCCATGAAGGATACGCCAGCATAAATCCAAGGTGCAGGCGGGGGAATAACATCTCCTGAACGCGACCAGTGGTGGCAATTGCTGGCACGGCCAAAGCTCCATTTTGCACAGGATGCTGCTGGAAGCGACCAGCGCCTTGCATCACAGGCTGGAACCTGTCCAAGGGCACCCCAAAGAATCAAGGAGTGCTTTGCGGCTCTCCGTCAAAGGCATCCGACGAAGCACTAGCCCGCCACGCACACCTTCCTCTAAAACGCCCGAATCCAAACTCACGATCTTTTGCAGGAGGGCTGTGCGCTGAACGAACTCGGTGTCCTTTCTGAGGTGTGCGAGGCGGCGGGACATTTCGCTCATTGTGATAGGCTCTGCGACGCAATGTCGCAGGACACGGCCAACGGTGTCTGCCTCAGCGTGTCGCTTCACAGTTTGAGCAGGAACCGTTCTCGTGCCCTCGGTCCCCGAAGCACAAGCGTGGTCCATGACAGCACAGCCGTGCAACAAACGGCGATCGAAGAAACGGCAGGCGCACTTGACAGCATTGTCTGAAATCTCAGCTTCAGCTGCGACGGCGGGCGGCGGGCAAAAACTTAGTTCAAGCAAATGTGTCAGCTGAGACATCATGCCCACATGGTACTCTAACTTACCCAGCACAGATATGCTGGCACTTCCCCAGCCCGGCTCGGAGCTGAGCTCTCCGAATTCACAGTAAAGATCACTGATGGAGGCTTCTTGACCAGGGTAGTGCATGGCAGGCTCCGCCTTCTCCGGAGGCATGGCCGTGCCGAGAAGCAGCGCTGTGCCAGAAATCGGGCTTAGGGCTTAGGGTTTGTGGGGTTGAGGGGATTATGGGCTTGGGGCTTCAGGGTTTAGGGCTTCGGGTTTGGGGGTTTAGGGGTTAGGAGTCTAGGGTTTAGAGCTTTAGGGAGTTAGGGCTCAGAGCTCAGGGTCCTAGGGCTTTTGAGTTGTAAGTAAGGGTTTGGGCTTTAAGGTATTCTATCAAACTGTACATGTTGTATGCTTATGTACATATGAACATATTCCATATACAGATGATAGGTATCGGTCTCTGTTGTGTGTTATCCTTTTGGTATTGGCGATTGTTTGTCTCGATGGTTTTCGGGTTCGGGAGGATTCCTTACGAGTTTGGTAGAAGTGTCCGGTGGATTTGGGGTCGGGACACACGGGCTTCGGATTCAGGCAATCCAGATTTAAGGGTACAGAGACGGTTTTCGGTATGAGTTGTAAGCTTAGTTCCGTCTGTTCTGTGGCTTTGGGATGTCAAAGAAATTCTGAACCCTAAACCCTAGAGGCCATAAACCCTAAACCCGAAACTATGGCTTCGGGTTCAGACGGGTAACGTACAGTAGGTCTAAGAGGGAAGCTAAAGGGAAGAATATTGGCAAAGGGCTGGATGCAATTTGCTGGTGCGGTTTAGGGCATCATTCGTGATCAGGCTCTAGGGCTTTATGCGAAGGCGGCTTACTATGGGGGCCTTAACAAGCAGGGTTTGGGGTCCCATGATACTATACTTACAATAAAGAACACCAAAGTAGTATAGGTAGTAATTAAGGCCCCTATAGAATGCTCCTGCAACCTCTGCGAAGCGGTCCTGCAGTAGAGAGCCCAGGGTTGAAGACTCAAGGCTTACTTGAAGGCTTAGGGGACTTAGTACGTAAGGTTTTTCGTAAGGTTATTACAATTCGTTTAGGACAACCCTACTTCGGGGTTTTATACCGCCAACCATAACTCTACTTACTTTGTCCCTTGAGTCCTTATAGGTAAGGATTATGTACAGTAGAAGCCAGAAAGTTGGAAACCCAATAGCCTCATTCCCTAAGAGTAATGTATAGGGAATCCCAGTACTATTTGACCTTAATCCGATTTCCAACTTTATGGGGTTTACTATAATGTCGGCTCGTGGCTTCAAGGCTTTGCGTGTAGATTTCGGCACTTGGCTGAGCTCAGCACCCATACTCTTCACGGACGGCATTGACGCGGTCCGCTTCGCTTCGATTCTTCCTATCCTGAACTCTAGCTCTGTGTGGCCTGGCACGATCGAAAGTCTTAGGCTGGAAGAGACTAGAAACCCTGAGCCAAAAAGACTCCCTAACTTCCTGAAGTCTAGGCCCTAAAGCCAAGCTGCAAGAGACCCAACCGTGTGAACTCTGGGCTAAATCGGAGCTGTGCTAAGACTAAGTACGGCTTTCGTCTTGCTGGATCCAAATTGCGCCGCGCAATGTAGGGTCTAGAGTACAGGCTTTTGCAGGCTTGTTCAGGGCATACAGAGTGTTCTGGCTGTAGCAATACCTGCATGTGAGACAGTTTGTCTGCCTAGACTTACCAGCTACACTCCTCTACGACTTATGAAAGGGTACTTGGGGCGTTCTGGTGGTGTTGAGGTTAACCCTAAACCCTAAACCCAAAACCCAAAACCCTAAACCCTAAACCCAAAACCCTAAACCCTAAACCCTAAACCCAAAACCCTAAACCCTACCAATGATTCTGTCTTAGGATGAGACCATGGGCCCCTAGTATGGGCCCTTTTGCCCGACACCCCTTATATCCCTCATACATACCCTGTTTGTACCCTTTAAGGTCCCTTAAAAGGGCTAAGGGTCCATGCTAGGAGCCCCCATACTTCTAACCTCAGATTCTGAATTCTGAACCCCTCCTAGAAGTTAAACTTTTAGCCTCCCTAGTATGGTTCATATGGGAGTTTCCAAGAATAGGCGGACTCTAAGATAGTACCCAAAATAGTAGGATCCTTATTATAAGGACCCCCAAAAAGGTACTCTCAATTTTAGGAAACTCCCATATAGAAACCCAAAAGGTAAAGTCCAAAGAGCGCCAAGTTTAGCTTGTTCCAAAGATTTTGGGTTAACAGCCACAATTCTGAAGCTCGCACATCCAGGCCCTCTGCTCCATGCTCCCTAGAAGATAAGCAAAACTGTTTGGGGTTTAGGAAGAACACTAGAAAGAAACTAAAGCCAAAAATATGCTAAATAAGTAAGCCCTGAACCCTAAACCCCTAAACCCAAGTGCTGCAAAGACTAAACCATGGGCCCCAACTGCGAAAGCTATGACGCAAAAACCCAGCGTTCGACAACCCGAATCTGAAGAGTTTGGGGGCTCCCTTCTAGGGTACTATACTTAGAGGATCATGGGACCGAGCAAGTCGGTTATAAATGGGGCTAAAAGTCCCCCAAGTGGGGGTATCTTCATTGTAACCTACTTAGATTAAAGCCTTACTAAGTCCCATGAGCCTTTAAGCAGGGTTCTATAACAGGGTTCCCTTTCGGGGTTTAGGGATTAGGGTCTCGAGCTCAAGGTACTTAGTGAGTAAGGTTGTAAGTAAGGAACCACTAACCCTGCTGAGGGGGTGTTAGGGTTTAGGTTCAGTGGTCTAGGGCTCAGGGTGTGTAGCCGCAATTATAAACCCCCCGCACTAGGTCCGTTGAGCTCCTAAGTAGAAGGCCCAGATACGGACTTGAATGCTACGGTGGTTAGTAAAGATGCTGCATTAGTTTAATTCATGACTCTAGGCTATGGATAACATTTTATGTTCCTTGCTATATTATGGGTAAGGCAGGGTTTATATCATCAACCCCGAGGATGGCTTGGAACAGAGGCTGTAGGTGTCTAACATAACGGGTCGGAACTAGTGGTAACGTTATTCCCCATATGGTCCGATGAAAAAGTCGACAATCATGTGCACCACAACTCATGTCTAAATACTACTGCTCCTGCCTTAGGGGTTTTCGAAATCCCACAAAAGAATGATCTCGCCGTCAAAGATTTTTGCCACTGCGCCGCCAGCCCCCTCTGAACCGTCTGATGCACACACACACGTCGTTCTCAGGACCTTCAGGCGGGGAGCATACTCAGGCTCAGGCAACGGTAAATAAGCAGACTTAGATACTGTAGGGGCCTGAATAATTCGCCTCGGCCCCGGCCGAAGCGGTCAGAGGTTCCTATTCGGATTCCCTCTATTCCCCACCTCTTAATCCCCTCTGCAGTGACCCCACACCAAAATCGGGGCTACTGCGCCCCCCCCCCCCTAAAAATGGAACCCTCCCCCCCCTCCCCCCCCTCCCCCCTCCCCCCCCTCCCCCCCTCCCCCCCCCCCCCCTCCCCCCCCCCTCCCCCCCCTCCCCTACACCCTAACCCCAGCCTGAAAAATTGGGGCTCGCCTGTAAGGCTGCAGTACCAAGGGAGTTTCAAACCTGAATTCCTAAGTGCGATTCCAACTGTTACTTTTTTCCTACAAGAGCTTGCTGCAGATAGTAGCCACTCGCCGCATGCGCGTACAGCCGGGCCGAGGCGGACGACGCGCAGCGTTTCAAATTAGAATAGGGTTCCTTTAAGGGCTCCTTTCAAAGGGGTCTATAAGGAGTACTATAAGGGGGTACGAGAAGGGGTATTATGGGGCTTTATAATGAGGGCCTTCATAATTGGACTAGGGTTTTGGGGCCCTTGTACTACATTCATAATAAGGGACCCCCCAAAATAGAACGGATAACTATCTAGGCCCAAATTTAGATAGAGAGCACGACTGACTAGGCTTCACGATCATGTTCGAAGCTGCTTTTGCTTTTCAGCAGTTCGAAGCAAAGTTAACACTAGGACAGCGTCACAACGGGACCTCAGAATCCTAATGGCTAACTACTTACTACTGATCAAACCCTAAACCCAAGGCCCCAATGGCTAAACCCCAAACCCTTAACCCCAAATCCTACACACCAAACCCTGAACCCTAAACCCTAAACCCTAAGACCCTAAAACCCAAAACTACTACTTCCTACTCATTGAAGTCCTTTCAGACTTGACTTGAAAGGACCCATGGAGTCCTCAACAATCAGACGTGTGGTTTCCGGTTTAGGGTTTAGGGGTTTAGGTTTAGGGTTTCCGGTTTAGGGCTAAGGGTTTAGGGTTTCGGGTTTAGGGTTTAAGGTTTAGGGTTTATCCATCAAAGGGAACCCTAAGAAAGGTTTAAGGTTTAGGGTTTAGGTTCTGTAGAATTACGCATGACTAGTCAAGATTTTCTAAGCCTCTGGAACTGCTATAAAAAATCCCCGCCGAAACCCTGTAACAACACTCGACATGGCTGTGAGAGCCGCGTTAAACCCTCCTGCAACTTGAAGAACATAGCCCGAAAATCCTAGACTCAAAACCCCTAAACCCTAAACTCTGAACCCCAAACCTTGAACCGTAAACCCTAAACTCTGAACCCCAAACCTTGAACCGTAAACCCTAAACTCTGAACCCCTAAACCCTAAACCCTAAGCCCTAAGACCCCAAACCCTAAACCCTAAACCCTGAACCCTAAACCCCTAAACCCTACCAAACTCTGAACCCCTAAACCCTAAGCCCTAAGACCCCCCCAAGAGCCGATCTAAGAGACCTTGGGCCACGGTTTAGGGTTTAGGGTTTAGGGTTTAGGGTTTAGGGGTTTAGGGTTTAGGGTTTAGGGTTTAGGGTTTAGGGCTCCTTATTTTGAATCCATTTGGGGCTTGTAGGCCCAGCGTTTCTTAAAAAAGGCTCCTACATTAAACTCTGAACCCGAAGACCCGCAAAGGCCTGGGAGGCGGAGGTGGAGCACCCGCGCCGCCCATCTGCTGCTGATACATATACGCCTGCTGCTGCTGGAGCTGCCTGTAGGTTAGGGTTTAGGGGTTTAGGCTTGAGGGGTTTGAGGTTTAGGGTTTAGGGGTTAAGGGTTTAAGTTTTTAGAGAGTAGGGTTTAGGGTTAGGGGTGGAGGGGGGGGTCGAAGGATTTGGGGGTTCTGGGATTTAAGGTTTAATTAGGGGTAGGCTAGGGCTTTCTGATTTTGGGGGTTTCCGGTTTTAGGGTTCATTCAAGAACTCCCTCAAGTTACGGGTCTTATAGGGTTTAAAGTTTAGCATTTGAGGATTTAGGGGTTAGTGTCGCTGGCTTTTTTGTATATGTATATATATATATATATATACGCATATGTATATGCAGAATATACACATGTGCACATACATTCATACATACATACATACGTTTTGAGAGTTCAAGGCTTGGGTTTAGGGTTATGGAACGGCCATGAGACAGTCACCGAACCTGAACCCTAAAAAAGGGAATAAGGGCCTACTCTAGGTCCTAGATCATGGAACTTTTAACCGGGTGATGCTTGCACATATCAGGCAAAATGAGAAGTAGCATGAACATAAGCTGAACAGGTCCGTACAATCCACCACCCAGACAACAACATGGCCGGCGACACATGCGGAAGGACTAGCATTTTTTCGCGTCAAAGGCAGCTTTCACGGGAAGAGTGCTGACAAAAAAAGTTAAAACAACAAATGTGCATCTGTACATGTGTATATATATATATATGCATATGTTTACATTTATATAGTTAAACATACAAACAGACACTAGAAAGAATAAACATAGCTTTGTATATGTAGTTAAAGAAAGACCACTGACAGATAGAGCCAGATAGAAAGGTAGATGGTCTAGCACACAGGAATCCGCCGCCTCAACTCCTACAGTTATCCCATACCAGGGCTGGTTGAACATGTTGCCTTCAACCGTAGGAAACAGTAAGAAGACCTCCTAAGAGCGTGCAGCACCCTTTGACAAGGGAGTATTTTTGAGCAATTTGTCTGCATGCATGCATGCATGCAAATACGTACTTGTGTAAACATATACACAGAAATATGTAATCTCTTTACAAACATATATATGTATATATGTCAAGAAAAGTGTATATTCCCCTAAGAAGCCTTAGAAGAATTAAGGTATGTATATCCTTGACTTATGGGATTCGGGGCATGTCTGGCCACTTCAGCGAAGGTTGAACTCCGAAATCCAAATACTAAACTACACCCCCCCCTTAGAACCATAATCAAAATGCTAGTTTTAATATTCTCTTTGGTTTGGTATGAACAAAAAATTCCTAAGGAGACTATAGTAAAGCTCGGCGAAAGCTCACATCCTGAAGTTATGTAAGCCAGTGCCGTGTGCAATGCGCGAGTTTGGAAGCCGACTTACATAGCTGGGCACTTGCAGGCTCGGAGGGCATAGCAGGGGGAGGTTATACTTAGGATAAGCCTACTTAAGGGACTGACAACCTTGCCTTTAACTTTAACCATACTTACTCAGTCTCATGACCCCATCAGTAGCTCATAGCACAAGGTTATCCCCACGACACAGATCTGCATTGCGGCCGAGCTTCAATTGCTGCTGTTGCAACTGCTGCTGGTACTGCAGCTGCTGCTGGTACTGTTGCTGTTGCTGCATTTGCTGTTGTTGCTGCAGCTGCTGTTGCTGCAGCTGCTGCTGGTACTGCAGCTGCTGCTGGTACTGTTGCTGTTGCTGCATTTGCTGTTGCTGCATTTGCTGTTGCTGCATTTGCTGTTGCTGCTGTTGCTGCTGGTACATTTGCTGCTGTTGCATCTGCTGCTGCTGAAGCAGCTGCTGCTCTGACCTCAGCTCGAGAGCTTCTGCAATAGAACTGACTGCACACTGCAGGGGCCTAAATAACTACCTATGTTATTTTGTTCCTTTTAGAAGTCAGTATGGTATACTGCAATGGACCCCAAAGCCGTATTCTAACTATTGGGGCCTCTATATTACTGTACCTTCTGATGGGTGCTCAGATTCGCAAGACACATCTCGTGCTACAAAGCTGCCTACATAAGATGGATCAGCGGGCGTGACAACTTTTGGCAGTGCCATCATTGCTAGTTGTGTCTTAGACTTCGTCAGAAACAGTTTGCTGTACATCCTAAACCCTAAATCTTGAGAACGTCAAACCCTCAACCTGTCTGATGTTTCTTGTTACGACGAATGTGGTGGAAATGGTGAACAGTGTGGACAGCTGCAAGGGGGTAGAATGTATGTTTTATTTCGGTATATTCTGCATGGGTTTACAGTAAATTTCTCAGCGAGGTTAAGGATTTTGAAGGAATCTGAACGGGTTTTCAGGATATTCCGCACGCTGTAGTTGGGGCCGCAGAGTACATATATATATATATATATATATATATACAATATATATATATATATATATATACACAACGGGAGGGTGCCACGGCGGGATGAACATGAAAGCCCTAAATGCTCAGCCCCAGACCCCAAACCCTACACCCTAAATCCCAAACCCCTAGCCCCTAACTAGGGTTTAGGGTTTAGGGTTTAGGGTTTAGGGTTTAGGGTTTAGGGTTTAGGGTTTAGGGGCTCATGCTAGGGCGGGGCATGCCAGGCTGACAACGCACAGTGGCGAGGGTTTAGGGTTTGCGGTTTGGAGGTAAGGGTTATACGTTATTGTTTCTTGGCGTTTAGGGTTTGTGCCTGAGCACTTCAGGTTTAAGCTCAGGCTTTAATGTTCGAGGGCTTAGAGTTGAGGCTTTAGGGAATATATTATAGGATCCTTAAGGGGGGGTGGTTCAAGGGGGGAGGGTACTAGGGAGCTTTGGGGAACCTTAGGGAAGCTTAGGGAGTATTGGGGAATAATGGGGATTACTAGGTTACCTACCCCCCTTGGACCACCCCCCCTTAAGGACATCCTAAATATAGCAGCCGAAACCTGAAGCCAAGTAGAGTCCCACGAAGCCAAATCCTACACCAGCATGGTCAGCACCCCTAAACTCCAGGCACCACCGTAACAACAAACAACAGACCGAGATGCATCTGCGCGCTTCCATCAGCACCACCTCCGAAATGGCTTCGGGTGGGACTGGTCTGGCACATTCCAACATGTATGTACCGATGTGTGTATGTGTGCATGTATGTGTATATGTATGGGAGAGCTACATGCGTGCAGATGAATACAAACTCATACATACATACGTACATACATTACTTACCGTAATACATACCGTACATACATACATACATACATGCATGCACACATATGCGGGTGTTTGGCGACTTTGATCGCTTAGGCCTTGAAACTTCGACATAGGGTCGTTGGAGGACTGAGGGCCTATGGCCACAGGCTTGTGGAGCCCTTCGGCTTTTTGTGTCTGGGTTCGACATGGTTAAGGGTTTAGGGCCTTCTTCCTGCATGCCGGTTTAGGGTGTAGGGGTTTACGGACTAGGGGTTTAGGGATTAAGGGGATTTAGGGGTTAGGAGCTAATGGTTTCGGGATTAGGGTTTCTATTCGATAACCCCAGAAAGCCTATCTTTTGTCCTTGTATCCAAGACGTAAATGTGGGGTTCAGGTACGTAAGCCATAACCTAAACCCTAAACCGGGTTATTTGGGTTCAGGTACGTAAGCCATAACCCTACTTAGTTGCCTAGTTCATAAGCCCAAAAAAGTTTAAAGTTTTAGTTTCAAGAGGGTGTCACTATCCCAAACACGTGTATAAACTCAACTACTCAGCCTAAATCCCAGACCCGAAACCCTATATCGAAAGTTTAGGATTAGAAGCTCAGAGTTTGAAGTTTAGAGTTTGGGATTTAGGGCTTACCCAGAGGGTTCAAGTACTCAAATAAGAGGGCATTGGTTTAGGTCCCAAAACGCTTTCAGAGTATGGATTTTGGGGTCTACAACCCTACTATTTGGGCACTTGGAGCCTCTGGGTTAGAGTTTGGAGCTATGCCTCTGGGTTAGAGTTCAGGAGCTAGGGTTTAGAAGGAGAAGTTTAGAGCTTAGGGCTCAAATTCAATGAACCAAAAAACATCTACTGCCAAACTCTGACACCCACAGCAAAAAAACCTTCTCAAAGAACGCAGACAAACGCCCCATGCCTACAGCCTGAATGCCCTAGGCCTATATAGACTCACAGCTGTCGTTCACAAAGCCAACTAAAATTGAAAAGATCTTCAAACTTGTGCCTAACCCTAACCAAACCCAAACACCAGAAAAGTCCTTTCAACTTCAAATCGTAAACCCTTTTTTCAAAGGACCACGCAACTAGCCTCGACTATAACTGAAAGACCTACTTTTCACAGACATTTAGAGACCACAAGTGCTCTATTGAAGTGTAAATGGATGCCTGGATCACCGGCTAGCCCGAAACCAAACACAATGCCCTAAACTCTTCTTATAGGGGCTTTAATTATTAGAATAGGGTTTGGGCGGGTTTGGGGGTATACTCTATTATAGCTATACATTAAGGAACCCCCACAGTAATATTCGTAATTATCTAGGCCCCTGTAATAAAATCTTAGTCCTAAGCTCTGAGCTCTGAACCCTTCACCTTGCATCCGACAAGCATCGGATCCCAGAGACTCCAATAGTCCTTACTTCAGTCCTTAAACTATAGTACGGTTGATGATATAAATCCTGCCTTACCCAGAATAAAAAAATGTACCATAATTTCCATGGTTTAGGGTCCTTGAAGTAATGCAGGATTTATGTCATCAACCGCAGGATCCCTAATAGGATTTAAGGGATATTCCCTAATTCAGGGGTATCAGAATCCCCTAAACCCTAAGCCCTTAAAGGATCCCTTTTAAGGATCCCTTAAAGGAGCCCTAGGCCCCCTAGGTATTCCGTAGTTAAGGGGTTTGGGTTCGCAGCCTTGGGCGTGGGCTTCGCCGGCTTGCTGGCCGGCGCCCTGTGGGTCGAAGGAGGTCGAGGGGCCTAGGGTTTAGGGTTTAGGGTTTAGGGTTCTAAACCCTCCCCAGACCCCCGAAAGGATCTAGAAAGTAGATCCCCTAAGTTGGGGCCCTATACTACTAAGGGTACTTTATAGGAACCCCCATTAAGGGATCTACTTTCTGGATCCTCCCGCTGGTCTGGGTCTAAACCACAAACGCACCAACAAAAACCCTTGAACCCCGAACCCCTGAACCCTATGTATACCCTAAATCTCACATAAAACTAAAAGAAGTCCGCTACAGTAGAAGCCAAAAAGTTGGAAACCCCAGAGCCTCCATCCTTAAGAGTAATGTATAGGCAATCCTAGCACAATTTGGCCTTAATCCAGTTTCTAACTTTATGGGTTTTGGGTCTAGAGTTTAGGGCTTAAGGGTTTAAGGCAGATCTGGACCCTAAGGAACCTTCATTTTTAGGGCTCTTTATTGCGACTTCCTTATATGAGTCCTCAAAGGGGTAGGTTATTCGAGGTTAAGGTGAAGAAAGTGCTTCGAGGATAGGAATTGAAGGTTGTAGTTTTTATGGTTCCAAAAGTTTAGGATTGGGGGTCTAAACGCCTTTAGAGTTTGGGGTTTAGGAGTCTCAGGGTTGTACGGGTTCTCTCGGGGTCTATATTGTTGTTTTAGTGTTCCTCAAAGGGTGCCTTCTGGCTTAAGGACGCCTTCTGGCTAAAGGACTTTAGACTTCTGGGGTTGGTGATTTATCGGGATTAGAAGTGTAAGGTGTTGGGGTCTGTAGCTTTTAAGGTGGTTTGAAGGTTTGACACGGCTTGTTGAGGGTTGTGCTTAAAGGCTCAAGTGACTTGGTAAGTAAGGTTATAAGTAGGCTATGTATAATTAGGAGAATCGCACTTTGGGACTTGTAACCCCAATGATAGCCTCCTTGCTAAGCCCCATGATCCTCTAAGTAATGGGAGGTTTGACAGGCTTAGAGACGAGCTATAACAGCTATAACCCTAAACCCTACACCCTAAACCCTAAATCCTAAACCCCTAAACCCTAAACCCCTAAAACCCTAAACCCCTAAACGCCTAAACCCCTAAACGCCTAAACCCGAAACCCCTCAACCCTAAACCCTACACCCTACTATAAGGGTCGTGGGGCTCGCACTTCAGGGCCGAGGATACAGGCTAGGATACCCAGTAACCAAGAATAGAAAGGCCTCTTTTTTTGGTATTGGGTAACTTTATAAGGAACCTAGGACTACAAAAAGGGAATAAGGGTACTACTGGGCATCCTAGCAGGGGGATCAGGCTCTAAGGATAGAGCCCGAACGGCTTACTTAGAGGCTCATGGGACTTAGTAAGTGGGGTTTAGGGTTCCTTTCAAGGGTACTTTAGGGTTCTATAGTAGGCTTCCCTTTTAAGGGTTTAGGGCTTTAGGGTATATTAGAGGATCATGAAACTTAGTAGGGTTCGTTAAAGGGCTCCTGTAAGGGATCCTCATTTTTTGAGCTTGGTACATTTAAGGGGTCCTTTAGGGGTTGGGGTATGGGGTTTAGGGATCTATAAGGGTTCTATAAGGGGGAGTTTAGGTTTCTGAGAGGATAATGGGACTTAGTAAGTAGGTTATAATTGGGGGTGTAAGTTTATAGCCTACTTATAACCTTAAACTTCCTAAGTTCGATGAGCCTTTAAGTAGGCAGGGTATAGAGCAGATGAGGGTCTGGACCCTAAACCCAAAACCCTGAAGTCCACGCCCTAAACCCTAGACTTTAGGAACTATAATAGGGCTACTATGAAAGTCCTAATATATCTATATTATGAGTATTATTCAACTATTACTGAGTCGGGGCCGTACCCAAACTAGACTCCAAACCCTAAGCGCAAAGCAGCCCACCCTTGAGTGGGCCGCCTTCCTTAAGGACCCAATGACGCTTAAAAGTAGGGGCCCTATACAAGTACACTACTAAACCCTATAAGGTCTATGAACCCTGAACCCTTTTTAGGGTTCTTTTCGTCCTTAAGGCTTAAGCCCCTCAACCTTGAAAGTGCACATCGGTCTCTTGCATAATGTTCTGATCGCGCGGAAGATCTGTAAACCCGAAACCCCTAAACCCTCAACCCCTAAACCCTAAACCCCTAGAACCCTAAACCCCCAAACCCTATACCCCCAAACCCGAAACCCCTCAACCCCTAAACCCTAAACCCTACACCCTACTATAAGGGTCGTGGGGCTCTGCACTTCAGGGCCGAGGATACAGGCTAGGATACCCAGTAACCAAGAATAAAAAGGCCTCTCTTTTTGGTATTGGGTAACTTTATAAGGAACCTAGGACTACAAAAAGGGAATAAGGGTACTACTGGGCATCCTAGCAGGGGGATCAGGCTCTAAGGATAGAGCCCGAACGGCTTACTTAGAGGCTCATGGGACTTAGTAAGTGGGGTTTAGGGTTCCTTTCAAGGGTACTTTAGGGTTCTATAATAGGCTTCCCTTTTAAGAGTTTAGGGCTTTAGGGTATATTAGATGATCATGAAACTTAGTAGGGTTTCCTTAAAGGGCTCCTGTAAGGGATCCTCTTTTTTTGAGCTTGGTACATTTAAGGGGTCCTTTAGGGGTTGGGGTATGGGGTTTAGGGATCTATAAGGGTTCTATAAGGGGGAGTTTAGGTTTCTGAGAGGATAATGGGACTTAGTAAGTAGGTTATAATTGGGGGTGTAAGTTTATAGCCTACTTATAACCTTAAACTTCCTAAGTTCGATGAGCCTTTAAGTAGGCAGGGTATAGAGCAGATGAGGGTCTGGACCCTAAACCCAAAACCCTGAAGTCCACGCCCTAAACCCTAGACTTTAGGAACTATAATAGGGCTACTATGAAAGTCCTAATATATCTATATTATGAGTATTATTCAACTATTACTGAGTCGGGGCCGTACCCAAACTAGACTCCAAACCCTAAGCGCAAAGCAGCCCACCCTTGAGTGGGCCGCCTTCCTTAAGGACCCAATGACGCTTAAAAGTAGGGGCCCTATACAAGTACACTACTAAACCCTATAAGGTCTATGAACCCTGAACCCTTTTTAGGGTTCTTTTCGTCCTTAAGGCTTAAGCCCCTCAACCTTGAAAGTGCAAATCGGTCTCTTGCATAATGTTCTGATCGCGCGGAAGACCTGTAAACCCGAAACCCCTAAACCCTCAACCCCTAAACCCTAAACCCCTAAAACCCTAAACCCCTAAACCCTATACCCCTAAACCCGAAACCCCTCAACCCCTAAACCCTAAACCCTACACCCTACTATAAGGGTCGTGGGGCTCTGCACTTCAGGGCCGAGGATACAGGCTAGGATACCCAGTAACCAAGAATAAAAAGGCCTCTCTTTTTGGTATTGGGTAACTTTATAAGGAACCTAGGACTACAAAAAGGGAATAAGGGTACTACTGGGCATCCTAGCAGGGGGTTCAGGCTCTAAGGATAGAGCCCGAACGGCTTACTTAGAGGCTCATGGGACTTAGTAAGTGGGGTTTAGGGTTCCTTTCAAGGGTACTTTAGGGTTCTATAGTAGGCTTCCCTTTTAAGGGTTTAGGGCTTTAGGGTATATTAGAGGATCATGAAACTTAGTAGGGTTCCTTAAAGGGCTCCTGTAAGGGATCCTCTTTTTTTGAGCTTGGTACATTTAAGGGGTCCTCTAGGGGTTGGGGTATGGGGTTTAGGGATCTATAAGGGTTCTATAAGGGGGAGTTTAGGTTTCTGAGAGGATAATGGGACTTAGTAAGTAGGTTATAATTGGGGGTGTAAGTTTATAGCCTACTTGTAACCTTAAACTTCCTAAGTTCGATGAGCCTTTAAGTAGGCAGGGTATAGAGCAGATGAGGGTCTGGACCCTAAACCCAAAACCCTGAAGTCCACGCCCTAAACCCTAGACTTTAGGAACTATAATAGGGCTACTATGAAAGTCCTAATATATCTATATTATGAGTATTATTCAACTATTACTGAGTCGGGGCCGTACCCAAACTAGACTCCAAACCCTAAGCGCAAAGCAGCCCACCCTTGAGTGGGCCGCCTTCCTTAAGGACCCAATGACGCTTAAAAGTAGGGGCCCTATACAAGTACACTACTAAACCCTATAAGGTCTATGAACCCTAAACCCTTTTAGGGTTCTTTTCGTCCTTAAGGCTTAAGCACCTCAACCTTGAAAGTGCACATCGGTCTCTTGCATAATGTTCTGATCGCGCGGAAGATCTGTAAACCCGAAACCCCTAAACCCTCAACCCCTAAACCCTAAACCCCTAGAGCCCTAAACCCCCAAACCCTATACCCCCAAACCCGAAACCCCTCAACCCCTAAACCCTAAACCCTACACCCTACTATAAGGGTCGTGGGGCTCTGCACTTCAGGGCCGAGGATACAGGCTAGGATACCCAGTAACCAAGAATAGAAAGGCCTCTCTTTTTGGTATTGGGTAACTTTATAAGGAACCTAGGACTACAAAAAGGGAATAAGGGTACTACTGGGCATCCTAGCAGGGGGATCAGGCTCTAAGGATAGAGCCCGAACGGCTTACTTAGAGGCTCATGGGACTTAGTAAGTGGGGTTTAGGGTTCCTTTCAAGGGTACTTTAGGGTTCTATAATAGGCTTCCCTTTTAAGCGTTTGGGGCTTTAGGGTATATTAGATGACCATGAAACTTAGTAGGGTTCCTTAAAGGGCTCCTGTAAGGGATCCTCTTTTTTTGAGCTTGGTACATTTAAGGGGTCCTTTAGGGGTTGGGGTATGGGGCTTAGGGATCTATAAGGGTTCTATAAGGGGGAGTTTAGGTTTCTGAGAGGATAATGGGACTTAGTAAGTAGGTTATAATTGGGGGTGTAAGTTTATAGCCTACTTATAACCTTAAACTTCCTAAGTTCGATGAGCCTTTAAGTAGGCAGGGTATAGAGCAGATGAGGGTCTGGACCCTAAACCCAAAACCCTGAAGTCCACGCCCTAAACCCTAGACTTTAGGAACTATAATAGGGCTACTATGAAAGTCCTAATATATCTATATTATGAGTATTATTCAACTATTACTGAGTCGGGGCCGTACCCAAACTGGACTCCAAACCCTAAGCGCAAAGCAGCCCACCCTTGAGTGGGCCGCCTTCCTTAAGGACCCAATGACGCTTAAAAGTAGGGGCCCTATACAAGTACACTACTAAACCCTATAAGGTCTATGAACCCTAAACCCTTTTAGGGTTCTTTTCGTCCTTAAGGCTTAAGCACCTCAACCTTGAAAGTGCACATCGGTCTCTTGCATAATGTTCTGATCGCGCGGAAGATCTGTAAACCCGAAACCCCTAAACCCTCAACCCCTAAACCCTCAACCCCTAAACCCTAAACCCCTAAAACCCTAAACCCCTAAACCCTATACCCCTAAACCCGAACCCCTAAACCCTAAACCCTACACCCTACTATAAGGGTCGTGGGGCTCTGCACTTCAGGGCCGAGGATACAGGCTAGGATACCCAGTAACCAAGAATAGAAAGGCCTCTCTTTTTGGTATTGGGTAACTTTATAAGGAACCTAGGACTACAAAAAGGGAATAAGGGTACTACTGGGCATCCTAGCAGGGGGTTCAGGCTCTAAGGATAGAGCCCGAACGGCTTACTTAGAGGCTCATGGGACCTAGTAAGTGGGGTTTAGGGTTCCTTTTAAGGGTACTTTAGGGTTCTATAGTAGGCTTCCCTTTTAAGGGTTTAGGGTTTTAGGGTATATTAGAGGATCATGAAACTTAGTAGGGTTCCTTAAAGGGCTCCTGTAAGGGATCCTCTTTTTTTGAGCTTGGTACATGTAAGGGTTCCTTTAGGGTTTAGGGTTTAGGGATCTATAAGGGGTCTATATGGGGGAGTTTAGGTTACTGAGAGGATCATAGGACTTAGTAAGTAGGTTTTACTTGGAGTTATAAGTCCCCTAAATGGGGTTATCCTACTGATACCTTTTTAGGGTTCTTTTCGTCCTGAAGGCTTATAAGGTTTAAGCCCCTCAACCCTGAAAGTGCAAATCGGCCTCTTGCATACCACGATGGGCTATTAGACCCTAAAGATCCCTATTAGGACCCTATTAAGGGTAGATTAAGGTACCCATAAGGTCTAATAGCCCATAGTGGTAATGCTCTGATCGCACGCAATCTGTAAACCCGAAACCCAAGGGTTTCGTGAGGTGCCCCTAAATCTATGCGCATACACCCCGGCCCTAAACCCGAAAGACCCCTAAACCCTAAAGGCCGTAAACTTCTAAACCCCAAACCCTGAGCCCCCAAAAAATTCCAGATCAAAGACGGCCTGCGCCTGGCCCATGGAGGTGTCGCAGTTGCCGCCCTGCTGGTTGTACCTGGATTGGGCTTCTTTAGCATCCGGGAGTTTCGGGTTTTTGGATTCAGGGTTGTAGGATTTAAGACGTTGGGGGTTTTGGGGGCTTTAAGGATTTGGGAATGGGGGGTTGGTGGTAGTTGGTCGGGTTCGGGGGTTGTATGCCGGGATGCACCTGAGGACTTCACTACATTCGGGGTTGTTGAAGCTCCTCAATACTTAAGCACCCTTAGAGCCGTAGAAAAAGCAACGTTTTGCAAAACTCTCTTGAGTTTAAATCGAAACCCTAAACCCTCAACCCCTCCACCCTAAACCCCTAAACCCTATTTTATAATTATGTAGAACGAAAAACCAGAAGAACACCAACGCGACATTATATAAGGACTAAAGATCCGCTCCTCCGGGGGATCCAAAAGCGAGGCTAGCTTAGTGTTTCAGGGTCTAAGTTTGGTTTTTTTCAAAGGGCCTCTATTCCGCGAGGGTCTAGGGTTTAGGGTTTCCTGGATTGCGAGCTACCCACCTGATTTGCAGGGCTTGGTTCTTCTGTTGGAGCTTGCGGATTTGTTGAACTGGGGCGGCTTAGGCTTAACCCTCAAAATCACACGTGGTTTGGGATTCAAGTTTGGTTTTTGTCCAAGGTCCTCTGCCTTTCTCTCCTCAGAGTCTACAGCACCCAACATGGCAAAAACAAAACACATGCTGAAACTCCTCAAGCCTAAGCCCCAAAACCAGAAAACACAGGAATATCACACCGAAAAGCTCTCTAACTGGAGAAAGGAACAGCAAAGTTATAGTCTGCATAGGGCCACAATAGCTAGAATGATTAGACAACGGTTTCAATAATAGTTTTGAAGAAGAAGATGATGATTGTTAAACATAGTTCCGATCCCTGCATTTTGTATCAACCCGAAAAATTAATCGTAAACAAGAAGGTCTACCACACCTTTACACACGAAGCGGTGGTCCAAGCTGCATATTGTTTCCACCACAGCCGCCTTTCAATGCTTTGGAGCTCTCGGGCTCTAGGGGAACCCTAAACCCTAAGTCCTGGAGTTCATATGTGCGGGGGCAGCCTTTAGACATATGGGAAGTTCCCTGTCAACTTGGCAGAAGTGTTAGAATAGGGATCCCAAAGGGACCCTAAGCAGGAAAACCCCGCATGTTTTTATCTTGGCATCAAATGCATGCTGAACTCCCGTGAGCGCTTCGCCGCTTCGAGCTGTTCACTAAGTTCCAAATCCTCTAAACTAAACCACACTCCTAGACCTGAACCGAAACCCTGAACCTCAAAACCTTAAACCGTACAGCCCTAAAAACCCTGTAATGGCTAAACCCGACAAACCTTAGCTAGTACCTGAACGGAACCCGAACAGTAACGCTTAGTACCCTCTAAACCCTAAACCCTAAACCCTAAACCCTAAACCCCTAAACCCTAAACCCTAAACCCTAAACCCTAAACCCTAGCTGGCATCAGTAAAAGGATCCGATAAGGAATTCTCAGACTCCAAAGCCCTGAATTCCTGAACTTCCTACACAGTCTAAACCTTAAACCCTAAAGGCTGAACCCTCAAACCCTAAACACCGAACCTTTAAACCCCTAAACCCTCAACCCCTGTATCCTGAACACCGAAAAGTTGAATTATTTGAAATATTTGTTTTTATATTTATTGAAAATTTAGATAAAGGAACCCCCCGGACCCTGAACCTTGAAATCCCGAAGCCCTTCTAGAACCCTTGTAAACCTTGGTTGCTGAGTTCATAACCCCCTAAAAGTGTACACTTCTAGTTGTATAGTGGGTGATACTATCCCAAAACGTGTAAAGTGTATCCACTCAGTTACTAAGAAACAGTTTAGGGTCTAGGGTTTACGGTTTTAGGTGCCTTTATAGGAAGGAACCTGTTAGACAAACCCTTTAACTGAAACCTTAAACCTCTTCCAAGACCCCCCAACTACCCATTCTTCGGGCCCGATAGTTACCTCTTAACGGGAAATTCTCAGAGCGGTTTAAAGGATACTTAGGGGGTCCCCCAACTTCCCATTCTTCTAGCACTCTAGTTACCTCTTAAGGGGAACCCCTCAGAGCGGTTTAAAGGATACTTGGGGGGTCCCGGTAAGCCCCGAAGCCCTCGAGCGCAGGCAGCGAAGGTCCTGGCCTCCCATGTTGTTGCAGCCACAGCCCTCCATGTAGTTGCCTGAGGCTAAGGGCTTAAGGTTTAGGGCTTAGGGCGGGGCTTTTAGGGTTTAGGGCTTAGGGTTTAGGGATGTTTTCGGATGAACTCTCTTTGGGTGCAGGATTTAGGTTTGTTTCAGGATGACCTAGTACAATCTGACCTAAGAAAAAGTCGTTTCCAGCCGCGTTGCCGCACATGTTGTTGCCCCAGCCGCAAGCATTTTGGCCACATCCGTCCATACATCCGCCTCGAGATTGGAGTCATCAGAGCCCTTGCAGTCCTCAAAACCCCTGATGCTAAAGTTGCCCTAGCCCAAAAACACTAAAACCCTAAACACCGAAAACCTAAACCTTCTGAAAAAACTGATGTCTCCAATCCTTAGGGGCATCCGAGCAGGATGGCGACATGTATACCCAGAGGTCCTACGTACCGATGCGGGGGATACTTACCCCAACCACAATAGAAGTTCCTATTGCAGAAACCCTAAGCAATTAAACCCCACTGTCTACGATGTAAACATGTAAGACCCTGTGTGATACCCGATACCGAAGGAGTCCGAAAAGTACGTCACGAAGAACTACTTCCACGCTCATGGGACCTAGTAAGTCAGGTTACAAGTAGATTATTATTAGGATAACTCCACTTGGGGGACTTGTAATCCCAACTAGAGCCTACTTACTAAGTCCCATGACCCTCTAAGAAACCTAGACTCCCCCTTATAGAACCCTTAAAGGAACCTTTCAAAGAACCCTAGTTTCTAAGTCCTATGATCCTGTAAATGTTCCCCAAAGCCTCGAGAAGATCCTTCTGAAAGGTACTTCATAGGAACCATCTACTGTTTAGGGGTCTGGGTTTAGGGTTTACCTGCGACGCCAAACCCTCAAAATAGTAGGTTATGACGCCTTACTTAGAGGGTATAACCCTTAAAACGGTAGGTTTTTGGATCCACAGATAGGGTTTAGAGCTCGAGACGTCCGGAGTGTCCCCTAGCCCTAAACCCTTGTCCAGATCCTTCCGAAGACAAGGTGAAAACTCTTGCTGCTACCGGGTGACCGCAGCAGCCACCCATGTTGCCGCAACAGCCTCTCTTCTTCAAGAATCAGGCCCAAAACAGGTCTAACTTCCTAAAATAAACCGCATATACAAGGCCAAAAAATCTGAAACTCTCCCACTGACCAGCTAAGCAGCCGCCCATGTTGTTGTATCCGCAGCCACAGTTGTTGCCACAGCAACCACCCATGTTGCCGCAGCAGCCGCCCATGTTGCCATAGCCTGGAACAGTGTGGGCACATGGTGATTGCTTGTGGAAGCGAGTTGCTGAAGGGCACGAGTGGGTGTTCTAATGGACGATGTGAAATAAGAGCTGGCTACACGTCTTGGACAGGAGTGGAATGAAAAGTGAACGACCTTCCATGTCAAACCTATGAAAACGTTTTTGCACTGCAAAGTTTCTGGCCAGGTTTATGCCCTGAGCCAGATCTGCAAATCCTGAACCCCAAACCGTAAACCCCCAATCCCGGGACCTTGACGATTAGACTAGGGTTTGGGGAAGAAAGTAAGGAAGCCAGAGAAATAACGTCTGTTATCCCCAAACCCTACACCTCCTAAACCCTACACTGCCCCACACCCTGAGAGCCCCAAACCCTAAACCCCTACACGCTTTCAACACTTCCTATAGGCCCTAAAATAATCTGCTGGGCAACATTGCCCGCCGTAGCCCTGGTTGCCGTACATCTGCATGTTCTGCATCCCATAGCCATAGCCCTGTCCTCAGCTTCGACAAGCTTTTGGGGAGGGATCAGGATTTAGGGTTTGAGGCCTAGGGGCTCAGGGTTCAGGGTTTGCTACTATTTGCTTAAGAACCCCCAAAAAATAAAAAATATCTTCCTTATAGGGATAATATAGGGATTATTATTTTTTTTTATTTTTTGGGGGTTCTTAAGCAAATAGTAGTTTGGGGATCGAGGTTCGGGGTCTAGGGTTTAAGGTTTTGAAGGCCTCAGGCTTTTAGGGTTTAGGCTAGGGTTTGAGGTTTTAGGCTTTTAGGGTTCAGCTTTCATCAACTATTGGGGTCCCATTTATTTCGGCAAACTTCTAAGTTGCGGGAGAACGAGGCTTGACTTGGTGGATCAACACTTTCACTCACATCGTCAGCGGGGGATCCGGGTTTAGAGATTAGGGCATGAGGTTCAGGGTTTAATTAGGGTTCAAGGGGTGTTCTTAGCCAACCCCTCAGCTTCCATAAGCTTTCGGTGGGTTGAGGGATTAGGAGTTACTTTGAACTGCCTTCATAATAGTAGCGTAATTGCCCACTGTCATAAATGTTGACATGGTTTATTTTTACAGTGCATACTCAAGGGGAATTGGGGGCTGCAAGTTCGCCAAATCTACCTCTGAAAAGAAGAGAAAAGACTTGGCTGGCTTCTGAACCCCTCCTGCAAGTTAAACTTTTAGCCTCCCTATTACGGTTCATATAGAAACCCAAAAAGTCCAAACAGCCAACCAGAAGAACTGCAAGAAAAGGAATCAACACTGACTAGTTGTCGGAGATCCATTTTGTAGCGGGGCCGAGCACAAATAACCAGAGCACGCAAACATCCTAGAGTCTGAAAACTCTGACACCCTAAAATTAACTGAACCCCCCAGTGGAACCCTTGAAAAACAAGACTTTCATTCAGCCGCAAACCTTGATATAGGGGCCTTAATAAATAGAATAGGGTTTTGGTCGCTATAATATACCATACTCGCAATTAGGACGGCCCCCCCCCCCCCCCGTATTAGTAATGATTAGGCCCCCAAAATAAAGCCTTGCAACCGCCCTTGCAGTAGCCCTTTTTGACCCCTTCACAGGAACCCTAGTCAAATCTAGGTGCCTGTAGTATACCCCAAAGCCCTTGTCTTAACACCCTAAACCCTAAAACACCCATAAGCTCCGGTCCATAGCCATCTTGGGGGATGTTGATCTGCAAGTTGGCAGTCATGTCGCCCGAGTTGAGCTTCCGGTGCCTGCGGCTTAGGGGGCTCAGGGTGTACTTAAGGGATCATGGGACTTAGTAAGTAGGTTATAAGTGGGGTTATAAGTCCCCTAAGTGGGGTTAGCCTAATTATAACCTACTTATAACCCTACTTACTAAGTCCCATGATCCTTTAAGTAGGCTTTAGGGCCTCAGGGTTTGGGCTTTAGGATGTCGGCGCCGGTGTTGACAAAGATGACAATCGAGCGGAGTTTGTTGAAGTTCATTTGTTTTTCACAGTCTCTCGTGGGGGTTCAGGGCTTGGGGGGCCGAGTCCTGCAATGGATGGCGAGAATCACAGCGAGAGTAATGAAAGCTCAGGACCCCACTGCCCCAGTAGGGACGATCATTGGGGCTTTAAACAAGGGGAGGCTTTAGCTACCAGTGGTCGGCATAGTTTCACAAACTAAGAGCGAATAAGTCGATACTCTGAATCCTTACAAAAACCCAAATCCTGAGGCACCAAACCTTAAACCTGCAGGAGTCATCCAAGTCCATCAACTTGTGCTGAGCTTTCGGCGAAAGTGAACCCCTCGCTTCATGGAGCTTACAACGGGGATCCTAACATTAAGACACTCACAGGGACTATGGTGGGAGTCCGCACATCAAGGCCCTCAAATCATTACATGCTCGTATTAGCCTGGCTTATAATCGTAGCAATGATCAGAATGGCCACAGCGCCACCTGATCCTCCTGGCGTCCTCTGTCAAGGCCACAAAGACTTCGTTCGTGTCGATCCTTGCCGTGTCTGAGGTTCTAAGGGGTCGAGCTTTCTTCAGGATTTACCTTTTGTTTTGCAGTTCAGTTCATTGCAAGATTCCACAAGGATTTGTCAGGGTGTACCACATGTTGCTACACTGGGGATCACTCGTTCGTGCTGCGGGTTCTGGGGTAGGAGTGAGCACAGCTCGAACACCAAAAGCCCCAACTCTATGACTCCTAAATCCTTAAAATCGATTTGCACTGAACCCTCTCGACAACGGCACAGCCCAAACACGAATCCCCGAAGTGGGGTTGCCAAGGCAAGGCTATCATCGGGGTTGACGTACGAGTATGCCCACGGTAAGCAACCAGATACCCCCCAAACTGAAAAGCCAGACATCCTCAAACCCAACACCCGCAACCCAAAACACCCACCCTCTATAGTACCCTGATCGGGCTCTTATATAACCACGTCGAAGGAACCCTTTTTGGACCCTTATCCTAAACCCTAAACCACCAAACCATACCAAACCTTGACACCCGACAACCCCGACCCTCCAGATAGCGCGCGTAGCTGGTGGAGTCTATATGTTTCGCTTTAGAATCTAAAATCCCCTTGTTTAGGGGTGCCTCCTTATCACCCAGCTCCCTAAGCCCTAAACTACCCTACTTACTAAGTCCCCTGCGCCTCTGGGTACTGTAGGGGCCAAAATAATTACCAATATTATCATAATGACAGGATACTGGGCCCCAGAACCTTTTTCTACTTATTAAGGCCCCTATACCGTACAACCCGACTATAGATCACTTATATACCCCTATAAGGAACACTTTAAAGGAACCCTATTCTAATTATTAAGGCCCCTCTATGCCCCGGAAGCTGAGGCAGGCACTCTGTCGAAATCTGAGTCTCGACAACGCGGCCGTGCAGGATCTGGGAGGATCACGTGTGGGGTAAGCGGGTAATTTAAGGGCGTTTTTTGAACTCCTAAAGGTTTTTTTGTTGAGCTCCTTAAGGGTTTTTTTGTTGAGCGCCTTAAGATTATTTTTTTGAGCTTTTTCTTTGAGCTCCTTTTTCCGCCTAAGGTGCAAGCCGTCGACGAAAGACCACATGGGTCAGGAGATTCTTAGGGTTTAGGATCTGGGAGGAGCACGACGCAATACGGGGTCGAACAGGTAAAATGATATTGGAAAATGAGACAAATAGTACTAGTACCCCTTTCACTCCCTCTATAGCTACAAAGTCGCTCAGGTTCGGGTTGTGAAGACCCTCCGTCGGGTAGTTTCAGTAGGGTTCAGGGGCTTGGGGGTTTAGGATTTGATGGGAGGCCGGCAGGAGGGTTTAAGATCCTTTGGGGTAGGGATTCCTGAATATGAACCCTATTGTGGGAACCCTAGTCCCTACTAAACCCGCATAGGCCCTAGGCTAAAACGCCTTTTGGCCTCCTATGAGGATTTAAGGGACGATGACGCGCTCGCCGAATACGTGGCAGCGGCCCCCAGCTCTGGGATCGCTTTATGCACCCTTGTTTCCGCACAAGAGCATATGCAAGGTTACCGTTGACGAAGATATGGCATGAACTCGTGGAAATACGGTCTGCTGCACCGGCCCAATCAGAATCTGTCAGAACTTCAATCAACATGGGCTCATTTGCATTTGCAGTTTGTTGCTGGGCAACCTCTGCAGCAGACAACTGCCTCTCATCAGGCATCGAGCGGCCTGGAAAGGTCCATCTCAAAGTGAGCTCGTAATGTCTCGCGTGCTACAGGTTTTCACCCAACATGTACAATTGACTCCACGCCTTCTTTGTTGATCTTGCCATACATCGGGCCACGGACCCTCTGGCAAATTGAGCGTCTGGGCGCTCCGGAGAGATGTACAGAAGTGAGCCAATGGCTGCTTCCCTCGCCTGTTTGATAACAATCGGCGAACTTCTGTCTCTGCAGCTGATGGATTTACAGCTGACGCCGGCAAAGAGCAATGAGCCTTGAGCTGTACGGTTTTTGCTTAAGGGCTCCCGCAAAACCCCTACAAAACCCTGCAGAACGTTACTTAAACAAAACTCCACACCCTTATCGAAAACCTGCGAAACCCCACGTGGCATAAAGCAATCGCCTGATTCGATCCCATTGAATCAAACTCCCTTAAGCCCTAAACCCCCTCAACCTTAACCAAAACCCCCTAAGCTCTGCAAAACCCTTGGCCTACACCCCCAAAACCCTAAACCCCAAACTATCATCAAAAGAAACATGAAGCCCCTCTGCCCCTCAGAAACCTTCTGGAAGCTACCGGCCATGGAAAGCTTGTAGATCCCTCAGAAAACTCCTCAAACCCTAAATCTATAAACCGCCCAAACCCTGTAAAAACCTCTATGGAACCCACATAGAGCCCTTACAGCATGCACCCCTAAACCCTAAACCCTAAACACTCGTTTATTGCCAGGTCCCTTGCGAGGGTGTCGTCGATCAAGGCAACCAGCTCTTCCATGGTGTTGACCTGTAAGGGTACTTTAAGGGAGGTTTAGGGGTTTAGGGTCTAGGGGTTTTGGGTTTAGGGTATTTTTCAAGGTTCCTGAAGGTTTAGGGTTTAGGGGTTTAGGCAGGTTGTTTCTATACCCCCGTTGGAACCAAAATAAAAACAGTATCTTGAATACTCTCTTGGGTCTTATAAGAACAAAAAGTAACTCCTAAGGAGACTATCGTATTTTAAGGGTTGCTGAAAGCTTAGGATTTGAAGCATATTGGTATGATCTAGGGTCCCTACGTAGCCAACTTGGGAACATGTTTGCTAGCATCCCCAGTATCCTGAAAAAACAAGGGCTCCCCATTTAGTTAAAGCCTGTTAGCTTTGTAAGGAACCTGAGACCAGAAAGAAGGACAAGTGGCCCACTGGGATACCTAGGTAAGGGTTCCTTAACGTTTTCCATTTTAGTGTTTTGGGTTCCAGTTTTGACCTCGTGGATTTAAGGTACGGTTTGGCGGTTTAAGGTGTAAGGTTTGGGAGTCTGGGCTCCTCTATGGGCAGTTTGGCTTTGAGGCTTGACCTAGAGGCCGAATACCAGGAATGCTTCAGGGGGTTCTTTCAGGGTTCCTTTACGTGGTCACGTAAGGGTACCGCTAGTGCAAGCGAGGTACTGAACATTTCACCGGCAAGTGGTTTCCGCACAAACTCTAAACCCCAAACGACGAAACCCTGAATCCCAACACAGGGCACAGGATACTATGACTGCATAGGGACCACAAGGCGAGAATAGTGGTTCCGACACCTGTGCTAAATGCTTACAACCTCAAAGAAGTTTCCTAATCAGCCACTATAAAGTAAAAGCCAAAAAGTTGGAATATGATTATCCTAAACCCTTTATGGTAAATTATAAGGTATCCTACCCTGAAACCATATAGGAGTTCCCTTTAGGAAGGCGCTCTTAGCCTCTCCATCCTTTTCCTTTTGTGGGGGACCTCACGGAGGCTGAGCAGGCAGGGCCCTGGGCAATGACATGCTTACGACGAAGCCCTGTACACAGCCATAATCATCCCTAAACCCCTAAGCCCCCAAACCCCTAAACCCTAAACCCCTAAGCCCCTAAACCCCTAAACCCTAAACCCCTAAACCCTAAACCCCTAAACCCCTAAACCCCTAAACCCCTACACCCCTATAAACCCTAAACCCCTAAACCCCTAAACCCTAAACCCCTAAACCCCTAAACCCCTAAGCCCTAAACCCTAAACCCCTAAACCCCTTTTCTTCGCCCCAAGCCATCTAAGACCGGCACCCCGTAGAACTTCGGGCTGAAGTTGCGGCGGAAGTACTTTCCTGAACCGTAGCGCTGTAGGCTGATAGGGTTTAAGGGTTTAGGGTTTAGAGTTTAGGGTTTAGGGGCTTAGGGTTTAGGGCTTTGGGATTTAGGGGTTGAAGGGTTTAGGGTTTAGGGGTTTAGGGGTTTGGGGGTTTAGGGCTTTGGGATTTAGGGGTTTAGGGTTTAAAGGGATTAGGGTTTAGGGTTTAGGATCATATTTGATATTCGGGGCTCTTAGGGTTCTTACCGGGTGCTGAAGGGTCGTGCGAGGATACTTTTGCAACTCAGGTCTGCTCTAGTGCTCTGGTAGAATTCTTCTATGTGAGTCCGTTGTAGAGGTTTTGTGAAAATTCTTATATGGGTTTCCGAGAACAGGGGTACCTTATTCTGGGGTCCTCATAATCAGGATCCTACTATTTAGGGTACTATATTAGGGTCCCCTATTTCCGGAAACTCCCATGGCAGCTCAAGCTCCGTGACCACTCCAATGACATCGGCGCGCTCTCGCCCTTGGCACTGTTGCTCGATGACCGAGAAGTCCGACTTCCCAATGGGAAAAAGATTTTTGATTTCCATCGCCTGAGGATGCGAAGAAGCCACCGGAACGGCTTTCGCTTTGCATGCCTTCTCCGATTGGTCTATGTAGTGCCCGGCGAAGAACTTATTCCTCACCGGCTTGAGTTGCAGGGCGAAGCAAGCATCTTTCGTCCAAGGCTCAGCCGCTTTCTTCATCACCTTGGGGTCCGAGTTGCGAAGCTCCGCATAGATACCCCTGCCTTCCTTGTCGACCAGCCGCATGATCATTTTGTAATAGTACGGCACCTATTATTTAGGGTACCCCAAAAGGGGCCATAATTTTGACAACTACCCATATGGATTTAGGGTTTACTTCGTAATTAGAGCTTGGAGTGTCGAGGCAGTTCGGGCTAAGACTCCGGGATGTATTGCTCATAATCACGATAGCCCGAAATCTAAGTATTTTGGCAAGGATCTCTGCTGCACCGTAGGGTTTAGGGTTTAGGACTAAGGAACTAAAGGTTAGCATGTCACAGGAAACCCCATACCCTCAACCCTAGCCGCCCTGAACCCTGGACCCCAAATCCCTAAACCCTAAACCGCAAATCCTAAACCCTAAACTCTAAACCCTAAACCCTAAACTCTAAACCCTAAACCCTAAACCCTAAACTCTAACCCCTAAACCCTAAACCCTAATCCCCAAACCCTAAACCGCAAACCCTAAACTCTGAACCCTGAACCCTAAACGCGCAAAGCAGCTCCAGGCTGGCAGGTTTGGGGCTCCGTATTTTAACTATAGCTACTATTTGCTTAAGAACCCCCCCCCCAAAAAAAAATATATATTCCTTATGGTGGTAATATAGGGATTATTATTTTTATTTTTTGGGTGTTTCTTAAGCAAATAGTAGTAATTATCAAGGCCCCTATATTATCCTTTCCGGCCTGAAGGATCTGAAGAGGCTTAGGGTGTGAGGTTTATGAGGCCCTAAGCCCGGAACAAACCCTGAACTCTGAAGCTTAAAAGCCTGAACTCTGAACCCCGAAACACCTTTTTTGGAACCCTTCTGAAACCCAGAGAGAAACAAGCCTTAAACCCAGCACCCTCAACCCTAAAAGCCCTGAAACCCAGAGAGAAGCTAAGCCCTCAAGAACCCGACAGACCTAAACCTTAAACGCATAGTATTGGTAACTATCAAAGCCCCTATACCCAGACCCCCAAAAGGATCCAAAAGTAGATCCCTTAATGGGGGTTCCTATAAAGTACCCTTAGTAGTATAGGGCCCCAAATTAGGAGATCTACTTTCAAGATCCTAAACCTTAAGCCCTAAACCCCTAAACCCTAAACCTTAGAGCCTTAGATCCCTTTAAAGGAACCCTGGAGATCCCTTGAAGCCTCTTCAGAGTCCCCGGGCCGGAAAGGCCGTGATAAAAACCCGGAGCCCGCAAAGCACATGCAGCCGAAGCTGCCGAAGTAGAAGGGAATGAACTCCGGGTGGATCCCTGAGCGGGGTTTAATTTTTGTTGAGCTCCTTTTCTCAGGGGTTTAGGGTTTAAGGTTTAGGGTTTAGGGCTCCGTAGACTCTCCAACTACCTCTCTTCTGTAGCTTCAATGCACAGTATAATAGGCTAACTGCCTACTGTTATGGACCAGAAGGGCTCTGTTACAGGGGACTTGGCGGCTCTTGTTCCGGTGAAGAGGGTTTCAGGTTATGCGTCCGACTAGTACTATAATGTAGGCGCCTTATTCTTGCTTTGGTATGCCATAGGTTGCTCAGTAAAGAACCCTATGGAATGATACTAGTTGTCATTTGAGCCCGTGGTTTAGCGTCCTGATGCCTGTGCCCCCTGAGACCTTCACTCGAAACATTATGAACAGTAAACCCTAAGCCCTACAGTAGAAGCCAGAAAGTTGGAATATCATCATAGTCCCTTTAAGGTCAACTCTAGGGGATCCTACCATGAAACCATATTCCAACTTTCTGGAGTTCCCTGTAAACTTCCAGTGCTCGGCGACTCCACGACTCCTACTGTTACTGCTACCTGGTGTAAATCTTCCCTAAGTACTGTTGATGATATAAATCCTGCATTACCTTAAGGACCCTAAACTATGGGAATTATGGTATATTCCTTATTATGGGTAGTGCAGGATTTATATCATCAACCGTATGATGGTTGTTTTTACAGCTAGTGTTAAGCTTATGATTGCTTGAGTCGTTATGATTATAACAACTTTTCAAACATGTGTACAGAGTTTTGCTTGTATTAGGATACCATCAAACTGGGGCCGTTATCGTCAGAACGGAATTTGTTTATGAAGGGGGGGAGTGGGGGGAAGTACTAGACATCAAATCTCTCGGGTGCCTGAACATGCAGTAATCCTAACGCCGGAACCCTAACCCGGAAGTCCTGAAACCATAATCCTGAACCCTAAACCCTAGAATCCAAACACTGATCCAGAACCCTAAACACCCTAAACCTTAAGCATTAACCCCTGCTGGAGCGTCCAGTTCTTCGGACTGCGGGGAAAACCCAGATCACACGAGGATGCTGGCAACAACAGGGATTTCCTTCAGAGAGAAGGGGTCTCGGGTTTATGGTGCAACTTCAAAAGGGGGGCCCCCGAACAAAACTAAAACGAGAAAAGCCTGGACACTGATGCGTGCTTCTTACGTGGTCTAGGGTTTTCTGTCGTGTGTCGAAACACAGCAAGCAAAGATGATACCTACAACGTCTCAAACCGTTACAATGGACTCGACGAACAGGGTGACAAGGAAACTCTACTTATCTGCCATCCCTTACTTGAGCATAAACTCCAGTCCTTATAAACCAAGACATCATGGCAGTTAGGACAAGCTGTCCTCATGGACCCATGACCGTAATGTAAGGCCCCAGGGAAACAGTCCTAGCTAAGTCCGAGTCCAACACAGCATAGCCTGCTTCTTTCTTGAGCAGCTCTCAGTTCGACATTCAAGGCCTTAAACAAGAATTCCCTTAACAAAAAGACGGCTATGGTTTACATACTCAGTTGCTGAGTTCATAAGCCCCAAAAGTGTACACGTTTAGTTTTATAGTGGGTATTATTATCCCAACAAGTGTAAAGTGTATCCACTCAGCTACTAGGCTATGGTTTAGGACCTAGAAGAATTTCTCAGTCCCAGGCCGTTTCGGTCCGGATCCGCGCAGTCGTGCAGGAATGACTGGATGAGCATGTTCCTGGTCATTCACCCCCTCGTTCCCTAGGGATCAAACTTGCCCAGAAGCCTTATACAGTATGGTCTTTGGGCTCAACAGCCTTAATATATGAGTCCTTAGATGCCTAGGGCTCCTTGATACGAGATGCCCCACGATTAGAACTGTACAGAGGAATCTATAAGTTCGTTGCGGTGTAAGCTATGATGCTTACCTAGGTGTCTCAGCAGCCCTGTAAACAGAAAAGCAGCCATTCTCCTTACTTACAGTTTCGGTGAATAAACCCTTTCAAAAAAAGGCACGGCTGTAAAGTAGTGTTGACGGGAAATCGGACCCTAAACCCTAAACCCTAAAACCCTAAAGCTATACAGGGGCTTCTTTTCAGGTGCAAGACTGCCAACGATTTAGATCCCAATATTAAACCACCGCGACATGAACCCTGCCCCTCAAAACCCCACAAAACCTCTAAACCTCTAAACCCCTAAACCTCTAAACCCTAAACCCCTAACTCTCTAAACCCTAAACCCTCAACCTCTATACCCTAAAACCCGACACTATGAACTCTGGATCCCCATGGGTTTAGGGTCCACTTAACAGGCTCATGGGATTCAGCAAGTGCGGCTTAGGGGCCCTTTTAAGGGGTGCTATAGGGTTCTATAAGGTCCCCTTTAAGGGTTTAGGGTTTAGAGGGGCCCTTTTAAGGGTGCCATAGGGTTCTATGATAAGGTTCCCTTTGAGGGTTTAGGGTTTAGGGCGTACTTACAGGCTCATGGGACTTAGTAAGGCTTATAGTTAGGATAACCCTACTTCAGGCACTGAGAAGCGCAATGATAACCATACTGGCCCCCCCAGGGTCCAAGTACCTAATAATCATATACCCTCCGAAATCCCATGCTACATAACTACTATCCTAAAACAGAGTACCTAATTATTGGGGTTTTTGGACCCTTAGGGTACTAAGTCCCTTGAACCCTTAAGTCGGTATGTGGAAGCCCGTACTCAACTCTCCAAAACCCCCTAATTCAGGAGTATGCCTTAAATCATGCTATGACGGATTCCAAAATCCGATAGGATTCTTTCAGGAATGTACCTTGAATCATGGAAAGGATATCCCTGTTTCTGTCGGCGTAACTCCTAAACTAGAGATTAGAGGTGGTGGGGTCTCTGGGCATGGGGCTCCAAGGTAATCTAGACTGCCACAGTAGCACTTATCCTGGCTGACTTCTGAACCCCTCCTAAAAGATAAACTTTAGCCGCCCTATTCTGGCTCATATAGAAACCCAAAAAGTTAAAGTCCAAAGAGCCAACCAGAAGAACACCAAGTCATTATAGAGGTCTTAATAATTAGAATAGGGTCTTGGGGCCCCTCATGCTATAATTACAATAAGGAACCCCAATAATAACATTGGTAGTTATTTCGGCCCCTATATTTCAAGCTCATGGCACTTAGTAAGCAAGGTTATACTTAGGATAAACCTCAAGGTACTGATAACCGCAATACAAAACATTTACAACCCTGACCGCCGGACCGCCAAGTCTCTTGAGCCCGAAAGTAGCCTTCATCCCAACGTCTCACTAAAGTCTTGTCTAGTGTTCAGAGAAACGTGTGTTGTAATGGCTTCCTAATCCGAATCAAGTTCCGGGATTTTAGGATATTGTTGTGTAGGGTTTAGAAGAGCCCTAAACCCTCAAACTCAGGAGTGCCCCTCTCCATCCTCCGAACCTGAAAGAGCATCAGAACTGTGCTACTGACTGGTCCTGAATGATTAGAATAGGTTTCGGTGTACACTCTAGTAGAACTGTATGCTGTACGCTACAGAGTACTCAGCCCGATCTAAAACGGAGAGCTGCATAGTTATAGGGATTTCAAGGAACACAGAGCATCAAACAACAGCACAGTGATGGGCAACTCTTAAGCCCCTAAACCCTGAATCCTAACCCCTGAAACCATATGTAAAACCCTAAACCCTACACCCTGAAACTCCCGAAATCCTCAAGCTCCAAACTTCTCCCTAAACTCTAAACCCTAAACTCTAAACCCTAAACTCTAAACCCTTAAAGGAACCCTTAAGGAAACCCTAAGCCCCTAAACTCCCTAAACCCTAAACCCTAAACTCTAAAACCCTAAAGCCATAAACCCTAAACTCCCTAAAACCCTTAAGCTCCCTAAAACCCATAACCTCCTTAAAACCCTTAAGCTCCTTAACCCTCCCTAAAACTCTAAAGGGGTTTAGGGGTTTAGGGTTTAGGGTTTAGGGTTTCCCTTGGGCCGAGAGGCAGCTCCGCCCTGAGGCTCAGCATCGCCCAGTCCTTCGATGCTACCCGGGTTTACACTTTAGGTTTTTTTCAGGCTTTCCTTTAAGGGATCCTTTCAGGGTTTTTTTTTTTTTAAGGGCCTTTTTCCGTCTGCATAATCCAGCGAAAGTCTCTTTTGAGACAGGCTCTGGAACTACCCAACCATCAATCAGGTAGATCTTATCCACGTCGATACAGTGATTACTCATTGGTCACATTGAGGTTCGAGACATTGTTCGCATCCATAACCTGGGTTTCCGTATCCAGAACATATTGTGCTTCCATAAGTTCCAGTAACCCTTCACCCCCGATTGCAATCACCTCCTTGTTGTCCAGGATACCCTTTTTCCACCTCGTGTAAACCACCTCGTAGTCCCGGAAGTCCATCTCTGACATAGACCCCACCAAAGTCTCCTCCTCGACCTGGCCGTCCTGTTGTATCTCAGCTGGCTCAGTAAGTGGGCTCCCTGGTTGCGATACCGATGCAGCCATCCCATCCGTGACACCGTCCTGGTTGAGTGGTATCGTCTCAGTGTCCTGGTACGTCTCATACGGTAGGGTCTCCTGCTCATCCGGGTGGACCTTGGTGTTGCCTCCACATTCAGCACGTCCCAAGTGTATCGTGTCAACATCATCCGGGAAGTCCTCTTTCTCAAAGCGGATGTGCAAGTCCAAAGTAGGGGTAGCACCAGCAGTGGTAATAGGCATTCTCAGGGTACGGCTGATCCACGGCCGCGTTCTTCTGTCCTCCCCTCCATGGTGGCCACCATCACTGTCCGTTGCCTTTTCGCAGCCGGTTCCGTCATGATTTGATGCCACTCCCAGTCTTCCCACTGCTTGAAGGCTCTGGGCGACATCCGACCTTGGACACCACCCGGTTGTCCGCCACTCCGATCACCATCTCGGTGCTCACCAAGTCCAACCCTGTACTCCATTTCCTCTTCCTCCTCCAACTCCCTGGCCAGCTGCTGTGCCTCCGTCCTCTCAATCTCAGCTTGCTTCCCACGGCGCTCTTCACGTTCATCTTCTGCCAATTCCTGAAGCACACCATCAGTCGCATCAGGATTCGGAATGGTCCAAGGCCACCGGTCCGACGATGAGCCTGGACAGTTCTGGCCACCACCACTCGCAGGAAACAGCTTGTTCCACATCCGAAGTTGCCAGCCCAGATCACCAGCCGTACTGATCTCCGTGGGTTCTTGCATCGCCACCAGCACCGCCACAAGCATTTCCCGGCGATGTGGGTCCACTTCGGCATACCGGTCCAGCCTCGACCTGAGGCCTTCGATGTTGCCATTACGGGATGCCCCGGGCTGCCCACTGAGGTCAGCCTGAAGTTGCTGCACAGCATGTGTCCACACATCTTGCGACTCCGGCCCTTTTGCAAAGTGGCCCGTCAGGGTGCGCTGCATAAGGCTGGTCCCATCTCCCCGTTCCACCTCGACATCGACAAGCACTTCGTCGCGAGCACCTGCCGCCCCTGCTTGCACCCCTCGTTCGAAGGCCGCAGCAACTTCCGACATCAGCATGCGGATAAAGCGAACAAAGCTGATCGTCATCACCATCCGATCGTGCTCCGAGTAGCCCGCCATAGTCTCAGTGATCATTTCCGAAGCATACTGAGGCAGCAATGGTTGGGGTGGGCTGGCAGCTACCACATCGACGTTTTCCGGGAAGCTTTCAGGATCCATACCGAGCAAGAACCTCCAGGCATCAACAGCTTGCAGTTCCTCCATGTGCCCAGGGACCGTTCCAGGCAGCCCCGCCGGTCTCAAGGAGACGGAGCCAGTGTCATGGCCCCCTGCTGCATCACCACTGCTGGAAGCCCCCGACCTTGAATCACCGGTTGCCGCAGGCCTGCTCGCCGGTCTCCTCAACGGTGGCCTCAAAACTCTGGTCTCGCTGGTGACGCACTCAGCCCTCGGTGCCGGCCTCGCTTTAGCCTTAGCAGGCCTTCCCTCCGGAGTCCTCGTCCGGTTTCGTGTCAACCATCGCGGGTTGACTTGTGTATAGTCTGGGTCATCTCGTCCTCTCCGGTCACCCTCCCTTGGTCCACCTCTTTCCATGAAGGACTGCTCGTCACTCAGCTCTCCCTGGCTTGCCCTTCTCGGAGGCGTACGGCTTCTAGGGTGCCTCCGGCATTCTCGGCCCTCTGCTGTTTGACACCCACCAGCTCGCTGCCCTCCTTGTCGCTCCCACTCGAACAGCAGCACCTCGATGCTGCCATGAACCCACTCGGCCACCTCAGCCGTCCCCGGCGGTGCAGCATCTGATTCAGGTCTCCACCCCAGCTGGGCTTCCTCAAGCAGGTCACAGTTGATACCTCCTACCCACCTCATCGCCTGATCAAAAAAGTCGCTGTCCGGCATGAGGAGCACCCCTGCAGCAAAGTCCCGAACCATCTGGCGAGCATCTCCACCTTGTCTCACCAACCGAAGACCATGCCTGAGGATCTCCTCGTACCACCGTGCCAACCGCACCGACCAGTGCCCCAACTCGCCACAGGGAGAGCTGAGAGTGCTCATCAGCTTCATCAGCTGCAGCCCTCCGTCTCGGTGTGCGGCTGGCCGACCTAGATCCAGACGACTCGGAGCTGCAATTGGCACTCTGGTCTTCACCGTTCTCATCAGCCCCGCTCGCCACCACACCCGAGTTGATGACCGTCAGCTCCTCCGCCGTGGACCAGGTCCCGTTAGGCCACACATGGGCCGCATGGAAGATGCCAAAGGGGAGGTCTGGGTCCACTGACACCTCAGTGGCATTTCCATTCTCAGGCTCTTCCCCAGCTTCTTCTCCTCGGGCACGAGCTTGCTCTCTCCAACCGTCCAGCATCAGTTCCACCCATGCCTCTATCGTCATGTCATCCTCCACGTGGTCGTGCTGGTGCTCACCCTGTTCTGGTTCTGCTCTGTCAAAAATGACAGGCAGAGTCCGCCGAGCACATCCCATGACCGCCCTCGTTGAGGAGGTGGTTTGGTCCCTAAGAGCCCGCCTGGCTGCAGGTCCACGGCCTGATCGGCGGAACCTCAAGTATATCGCCCGCATTCTCTGCATCCACGGTGCCTCTCGATCCATATGGCCATCGGCACCAGCGGCCTCCCCTGCCACCATGGTCCCCGAAGACGCCGAAGGTTCCTCGCTGCCCACAGGCTCATCCGTCTCCATTCCAACCCCTTCCTCGAAGGTCACCACAGTAGCAGCCGCCGTTGCCAGGGTGGGGGCTTCACCATTCACCGTAGTTGTGGCATCAGGGGCTGTAGCATGCGCAGCCACCCCTGCGTGTTCCAGGCCGTCCAGAGCTGCAAGGACACCATCCCTGTTGAACGCATGCCAGAAGTAGCCCTCCACCTCAACCGCCCATTCGAAGAACACTAGTGGCATCTGCGAGGAGTCAGGCGGCCCTACTTGCTGCACCACACCAGCAGCCAAAGTGTGGAGAGGCCCCAAGGCCCAGGCTGCATACTCCTGATCTTGCCTCGACTGAAGAAGATGAAGGACCATATCAAAGGCAATGTGCACCGAGCGTTCCTCCTCGAACCACACCCACATCTGTTCCACCAGCGCATGCCACCTCAGCAACCAAGGCGACGGATCCGTCTCAACCTCATGTGTTTCCAACCGCTGCGAAAGAGTCACCTCATCAAAGTCCCGAAACGTGTAATTGATGTTCCCCAGGGCCCGCTGCTCCCGCCGAGCTTGATCTTCATCCGGTGAATCATTACCTTGGGCAGTACCTCTGGGTTCAGCACGAGCTTCCATCAAGGGCTCCGCTGCAGGCTGCAACAGCAACGCCTTAGAGCCAGCGCATCCCTTAGGGAAGGCAGCCAGGCACGCTGCAAGGGCAGCAAACCATGAAAGATATGAAAGATATGGAGGGAAGGCGCTCATGTTGAGCATGCGAGAGTAGGTCCAGCTACTGCAATCGCTGTGAGTCCGGCCGCACACATTCGGAAGCCATCACAAGACAGCGACATCAGGCAACAACTGTACACTCTCTCCACACCCTCTCCTCTCACTGTGAAACCTAGCCCCCCGACTCAAGTGAAGTTTGCCTTCCCGACGCCCATGGCAGGTCCTCCTGCCTGATCCAAGTCTGTTCTCTGGTTCTCCATGTACCCCGATCCCTGGCTGCCACCCTCCAGGGCCCCCCACAAACTGCATCCATTCGGGCTTCCATCTTCATCAAACGAGGATAATGGTGCACATGTGTGAGGCCATCCTTCTTGAGCTTTTCGGCTTCCCACCAGCCTCGATCCCTGAAAGCATCCAGTTTCGAGCTAATAGTGGGGTACTGCTGATCCAAACCCCTTGCCCTGTGTCCTGAATACGTCCAGTATCTCTTCAACCAAGTAGTGGACCACCTATCTTCACCGGCCCTGTGCAAGGCCGCTCTGGCTGCTCGCCACACTCTCAGTCGGTAGGCCCCCCAGTCCTCGGCAACACCCTTGGATAATCTCATCATCCAAACAATAAGCCCAAGCTGAACCGAGTTAAGGTAGCCCATCGTGCTCGAGTCTGGTGGAAGTGCACTAAGGCACCACAACCCTGCCTGCCCGACCGTTCTTTGCATGGTGCGAATACGTTTGCTCAGCCCTCCCTTGGCTCGAAGGATATGTTGGAGGTCCCAAAACTTCTGCTTCGCCCTGGTCGCCAAAGACGCCACCAATTCCGTCATCGTAACCCCAACCCGAAACTGCAAGCCCATCACTTCCAGGAAAGGAGAAGCCTCAAGGACCTGGCCATCAACCTCGAGCTTGCGCAACCCTGGGCATCGAGGTGCACAATAGAGCTGACATTTCGCCAGATTGATGCTGAGTCCAAACTTCTGCAGGTGTGTTGCGTACTCACCCAACCGTTGCTGCATCTGGTCGACCCCTTTGGCCCACAACACTCCATCATCCATAAAGAGACACTCTTCGTCATCCATCCCCTCAAAGAGCTTGGTTCTCCGATCCCATCTGTGTTTGAGCTTAGCTTCCTCCAAAGCAATTTCACCGATGAACCCAAACATGGCGGGGGATTCGCACGCCCCTTGCTTTATCCCTCTGTGCATGTCCAATCCAGACCGCCCCCACGGTGTCTGAAGGCAGCCCTGCACATCCGACATCAGAGCTGCCCAACAGCCCATCTCTGCACAAGGACCCAGCCGGGAAGCAAGCCGTTCCAACACCACACGTCGATCCACACAGTCGAAGGCCTTATTAAGGTCGACTTTCACCGCACACATCTCAGAACCCCACTCACGGCATAATTCGAATATCCGATGCACACTAAAAAGGTAATCCGAGGTTTGACGATGTGGAGCAGCGCACTGAGCAGATTGACGAGGTTGTAGAGCCCACGAAGTTCTTGCAAGCAGCATCTTGGCGAACAGTTTCCCTACTGCACTCCCCATGGCCAGGGGCCTCAGTTGCTTGCACTGCTTAGGATTGGCCACCTTGGGCATCATCACCACCAACGGTTCATTCCACCGTGCAGGCATCCGTTGGCTAGCTAATATCCCATTGAACCACGTGAGGAGCCCCTGCTCTCCGCCCGGAACCTCCATAAGCCCCACAAGCAATTCCCGGGATGTCAAGTCCGTGCCGACCGCCTTGTTTGCCTTCAGGAGGGCCAATGCTTCTCTCATCTCCTTCACCGTGAACTCTGAAATCGGACCCTCAAAGCGATACTTCGATGCATCCGGCGAATGCCCCTGGTAGACCGCCTGCAGGTGCTTATGGACCGCTTCGTGGGGATCCCCTTGTTGGGCCTCTGCGAACCCCACATCCCACCCAGCATGCTTGCGTGGACGGCACGCTTTGAGGGCGGTCCAGTCACCTTCACTGGCCCTTTTCAATCTGTCTGCCTCCCACACCTTTCGTGCCTGTTTTCGCAACTTCAAAGCATGAGTCCAAGCAGCACCCGTCTTAGCCACCTTGGCCTGTTTGAATGCTTTCCTCACATCATCTGGGTCACGGTAGCCAACCCCAGGTTTGGGCTTCGTACATCTCCTGGCATACCCCTCGATGGCTGTTTGATCAAGCTCGCCCACAACTCCGCGGCACCCTGTCCATACCCGTGGTCTGGTATCACTGCGATGGATCATTCTCTGAGTTCTCAGCATAAACCACGCACTCAAGCATTCATGGTCCGAACCCACACAGTGACAAGAATCCACATGGATGCAGCAGTCCTCACGTCGTATCCCTCTGCACAACATGTAATCAATCTGAGACCCTACTCTGCCAGCCTGTCTGGGTCTGCTTGTGGGTGTAGTCCACTGATCCCTCTTCAAATGCACGAAGTCGAACCCCTTTTCCATAGCGTATCTGCCAAAGATCTCCCCTTTGTCATCCCGCCCTGTAGCCTCCACTCGCTCTCTGTCCTGCCACCAGCGGAAACCTGCATTCAGATCCCCCTGGAAAATTGCAGGGGCACCCCGAGCGGGGCAACTTCTAAAGTGGTTCTCGACCTCCGCTTCATACTCTCCCTGCGGCACCCCCGGGCTGAAATGGGCGGTCCCAAACCAGACTCCCTCCGAACTGGCAAGGTGACGCATGTGTACCCAGGTGCCCCGATTGGTACTGCGCTTGCTGATCATACTCCAGACCCTCGGATTGTAAACCACCCCTGTGCCTCTCCACATCTTGGCGTGTCTGAAGGCCACCAGCCTGAAGCCCTGAAACTCTTCCGTAGACCAGCCTACACGACTCCTCGGCAATTCCTGCACCAGTGCTATATCATTTTCTCCGAAAGCATCACCAGTGCCCTCCTTAAGAGCAGAAGTCAAGTCTTGTACCTCGACCCCACCAAGATTCCAGCCACAGACCCTGAAGCTCGTGTCAGCGATCGGCAGCAGTACCTTCATCGGGCCGGTATGTCGGCCCTGCCCTGGTCAGTTGATCGCTGCGAAGGCCTCCCTCAGCTTTCCTGCATCCAGCCCCAGATCAGCTGCGAGTTTGAGCACATCCACCCAGGGCTTGGTGTCCACCTCAGTCCGGACGAACAGGCTTTGTGGATCAACCCCTGGCGGCGGAGGGACAGCACTGCTTGCAACAAGGTTATGGTAGGTCCAAACGCTTCCGTTGTTCCACTCCACCTCAAGCTGATTGAGTTTGCTCTTGTCAAATTCAGCCACCGTGCGTTTCACAATGGAGGCGTGTGTGCTGTGGATGCGTTCAAGGCGGCTCTTACTCCAGTTGCTCCAGAGCTTCTTCCCCTGACGCCCGATCACCTCTGCATCCGCAAACGCCCGAATAACCCGCTGCATCCTGCCCCTCATGTCTGAGTAGGACTCGCCGGACCTCTGTGCAAACCCTGCAAGAGCAATGCTTCGCCGAGCCCCTGTTGCAAAGGGCTCCGAGTCCAAATCCTTCGCAACCCCCAGGGACTCAAGCGCCTCCTTAAGCTCCGAAAGAAGTTCCCCTCGTCGCGTGTCTCGGCTCCACCCTCCAAAGACAAGAGTTCTCTCCCGACGTGCCTGCTCACCCGAGGTCTGCCCTGGAGCACGTAGTGCCTCCCCAGGCCCTCCGGCCAGAGCAGCCTGGAGCTCCCCTGCCATTTCCTCGACCTTGCGCTCGAGGGCATCCACACGTCCATCCGTCTGTGCAACCCTGTCCTCAACAATCTTCTCAAAGTGGGCAACAGCACGGGACACCGCCTGCTCCTGCGATCTTGCCAGCTGCTCAGTCTGCTGCGCCAGCATTCTCTGCAACTCCGAAGCAGAGACGCCCAACGAAGCCCCGGACTCCACTTCACGGCGAGGCTGTTTGGCCGGACTAAGATCATCATCGTCCGGCACCGGCACCCTCTTCCCCAGATTGATCTGGGGTTTGCCCCCTCCCTCCATCTTGCGGCTGATCGCACCGTACAGGAACCCCTGGAACACGTGCTCCCGCCAACTTCTCGAGGCTGTCCGGGATCGTGGCCCAAGCAGAGAAGAGACAAACGCCGCACCCCCCGAAACCCTGAAGGAGAACAGCTACCCCCTGAGCCTTGAAAGGATTTAGAGTTTAGGGTTTTGGGTTTAGGGAGAGTCTAAAGTTCAGCTTTGGGTTTAGGGTTGGAGTTAGGGAGTTTAAGGGATCCTTTAAGGGGTTCCTAAAAGGGTTCCTATAAAGGCACCTATAAGGGTCTGATACGGGTTTAGGGTTTCAGGGTTTAGGGCTTCTGGGGTTTCGGGGGTTCCTTTCAGGGATCCTTTATGGGATCTGTAGGGTTCTAAAAGGTTTGTTAGGGGTTAGGGTTTAAGGGGTTTCAGGGTGTATGCGGATTTAGGGGTTCAGGGTTCAGGGGGTTTCAGGGTTTAGAGCTTCAGGAGTTTAGGGTTCAGGGTTTAGGGGGCTTCAGGGATCCAGGGCTCCTTTGAAGAGGTTCTTGTAAAGGGTTCCTGTGAGGGTACTATAGGGACACGACTAGAAGGTGGCTTAGGGGGTTTCAGGGTTTAGAGCTCCTCCAAAATCTTTCTTTTTTATGGTTAAAGGTACCATAAAGGCTTGTGAATTTAAGGGTTTTTGTGTCTGGGCTGATCTCAATTTGCAGAAGCATCCGAAATCCTGGTTTCGGAGGACAGAGCTCCAGAGACAGAGCACGGAGCAACCCGTAATCACGGGTTGGGGGTTCATGGTTTAGAGCAGTTTAGGTACGGCTTTGAGTTTGGAGGATTAGGAAGGGTTTTTGTTGGGTGAGGGCCTCCCTTAAACTACGAAAACATACGTTTCGGAGGGTCCTAATGTGAGGGTCCAGGGAGTTAGGGTTGAGGGGTTGCCCTGCCATAAAACGCAGAAGTAGGCTGTTGTACTTAAAACAAGTCATTTGGGGCGCAAAGCCGTAAATCGGCGCAGGACACAACAAACATCAGCAGCGCCCTGCACTGTAAACCGCACCGCCCCCAAGCAGGGCGTTTTGCTGGAAAACCCCAAGCGAAGAAACCTAACCCTAAACCCTTACACCCCACAGTCTAAACCCTAAACCCTGAGCCCCTAAACTCTAAACCCTAAGCCCTTAACCCTAAACGAATCTAATCCCCTGAGAAAGTGTCCTCGTAGGCGAAGTTGGCAAACAGGGGCTTTCCCTCACCCACATCACAGACGTCTTCCACCTCGGGAAACTGCACCCAACAGGTTGCGCCCGGCATCTGAGCGGTTTGAGGGTTTAGAGTTTAGGGTTTTGAGGGTTTTGAGGGCTTAGAGTTTAACTTTAGAGTTTGAGGGTTTAGGGTTTAGGGTTTGGGGTTTAGGTTTAGGGTGTAGAGTTTAGAGTGTAGGGTTTTTAGGGTTTTGAGAGTTTGGGATAGCCAACTTTTAAGGGTTTAGGGCTTGGGGGTTTGGGGTAGAAATCGGATGATACAGGGGGCCTGGACATTTCAACAAGTTGTTTCTGGAAGGGGGAGGGTTCAGAGAATGGATAACTTGGCACGGTTTCGGGTCTTTCAGCACAACCCGAAAACTGTGCTTGTGAGAGCATAGTTGAGCTGGGCTGATATCCTGAAAGTTTTAAAGGCATGAACACCCGTAACAATGTTGCAGTACTGGTAAGCACGATCTTAGCGAGATGACAACTGATTAGAAGCTGCAGTGGGTTATGCCGAGTTCGCTAGCACGAAACCAAGAAAATTAAACGATGCTTGAACAATCAAGACTACGGTTCCCTAGGGTACCCTTGCACATAAATATAGCCTAACATACCCTGAAACGCTTTCTACTTATTAACGCCCCTGCTTTACTCAGCTCCTGGCACTGAAGACGTCTGTATCCTGCATCTCGATCTCCTCGCGCATGAGCTGCAGCACATCTTTGCCTCGGAAGCTTTTCCAGATGGGCACCCTGTACCAACCCCTGAACTTTTGGAGGAGACCCACTTCAAGCAAACCCTAAACCCTAAACCTAAACCGGCCCCACACAAAGAAGCAACTTCGAGTAGCTGCTGACAACTTCTTCAGGGCTACTGCACCTAGGTTCCCCAGAGACTCGTAAGGAATATTCTTAAATTATAGAATGATCCCTAGCACGATTTAAGGCGTATTTCTCAAGTAAGGGGTGTTGGAGGCACTGGTTCCTCCGTGTCCCCTGAATAATGAGGGCACCCTTTTTGCTGTTACTCAGTTGAATAAGGACCCGTAGAGTGAAACGAGGAAAGGGGCACTACTGGGGAGCTTCGATACTGTCTACGCCGAAACGAGGGTTAACGGGAGCGTAGTAGTTCTGTCGGAACGAAATGTGGGCGGGGAGCGGCGGAGAAATTGATAAAACTACCGACTTATGTTGCCTCCATTTTCTTGCAAGGAACCTTAAACAGAGCAATTTGCAGAGAGCTATTGGGGCGGCTTTAGTGTTTGGTTCGGCATCTTGTCCAGTGTTAAGCATAGAGTTAAGGGCAGCTCTTGCAATATAAATGTTTGCAGAAATAGTAATAGGCTCCACTTTGTAGTCTCGATATGATTATACTGAAATACACCACCGAAGAGAGCTTCCCTTGAGACATTGAGGGCCTCAAGAGGGTCCCTAAACCCTAAACCCTAAACCCTATCCGGACATTGAGGGCCTTAAGATGGTGTTGGCAGCATTGCAGGGTTCAGGCTCGAGGGTTGCTTAAGCTGCTGTGCTGATCTGCTTGGCTGTTCCAGCTGCGGCAGTTGCGTCGCAGACGAAGAAGGATTCTACATGGGAGTTTCCGAAAGAAAGGGTACCTTACTTTGGTATCTTTATAATAATGATCCTACTATTTAGGGTACTATATTAGTGTCCCCTATTTTCGGAAACTCCCATATAGACCTCGTCTCAGGTTTGGCTGAAGTCTAAACCAATCCTGAACCCTTACCCCTGCAACATCTACACGTGGCCGGGCTTCTGTGCTGCAACTAGCTAGCTTGGCTTTCCGGCTTTCAGCGTAATAATAATGAGGGTACCCTTGTTACTGCTATCAGGTTTAATAAGAGAACCCCAAACAGAAGGGTCAAAAGGGTACTGCTGAGGATTCTAGTATCCCTAAACCCTAAACCCCTAAACCCTAAACCCCTAAACGCTAAACCTGTAGCTGGGGCGTGGGCAATCTTCGATCGCCTCTTTCATCTCGGGATCCTCCTCTTCGGCGGCCTCACTAGGGGTTTAGGGGTTTAGGGCTTAGGGGTTAGGGTTTAGGGGTTTGGGGGTTTAGGGTTTAGGGGTTTGGCCTTAGGGTTTAGGGTTTAGGGGTTTAGGGGTTTAGGGTTTAGGGGTTTAGGGTTTAGGGGTTTAGGGTTTAGGGCTTAGGGTTTAGGGTTTAGGGTCGAGGGGTTTAGGGTTTAGGGTTTAGGGGTTTAGGGTTTAGGGTTTAGGGTGCCAGAGAGCACAACAGAAAGGATTTTGGGGTTATCGGGTTAGGGTGAAGGGATTGGGCTGATGGGTTTGCAGGTTGATAGACTTGTGTGCTTATGGGTTTGTGTGAGAGTTTAGGTTTGTCGGTTTAAGGCTTCGGGTTTCCAATGCTCAACAAACCACGGTTTTCGAGAGCTTCTTGAACGGTGTTACGAGCGCATACAACGCAGGTGAGCCTGCCAGATGTGCTTCCGTGTTTCTACACGAAACAGTCCGGCTTGCATTGACAAATGTTGCTCCAGCACGAGATAAGCACGATCTGACGGACACGTCACAGGCAACGGGAACAGGCGAAGAAGCCAACGGCAGCTGTAGGCGTGAGCACAGGAACCGGATGGAGCCCCTTTAGCACTAATGCTGTGCCAGTTGGTCGGTAGCCTTGCACCTTTTTTTTTTGTTCTCTGCTGCTTGCACAAGCGCGGCTGAATCCTCCAAGCAAAAGTCACGTCAGAGACGCCCAAGCTGTGAGTCTCGGCCCTGGGTTTACCAATGGATCTTCATGCGGAGGACGGAGTGGTTGGTGCTGTTTCTGCTCAGCTGCACGTCGACTTCGTCAAAGCCGTCCTGCACAAGCCGCTGGCGCATCCCTGCCGCGAGCTCCAATCCAACAAAACTCCTTCAAGGAGGATGAGAGTAAGGATCCTAATTTCAAGGTCCTGCAAGAACAGGATTTCATTAATCAGGGGTGTACGCGAATTTGGCTTTGGACGTGACCTTCGAACATTCGCAGGTTAGGGTGGGGCAGTACATGCTCGATTTCGGCTGTCTAGAGTCTAGCGCCTAAACTCCAACGCACAATTCAGGTTTGTGTCTCCGACGCTGAACCCTTGACCCCGAACCCCTCAACCCTTACCCTTAACTACATCCTGAACCCTAAACCGATCATGAGTCACTGAACCATCTGCGGCTTTGGGACAGATTCAGCTTTCGGCTTTCAGTCGTTGAGAGCTGCGGGTGTAAGGATGGGGGGTGAGTGCTGGACCTCTAGGGCCGACCCTCCACCACCATAAAGACCGGTTGCTGGCAGCGTGTTTGGGTTACTTGGTTTTACCTTCGTCGTGGTGGTAGGGGTGGTGCTGCTGCTGCTGTGAGTCGCCTAGGTAGGGCTAGCCTCATCTTTTCCTGACAAAAGACACTTACTAAGTCCTTTGTGTCCTTCAGTGGGCTGTATTATCATTGCAGTACTCTGGGCCCCAAAACCCTGTTCTAATTATTATGGCCTACTTAATAAGTCCCCGTTGCCCTTCAGTAGCAAGTAGGAAAGGCGTGCCTGCTGACCGTCCTTCTCGGCGGCGCCACCTGCTCAGGATGCTTGGGGCACAGGGGTTAAGGGCTTCAAAAGATGTTACAAGGCTTTGCAGGGCTTTATACTTAAAGGATCATGGGACTTAGTAAGTAGCTTATGATTGGCGTTGTAAGTCCCCTAAGTGAGGTGATCCTAATTAGAACCTTCTTATAACATTACTTTCTAAGTGCCATGAGGCTTTAAGTAGACCCTAAACGCTAAACCCTTAGAGGGAACCCTATTATAGAACCCGGTAGTACCCATAACAGGAACCATAAACCCTACTTCCTAAGTCCCATGAGCCTTCAAGTACTCACAGGGCTGATAAGGCGCCCCTTTGGAGGGAAACCCTTTGGGTTGCACTTTGCCGAATTGGCGTGTTGCGGCCTCAAATTTCGCGTAATGGTGTTGGGCTCGATTTTCAGGCTTCAGCTTCGAGTTTAGGGTTTAGGATTCGGGGGTTTAAGGTTTATTGTCGAAAAGCACATTACATATGTACATGTATGAACAGCTGCAGTAGAAACAGCGATGCATGCGCGCTTTGTTTGTCTTTCCTTACAAGAACCATCGTATAGTGTACCTCAAAACCCAACTCCAATGATTGAGGCCCTTAGACTTGAAGGCTCATGGAACTTAGTAAGTGAGGTTATACGTAGGTTATAAATAGGATAACCCCACTTATAACTTATAATCCCAATTATAGCCTACTTGCTAAGTCCCGTGATCCTTTATGTAGTAGATGCTAAACCTGTAACGTCGAGGCCCTAGACTTCTGCTACCATAAACGGTAGTTTAGGCCCAGGCCCCGCGTTACCACCCTCTATTATAATTACCTGGACCCTAAGGAACCTACCTTTTTTGGATTTCTTTATATAAGTCCTTAAAAGGTAGGTTACTTGGGGTTTAGGTACCCCTAAATACCCACTATTAAGGACCAGAAGGGCTCCAGTAAAGCGCACCCTGAAGCCTAGTCCCAAACCCTCAGCACTAAACCCTAAACCCCTGGTCTGTACCGCATGCCTTCCGCGCCCGCGGCGTGGCCGTTCTCGCCTGGCAATGCGGATGCGAATTCTAAGAGGGTTTTGAGTTGCTTAAAGTCTAGGGAGGTTCTATTAGGCCATATCAAAAGTATGGGGTGTACCCGTAGTATACCCAGAAAGCCCAATATCCCGTAATTACGGAATCTACCTTAAACTATAAGGGGCTCCATATTATGACTTGTGCTAGATTAAATAAGGGAGTATTCGGCTCTCTGGGTAATTAGCCTTCAAAATAAAGTACCCAGACCTTCCAAAATCCCTTAATTAAGGAATATACCTTAAATTATAAGAGGGTCCCTAATATGATTTAAGGTATATTCCTTAATTAAGGGATTTTGGAAGGTCTGAGTAGGTCAGAAAGTTCGAAGCGGATTTTGGTTAAGGTTAGGCTTACCGGAAACCACCGAGTAATGAATCTACCTGCTCAACAACTATAATGAAGTGTACTCACTCCGCCACTAAGCCATAATCTAAGCTAGGATACCCAGTAACCTAAGAATAAAAAGGCCTCTCTTTTTGGTATTGGGTAACTTTATAATTTATAAGGAACCTAGGACTACAAAAAAGGGAATAAGGGTACTACTGGGCATCCTAATAAAAACCCTAAACCCTAAGTCTGGAGCGTAGGCCGGCCTGTCATGCCCTTCTGCATGGCGATCATCTGCTGACGCTCTCGATACTCCACCTTCAGTGCGAGTTGTTCGATGCCAGGGTAGGAACCTGATTAAGAAACCCAGGGCCTCTATAACCCCCAACATAGCAGGATTCATAAAGGTTTCTTAATCAGGTTCCTGTACTAGCAAACTTCTTTCTCCGATGTAGGCTGAGACCCTTGTTGCATAAATCATGGAGATCCGTACGGGGGGTTAGGGGGAGGGGGCTATGGGGGCTATACTTCCTTAAATAAGCCTTATTAATGTCCTTATTATAGGTATCACCACCTCCCCCCACCTCCCCAACCCCCCAAAGGTCCCCGATGAATTAAGTAAAGCCTAACCACGAACCGATTCTCACTGCGTGTTCTGTTTGGGCGTTTAGGGATTTGGGTAGCGGTCTCGGGTCAAGGCACGGAACCAAAACAGCGCTACACGACCGTCCATCCAGGTACCGCCGATTCGGAACAAAGAAAGGGGTCATTATCAACATCATCCACAATCCAGACCCTAAAACCTAAACCCGATATCTGTCGACCTTCAAAAAGAAACACCCTCTGGTAGTGGGATGTCACGACCTCCGACAACACAAATCTCAACACAAACATAAGTGGAATAGGGGCATCTCAGGCTTTGTATGTCTGTCTTAGCTGTCCGATTCAGACGAAACAACAGCTGAGCTTTTTGTTCAGAGGGGTTATATTTATACAGACTCAACAAGTGTTAAACTTACTGACCCACCTATACGTAGCTGAGGAAGTTTGATGGAGTGTTCTGTAGGGTTCAATGGTAGCCGGAACAGAGAGGATTAATGATAGTGGCTGGAGACCTGGACTACTTGAAATTCACTATGCCCTCGCATGTATTACGAAAGAAGCCAATGTTCCAATATAAGCTCATTGCTTCAATTCTTAGTTTGAGCCCCGCAGGCCAAGCTGCAGGACAGAAGCCCATGCTCGTAATGTATCGCATAAATATCTAAGGCCTGCAGAGATTTGTGATTACTGGATCCTCAGACCTTCATGTTGACGCCGGAACTCTGACACATGGGACGAGTAACCCTAAACCCTAAACTCTAAACCCTACGTGATGCCGAAGGCAAACAGACTAGAGCATCACGAGCTCTTCTAGGATGCGCAGTAACCTAGGAATAAAAAGGGCTCCCTTTTCTAGACCCAAGAGTAGCCTAGGAATAAAAAGGGTGCCTTTTTGGTTTCAAGGGAGTTATAAGGGAACCTGAACCCTTAAAAAAGGGAATAAGGGCCTACTCTAGGTCCTAGTTTTGGTATTGGGTGACGCAATAAAGAACCTAGGACTACAAAAAGGGAATAAGGGTACTACTGGGCATCACGCGCTGTTCTAACCCAGCACCCAACCTCAAGGACCAAATGACCATTAAAAGTAGGGGCCCTCTACCCATATACTATGAATCCCTATATGGTATATGAACCTTAAACCCTTTTAGGGTTCATTTCGTCCTTAAACCCAAACACCTACAAAAACCCAGAATTATAACCCTTATAGGAACCCTTTAAAGGAACCCCAAAATGAACCTTAAACCCTTTTAGGGCTCATTTCGTCCTTAAGGAAAGTTGGCCTGCTTTCGCTGCCATGTCTGCACTTCCGTCTGCCTGGCACGGAGGCCCTCAGTGTCTCTTAGTTGCCGAGTTTTTTTAACTGTCAGTTTTAAGAGGGTTTCATTATCCGAAAAAGTTTAAAGTTTATAAACTCAGCTACTAAGGTCTGGAGGTTTAGCGTCTTCAGGATTTAGGGTTTGGGTTTTGCGATTTCAATTTTCCCTGTAACCCACTGAGTAAGCGTGCTGAACCGTTCATATGGGAGTTTCCGAAAATAGGGGGACCCTCATATAGTACCCTAAATAGTAGGATCCTTATTATAAGGATCCCCAAATAAGGTACCCCTAATTTTCGGAAACTCCCATATACAGGCCCTGAAACCCTCAACCCAAACTGGTAGCACTCTGGGGTTTAGGGTTTAGGGTTTAGGGTTGACTCTGTTAGCAATCCACATGAAGAAACCTTCAACAGACCTCTAATACCCTGTTAAAGAGCCCGTCAAGAGAAGTGCTACAGTAGATTTCGAGCTCATGGCTTCGATGTTCGGGCTAACGGTTTAGGGTTTAGGGGTTGTGAGGGTTAAGGGTTTCAGGTGCAGGCTTTGGATTCAGGGTTCAGGGCTTGGGGCTTACGGTTCAGGGGTTCTACATCAGCTTCGAAGGCCCATGCTTTTAACTTGAACCTTTAGGCTTTCGGGTTAAGGGTTTAAGCCTTAAGCTACATCAACACCTAAAGACATCTAAAGACCACCGCTCCTAAATCCCTACACTCTACACCAAGCCCGCAGACAGCATCTGCCGCACCCTTGCTGAAGTCCTCGTTGAAGCCGATCACACGGATGTGCAAAGGGCGGGGCTTTTTTCCCTTCATCGCTCAGGGGCTTCCTGGTTGCTGGTGTGTCGCAGCTTTGACTGGCCCTTGTGCCTCTTGCTTGTACTGCCGCTCCAGGCTTTCGTAGTTGTCGAGCAGGTCTCCCGCAAATTCGTCAGATATGCTCGGGTCCTACCCGTTGCCAAGGTCCACCATGTGCAGTTGGACTGTGTAGTGCCGCAAAAACTGGGCTTGCAAGAACCTCACGGAAGCAAAGACAATGGAAGAATGGTAGTAATAGTAGTTATAATTTATAATTGTACCCCATTCCTTCATACCCTACTAGCCAAAGGTAAGTAAATTGATGAATGTTGCCCGACCAGGTCGCCCTGCCCCTGCCCGCGCTTGATCTCCTCCGCCTAACGGTTTAGGGTTTACTTAAAGGATCATGGGACTTAGTAAGTAGGTTATAATTGGGGTTATAAGTCCCCTAAGTGGGGTTATCCTAATTATAACCTACTTATAAGCCTACTTACTAAGTCCCATGAGCCTCTAAGTAACGGTTTAGGGTTTAGGACAGCAGTCGTATCAGAATCAGTGAAGCTTTGTAGCCAACACAAAGACACCTTTAAGCCTGACCCCCCCGCCCAAGTCAGTGTAGTAAGGGGCGTTAGCAGAAAGGACTGCTGGACTCCAAGGACTCAGCTCGACATGTTTAGGGTTAGGGGTGTAGGAGTTTTGGGGTTTAGAGTATATGGTTTAGGGGTTTGGGGGTTTACAGTTTAGGGCATAGGGGTTTGGGGTTTAGAGTTTAAGGGTTTGGAGTCTAGGCCCAAAAGCCAGACTTCACAGTTTGCCTCTGCAGCATATAAAGGACCGGAACAAGGACCCTACACAGCACCCTGAGAATAAGAACAAGTCCGTCCGGACAGAGCCCTCCAAAACATCAACCCTAAATCTCAACACTCCCCACCAATCGTCATTGGTGTTCAGACTTTAGACCCAAAGCCTAAACATTAAAGCTGACCTCAACCCAATAAAATATACTTTGCTGCACAGACTCAATGTATGTCCTAAAAAGACTATTAGGGACCTCGGTGCGAAGTAGGTTCTCGCAGCTCAAAGTACACCTCAAACCCCGACATCTAACGGTCAACAAAACCTTTGTACCCCGTGCAACACCCTAAAGAACAGGATTACCATTTAATATTCGGAAACCCACTCGTACCCCGCATAACACCGTAAAGAAAAGGATTACAACATTCGGAGACCCCAACCCGAAACCGGAACAAATGGCGGCGGCGCCAGGTCTGCCACCTTTCCCGGAACCTGGGCGACTCCGGATTCCGGGTTTAATCTGGGTTGGCCTTTAAACACCCTGAAAAATATGTATATATATATATATATATATAGGGTCCCTTATAAACCCAAATAAGGAAAATCCAACCTAGTAATCCTTTGATGTCGAAAGAGTCGTAGCAGTAGTCGTGACAGCAGCAGGAGGAGGAGCAGTGACAGTACCAGTAGCAGCAGCAGTACCTGTAGCTGTAGCAGCAGCAGCAGCATAGCAGCACTAGGAGTAGCAGTAGGAGTAGGACTAGGATTGGAGTAGGAAGAGGGTAGTAGTAGCAGTAGTCGTCGTCGTAGTGGTAGTTTAGTCGTACTGGTAGTACCAGCAGCCGTATCGGCAGCAGCAGTCGTCGTCGTAGGAGTGGCTACTGGGAGGAGGAGCCTTATCCAGCCGAGGAGCCTCAAGCAAGTACCTCATTACAAGGTTTGGGTTTGGGGTTTAGGGTTAAGAGTTTAGTAGTGTGCGGAGCTCTGTGCAAAAAACATAGTCCAGCATATCCCAAAGAACCAAACATACGAGAACAAGACTTAAGTTGAGTTCGTTGCTTGCTCCGTCCCTGAGCCCTGTCTTCAAACCATACAAACCGAAACCCTGCACAACCCTGAACCCCAAACCCCTAAATCCGACCTACACAATCAAATCCGTCCCCTTGAACCCTGATCCTGCAGCCACGATTACGAGGGACAAGGCGAATATTCAGGCCCTACAACAAGGCTGGGTGAACCAGAGGCTTAGGGTCGATGTTCAACCCTTACAATCCTTACACAAACCTGATTAAGCCTGCATCCCCTGAGCCCGACGCCCTACACCTAAACATCCCAAACCCATAACCCTATTTTTAAAGAGTTTAGTAGACGCTCAATAAAATCTTACAAAGCATCTTTAAATCTTATCGAACCCACACAAAACCCTCTAAACCCGAACAAATTAAGAGAGACCACCCTCGTCTGGTCTAATACCCTAAACCCTACAAGCCATGCAGTATGATATCAGACCCTCACAAGAACCTCAGAAACCTAAACCCAAATTAACCTTAAACCCTAATCCTTAAACCCTACACCCTGAACCCTAAACCCTAAACCCCAAACCCAACTGAACCCTAAAACCTAAACCTTACGACCTAAACCCTGAACCCTGAACCTTACGACCTAAACCCTGAACCCTTAACCCCAAACCCAACTAAACCCTAAACCCTTAAACCTTACACCTCAAAACCACTCCCCCCCCAAAAAAAAAAAAAAAAAACTTGAAACTTTCTAAGCCCCAGACCAGGTCGAAGGCTCCAAATCCTCGAGGCGCGTCTCAATCTTCTTATCCTTCACCCAGTTCCTCGGTTTAGGGTTTAGGGTTTGGTGGTTGTTATTTGCGGGGTGTAGGTTTAGGGTTTAGGCTTTCGTGTTTTTATTTTTGGGTGGGTTTGTAGGTTTAGTGTTTAGGGTTTGTGGTGTAGGGTTTCGGGTTTAGGGCTTTACTACGGTTGATGGGCTAGGTTCCTTTAAAGGGTTCCATAAGAGTACTACAAGGCTATCCCACTTCCTCGATCCAGGGTGTAGGGTCTCGCAAGCGCCTATACCCTAAAACACGACATAAAGTCTGAACCCGTAAAGCCCCCAAGCCCCCTCGGCTTAACAATCATCCTGAATCATCCTCACACCCCCAACCCTACACTCCTGAACGCAAGCCCGAAGCATTAAACTCGACCTGGACCCATTAAGTACCCTGTAACGCAGCACTGATCCCTAATGGAGGATATTTGGTGCATCATAGGAGGTACTCAGAGACTCCAATATCCCTGGAATATTCCTTAAATTATGGTAGGATCCCTCATATGATTTAAGGTATATTCCTTAATTAACGGATATTGGAGTCTCCAGGCAGTTGGGGGGGTCCAGGACACCCCCGAAACCTCACAGTCCACGACTTATTTAAAGTGCAAGGCTCCAGGGCTCAAAACCTCTAGGTCTCCATTTCAGTTTAGATCGGTTTAGGGTTTAGGGTTTGGGGTTTAGGGTTTAGGGTTTGGGGTTTAGGGTTTAGGGTTTGGGGTTTTAGGGTTTAGGGTTTGGGGTTTAGTGTTTAGGGTTTGGGGTTTAGGGTTTGGGTTGTAGCTTACTCCCGCAATAAACCACAGAAATGAAAGGTCAAACTCTCCGGGTCCTATTAAACTATAAGAACCGAAAAAGTTTCAAGGTTAGGTATTGGGGAACTAGGGTAGTTTTGGGGCTCTGAAAAGTATTTATGAATAGGTACCTCTATAGGAACCATGAAGGGAAATTTAAAGGTTTCCCAAGTTGCCAACTAGTCATAGACTACTCTCATGGGACTGAGTGAGTACGGTTATAAGTAGGTAGCAATCAGGATGATCCCACTCAGGAGACGTATAACCCCAACAATATCCTACTTACTAAGTACCATGATCCTCTGAGTAGGGAATCTAAAGAAATTCTACAGATGTCTGCTTTGTGAGGGCTTTTAAGTGTTCGCGGTGGATCATTTATGGGCTTTACTTTACTTGGAGTTTGCAGTAGCACGTAGCTCAGTCGCATAACTTTGACCCTGAAGTACCCAAACAGAGACCCGAGTACTTCCACAAATGTGTGGTACTCATGTACCTGAACACGATGTACCTCAATGTGCGCACGCTGCTTCCACAAAACCCGCTAGATCCTAGAGCTGTTGGTTTAGGTTGCGACATTTCGGGCTGGCAACCGTAAAATACCTCGGAAGGCACACCAGCACATTATTTTCAGAACTCAGTGCAGCTGACCCGAATCCCGAAACAAACGAGATCCGCCCCGGTTTGGGTCACTTGGAATGCATCAGACTCGAGACCAACCAGGGTCTCACGGTAAACCTGCCACTGCACATGTGGGCAAAGCTTGTGCAGTAGGTCGGCTGTGTTCTTACCTTAAGGACGAAATGAACCCTAAAAGGGTTTAAGGTTCATATACCATATAGGGATTCATAGTATTTGGGTATAGGGCCCCTACTTTTAAGGGTCATTTGGTCCTTCAGGTACTTGCTTCCATCGACAGCACAGTCGCCCACTCAAACTTCAGGGCTTGCAGGACCTTGGACTGCAGCCTCCAGGTCGGAGACTTCTGTGGACTCTTTCAGTAGACAGGCGCTCGAAGCCGGAGCAGCCGCGCGGTACAGCTGGTAGGACCCGAGTTCGTAGGTAACGAGGCTAAGGTCCAAGTGGTAACACCGGAAAACCCTATTCTACCCTAGACTCTGAATCACAGGAAGCATCACAAATGAAAAAACACACTGAACCCTAAACAAACAAGGAATAAGCTACAAATCAAAGGAGGCTATAGAGTAAACAACATGCCTTCATGCAGGGATCCATTTGGCTCTCCCTAAACCCTAAACCCTAAAACCCTAAACCGTGAACTAGAACCAGGCCCTGTCTCTGAGGCATCGGCTTCAAGTAGTCTTTTGACTCCGCCTCGCCATACCAGCCGTAGGTGACCTGGGGGTTTAGAGTTTAGGGCTTAGGGTTCAGGGCTTAGGGTTCAGGGTTTAGGTAATTTAAAACCCTAAAACCATCTCAGACCTGAACATAAAGTAACAAAGTAAAACCTTAATCAGATCGCAGCCCCCGAAAGTTCAGTGTTACAAGGTAATATACAAGCCTGACGAATCACCAAAACTATTCCACAGGGTTCCTATGAACCCCTGTATCAGCGCTTTGAACCCGTACTGCACATACCCGATCGTACCGCGTGTGCTCTCCAAGACTTCTTGAAAGCCCAACCCCACAACGCCAAAAAAGACGAACTACCAAAACAGCAAGAACGCACAGAAATCCTACACCTTAAACCCAAAAAGAGATCCCACCTCCTCAAAGCCAAACCCGTCAAGAAAAAGTGCTTTGCAAAAGGAACCCTTCAAACGACAACTCATAAAGGAACCCGCGAAGAAACGCTTTGAAAGGAACCCCTGGCAGAGCCCTCTGAAGAAGGTCTACCTCACTTGAACCTTACTTGCAGGATCATGGAAATTAGTAACTAGGGGTTCCTTTAATGAATGCTGTACGGATTCCAAAAAGGGGGAGTTTAGATTACTGAGAGGATCATGGGACTAAGTAACTAGGGTGCCTCTAAGGGTTCCCTTAAGGGATCCTTTACGGGACTTATAAGGGGGAGTTTAGGTTCCCTTTACAAGTCTCCCGAAAACCTTCTTTCCCCTGAAACGGCACCACAACATCCTAACCTCCAAGGCAGTCCTAAACCCCCCCAAAGACAGAGACCTCTCTAAATCCTAAACCCCCCTCCCCCGCCCGCAAGAAATAAAAAGATACTTAGAGGATCATGGGACTTAGTAAGTAGGTTATAACTGGGCTTATAAGTCCCCTAAACGGGTTTATCCTAATTATAACCTACTTATAACCCTACTTACTAAGTCCCATGATCTTTTAAGTAGACCCTAAAGGGTGGAGAATTTTTTTTTGCCCTTTTTTTTTTTTTTTTTTTTTTTTTTTTTTTTTTTCCCCTGCCCTGGGCTCCTGGGTTCTCTGTATTTGCACAGGAAAAACAGCTCTTCTCTCGGGATTTTCTGTATTTCCACAGGAATCTCCAAGGGAAAACACTGCTTTCCTATGGATTTCTTTCGTTTCCTAAGGATTTGCTTGGTTTTTTCTGGGGAAAACACGATTTTCCTACGGATTCCGTTGTATTTCTCTAAGTTTTCTTTGGTTTTTCCTAGGAAAAAAGCTTATTTTCCTATTACCTACGGCGTTCGTGGCATTTCTTCAGGTTTTCCGAAGGAAAACATACGTTACCTAGCTTATTCCTCGGGAAAATCAAATTTTTCCTACAATTTCGCATTTAGGACGGATTTCGTGGTGTAGTTGTTGCTAGTAGTGTTGTTGTTGTTGGCGTTGTGGTTGTAGGTGTAGTATGTTGTAGTTTTAGTTCTAGTTGTAGGGATAAAAAACCCGAGGGTCAAACAAAAATCAAAGAAGGATCAAAAAATGAAAATACGGCAATTGCAGCCATTCAGCGTGATTGTTCTGTCTTTCTTACTGTGTTGTTCTTATTCCCTTGTGTTTTTTTTGGGTTTGCGTTCTGTATTTCGTTCGATCATTCCTTGTCTGTCTTTCTGTGGTTGGTTCTTTCCGTTTATCTTTCTATTTTTCGATTTGTTCGTGATTTATTTCTTCCTGTCTTCCTTCCCTTGGCTAGTAGTGTTGTTGTTGGTGGCGTTGTAGTTGTAGGTGTTCTGTCTTTCTCTCCTTCTTTTTTCCTTTCTGGGTTTCTTTGTTTATGTATCTATATAGCTCTTTTTTTTGCATCTTCTTTTTTATCTGCATATCTTTGTTTCTGCCTTGCTTTCTTCCTTTGTTTGTTCCTGTCCCTGTCTCTTTCTAGCTCTTTCTCTCTCTTTTTTTTAACTCTCTCTCTCTCTCTCTCTCTCTCTCTCTCTCTCTCCTTCGTGTCTTAAGTCCAAACCAAAAGCCGCGCATCGGACTTTTCGCCAGTCGCCGAGGCACTGAGCTGCTACCCTACACGTCCCTAGACCGTCTACGAACAGCCCTGCAGCTTACGTTGTACCTCTCCTTTCTTGCAGAAGCAGCAGCAGTCGTAGTATACGGACATGATCCCCCAACAAGCAAAGCTTGCAGACTGAGAAGTCTCGGACATAGTGTGGACAAACATCCCCCAATAAGCAAAGCTTACAGACTGCGATGTAAGCTGTGTAGTCCTTTAAGTTTCCGATCTTGTCTGTGTGTTCATGTAGATAGAGTATCTTGCAAGTTTCGCTTATGAACGCGAGGGAAAGTTGAGAGATGCGTGAATGAAACCTCGCGTCATGTCGCCTGTGAAAGCGCATGAGTCCTGGGGAGAAACCTCGTGGCCTCACGAGTTCCGCAACAGTGTGTATCGCATAATACGACGTAGTAAGGCACACTCATAGACTCATAGACATAAACATTAAGATTTCTATATTATACAAAATACGAAGCTTGTTGTAGAATATGTGCCTCATCCAATCACCCAGAGCTTCCACGACTCTTGAGCTGCGCCTAACGAGCACGACATGGCAGAAGTTAACACTCGTTTCTAGGCCACTGACGCGTCAGCTAGCGCATGAGCAAAGTTATAGTTTCACTGACGCGCACTGACGCGCACCGAGTCCCAGCTGACGCGGACCAGACAAATCTTAACATTTATATAAACTCCCACAGCCGGAGTTTAGAACGCCGCTCACGTATCGTTCTTCTTTATTTTCCGCGTCTTTCTTGTTCCTTTAACTATTTCTGATTGTCTTTATTACTTTATGGCCTTCCGTATTTCTTTATTTCTCTGTTTTTGTTCTTTGGTTACTTCTTCATTGTTTGTTTTGTTTTTGTTTCTAACTCTCTTTGGTTCTTTCCCTTGTGTTTTCTTTGTTCTTACCTTATAGCTTTCTTTATTTACTTAGTTCTCTATTCTTGTTTTCTTTTTTACTTGTAGCATCCTTTATTTGTTTATTTCTCTAGTTCTTGCATGGCTCTCTTTCTTTCTTTCTTTATTGATTTCTTTCTTTCGTTCCTTCCTTCTTATTTACTATATATACCATATTGATTATATATACTATATATACTATATATACTATATATACTATATACAGTATATATACTATATATACTGTATATATTATATATACTATATATACTATATATACTATATATAGTATATATACTATATATACTATATACATACTTTATATACTATATATACTATATATACTATATATATTATATATACTACTTATACTATATATATACTATATATACACACTATATACATTATATATACATATTATATATAGACTATATATATAATATATATAAAAATACCGTATATGCTATATATACGATATATATACCAGACATAGATATATATATATATATACTATATACATATATACTTTATATACTATAAAGGCTTCGGCAAGACAACTAAGATATCAGCAAAAGGTAAGTAAGATACCGATTTGGGCTTTCATTTGGCCCTTAACCTATCACAACCAATCCCGAGGCTGACACACACACACACACATTTTCTCGCTGCCTGTTGCTTGCACTTCCTGACTTGTAATTTTCTAACACATCGGATGTGTCTCTGTGATATGCAGGCAGTCTCAGTCTTGCAGTCTGTGTAAGAATTATCAGCCCATACAGTGGTTGTCCTGCTATCCTATCAACTGTAGGACAGAGGACTGCAAGACTGAGGACTGCAACGAATTAGGTCATCAAATCGACCCACTCTGCGTATGCACGAACTCTGGTTTTGAACCTGTACCACTGTCGCTCCCAGGTGCGTTTTGAAACGCCGCTCTTGTAGACGCGTGGTGTAACGGGTGGATCCCCCGGAGGGGTAGACTGCATGTCCTTGTTGAGCAACAAGAGCTTCGCACGCTGGTACTCCTCGGATTTCTGCTTGAAGCTTGCAACCACCCTGACTCGTTTGAGGACTCTCTCAAACTCTGTTAGTACTCGCCGGTCCGGAGAGATGTCCCTGTCCATTGCCACTGCAAGACTGCAGGACTGAGGACGGCTAGTTTGTGCTGTCAGAGGCCAAAAACTGCGACAACACTCAGTGTGAAACAACTTCTGTGCGACAATGGAGGAAAAAACTACTACTATTGACTACTGTTACTGTTCAGGGTTGGCTGCCCCTTAAGGTAGGCCTCATGCACAGTCTAGCAGTCTTGCTGTTCCATAAGAAGCCCCAGCTACATGTGTCTGTATATATAATATACATATATATATATATCTAGGATAATCCTATAATATTACAGGACTAAGCTTAAACAAGACCGTTAGGCTGCATAAGAGGCCTTTCGAAGGCTGCCGGGAGCAATCCGACCTTTTTGAGTGCCTGGCACGTACAGTCTACCAGTCTTGCAGTCCTTAGTAAGCACCCCTAAGAATGGTTATTAGGTTCCTCAACTTAATATAGAAGGACTGGAAGACTGTTAGACTGTAAATTAAGAGTCTGCCTGCAAAGAAGTTTGTCAAGGCCATGTACAGTCTACCAGTCCTGCAGTCCTCAGTAAGCACCCCCATTATAGGTATAGGTCCCAAAATTAGACTAGTATGGGTGGACTGCACGACTGTTAGACTGTAACTTAGGGATTAAGGGTTTAGGTCTAAGAGTCTCCAAGAGGCTCCCTGCCAAGAGACCTTTTGAGGCCATGTACAGTCTACCAGTCCTGCAGTCCTCAGTAAGCACCCCTAGTATAGGTATAGGTCCCAAAATTAGAATAGTATGGGTGGACTGCACGACTGTTAGACTGTAACTTAGGGGTTAAGGGTTTAGAGTCTAAGAGTCTCCAAGAGGCTCCCTGCCAAGAGACCTTTTGAGGCCCTGTGCAGTCTATCAGTCTTGCAGTCCTCAGTAAGCACCCCTATTTTATTGATCTTATAGCTTAGGCCCCAAAATTAGAATAAGGGTGGACTGCGAGACTGATAGACTGTAAAGA